CTCATGTGTGGACTTATGTGAAAAGAGACTGTCAACGCTCTGGCAAAAGTCGTGCGTTTTCTTCGGGACCTACGGTTTCCTCCTACAGGGAAAGTTGACACGGTTTGTTAGGATAAACATATAGTTATCCGCAAACATAGTATAAACATAATTGTTGTAAAAATAAATAGTCTAAGCTTAGTAAGTAATATAAGCAAGCGTAATACACGATGTAGTCGGTAACTGAAAAGTCCCAATGGGGAGTGAGCTGAATAACTGAAATCATCGCTAGAAATCGTGGATATTTGGAATGCAACGTGCATTCTCGGATTTGTACCAATTTACCGAAACGACAATAGCCTTATTCACATTAGAGACGGACAAGTCGTCTAGACGAACAAATCGTCTCTCAAAAATCGTCTTCACAGACGGACAAGTAGTCGAACAAATTCAGACGACTTGTTCGTCTAACATTTTGTCCGACACGTTTTCACATCTGATGATTTGTCCGACTAAAAGACTATTTTGAGACGATTTGTTCGTCTAGACGACTTGTCCGTCTTCTAATGTATAAAAACGGCTAATAATCCACGATTTAAAAAGTCATACTACGGCTTAATAATGGATGGTCTTAAAAATATGCGCTAAATTTTTAATAATATGCAGATATTAGTAGCTGAAATAATTGTTCGTATACCTTAATGTGTGGTGTTAATGATTATTTGTATCATTCCATGTTCGCATAAAATCGAAGGTCGATTATTAAACACAATCATCGGATTCTATTATTTTGCAATTTGGCGATGCTTTTTAAGCAAATTTTCATTCGAAAACTCTTTTCTGTCATATTTTTAGTTTGTTTACATTTTGTAATCCTCCTTGTAATCATTTTTGTAATATTTACAATAAGAAATTTCGGGGATCGAGAAAGATCTGGAAAACCGCGATTTCTAGCGATGATGATATCATGATAGACTAAGGGAATTTTTATATTATAGCTGTGACATCTGACATATGGTTTTACGAGTCTTAGAACCCGGGAATTGAGAGGCCTTCAAAAGGCAGTGTGTAAGAGAGCTATATAGGGAGAGAGTCAGAGAAATCGGGTATAGTTATACGCTTAACAAAATAATCTCTCATTTCCAAACGTTTGGCTAGCAACATTGCATCATCATTGGATATGCTACGTTTACTGCTGCAGTTCGTCATGATCGCCACATGCACCTAATATTTGAGATACTATAAAATTCGACATAGAATATACATTTAGGTTGTTCAATCACAAGAAAAAGGTATATTAATACTAGGACATTACTTATGGGAACGACCGCGACGAAATATTTGATGGAATAAAAACAACCAAGGAAACTAATTAGGTGCAAATTTCCTGGCTGGCCTCGCTATCATGAGCTGGATCTTCGACCGGTTTCTGGCGCTGCTCTGTTCGTCTGCCGCAGTTACGATAACTGACGAATAAAATGCAATGGAAAAGCGACACTTGTCACTGCGTTAAAATTTTGACAGAGCTTGTTCCATTATTCTAAATTGGAACGAATCAGAATGATGTTAGGTATGAGTGAGGGGTAGTTTAAAATCGGCCATAAGTGGAAGTTTCTAACGGCTTACCCGTGCAGTTTGTTCCTTTGGCTTCATACCCTACATCGCAGGTGCATATAAAGGAGCCATTGGTATTAAAACCATTGAAATGAATATAACTAGAATGCTACCTTCAGAGAAATTGCCTATCTTTTTCTTGAAGCCAAATTTTACCTCAACCTCGTACCCAGGATCTTTCTTTGGGAAAGACCCTGGCTGCGGCTGGTCACTTGCCTCATCAAAAATTTAGCGCCCGAGAGGGTGTGGGGAAAGTATCAAATTACATCAACATGCTTCCAGTGGGATATTCGTTAAAAAACATAAATTTTGCGAATTATTACGTTCAAAATACTTGCTAATTTTTGTTTATTTTCTTTGCTTTGAATTTACAAGAACATTCTTACTTACAGCCAAGTCAAAGAAACCAAGCAAATCGTTACTCGCAGTGCTCGAGTCTCGTGTTGTTTAAATATTCAATGCATGCTCTCTTCACACTCGAGCGCGGTTATAACAAACGTTTATTGTAATGTTTTTAAAATACTCCATTACATTCGTCCTTTCTTGTAAATGTTGATACGCTTTGCACCGATTCACTTGTTACTACGCGATTTTTAAAAGAAGCAGTATTGTCTAGGACTGGCCAATATTAGCAAATGTATTAAACATTTGATATAAATAGCCGAACAGAGAAATGTCCATAAGCATAGAGGAAATTTCAGTCATTTATTTGTCTGGATTTAGTACATAATTCGTATTCGGTAATTATAGTAAGACTTTAGCCTTTTTCTCGGTCAGTAGTATTACCCCGCCTGTATAGGATCGGAAGTAATTAGCATGCAGGAGCGAATAGAGCGATTATAGTAAGACTTTAGCCTTTTTCTCGGTCAGTAGTATTACCCCGCCTGTATAGGAGCGCCTGTATAGGATAGGATCGGAAGTAATTAGCATGCAGGAGCGAATAGAGCGCCGGAAGTAATTAGTATGCAGGAGCGGATAGAGCGGCGGAAGTAATTAGTATGCAGGAGCGAAATGTGTTGGTGAAAACATGGGGGTATAAATGTGTTGGTGAAAACATGGGGGTATATTTGAATCGATCAGTAATTCAAATTCATTTACACTTTGGTTTTCACAATGAACGGTTCAAGCAAAAAGCTTCGTCTGATAGAAATAATATACGCCAAGGTCATTGCACATAACATTGAAAGGAAATGTAGCCTGTTCTGTTGCGGGTGTAAAGTTCGTGACCAGGACTGCTTAATGTTGGATGAGTTTGAAAAATGGGAGATGTATGGTCTTGATGCTATAGAGGAAGCCGGAACTAATTACGCTGTCTGGCGTGAAATTTACTAATGTTATTGAAATCCTGAATGTTCCGTTTGAGAAATATTTCACGGAACACTTGTTGAGCTTGGAAGAAAACCCTGATCTTATGCTGATCGAATCATTATTTCAAGAATACCGGGACAATCAATCATTAATCGAAGTTCTATGCGACTTGTCTAATCCTAAAGCAGATCCATTAGAACCTGTTGCAGAGTGCCTCTTCGGCAGCCCCCCTACCTTTATATATTATGTTAGAGGAAAGAAAAGAGTGCCTCTTCGGCAGCCCGCCTACCTTTATATATTATGTTAGAGGAAAGGGAAAAAAGTTCCGGAGCAAGGAACAAGATGAACAAAAGGCATATCAGAACTATCTCAAAGATAAACTTCGAGAACATTTTAATAATTTGCAAAATATACTTTTTGTTAATAAACAATTTTTAAAAAAATATATTGTTTTTAAACTATGAACCGTTTAATGTTCTTCGCTCCAGTAGCTGAGGTATCCCAAAATGGCTTGATATTCAGGAAAGTTTGACTTAAACTTTAGGTCTTTTAGGAATTCGGCGGTTGTTTCGGGGTCTTTGGTTAGATTTTTGAAATGTTGAATGACATGTTCATGAGGGTCTAGTTTCATGACGCGTATAGCTTCGGTGAATTGTTTCGAAACTGTTTGATGTTCGATCACTCGCTTTACTGCTTCCGATCCATGTATTATCCATCCCTCTTCTTCGGACATCGTGAGGCAATCGTGTCTTTTCTGACTTGGATGATTTACTTCACAACCACAGCATTTTTCTTTTCGAAGTTTATGGACTTGACAGTCAACGGCTTCCGAAAAGATAACATTCATTAGATTACACAGGTTTCTGATTTCCCAAAGCACAACTTCGTCTACATTCAGACACTTTGCCCAGAATACTTGCTCACACGAGTTCATTTTGACTGTGTATAGTGACGATTTGCTTTATATAGTATGGTGTACGTACACGGTGTACGTACACCACTACGTCATGTCCATCTCTGATTGGTTGATGCGTACGAATATAAATTATATGGTGTACGTACACGGTGTACGTACACCAATACGTCATGTCCATCTCTGATTGGTTGATGCGTACGAATATAAATTAGGTGTACGTACACGGTGTACGTACACCACTACGTCATGAATTGTGCCCATCTCTGATTGGTTGGCTGTGTTTGGTGTGAGAATATAAATAGAGGAGACGAGCGATTATCGTTATTGTGTTCATAGTTTTCACTTAGGGAAGTCACTTCAAATATACTGTTTACATCGAAAGAGCTTTGGTGGATATTTTGTTTGACAACTAGCTTGTTTTCCAGGTAAATGTTTAGATTTACTTAAAGGGTATTTATGTAATAAATTTTTAAACGAATCGTTCTTTGGTTTAGATATGGAAAGAAAGATTAAAGAATGTCAGACGATAGCGGAGCTTTTGGCTTTGGAAAGTCAAAACGTATTCAACGAACTGGAAGAATGTTTAGTGTTTGAGAAGAGAATGGAAATTTTTCTGCGGATAAAGGAATGGCGTTTGGAAAACGCACGGTTAGGACTAGTACCTAATCTTACAGATACCTGGACGCCCGAACAACGCGAGAGGTTTTTACGCGATTGGCAAGATGAAGAGCTTCCGATGCAGATTAATCGGGGTGAGAAAAGATCATTTTGTGCGATGAGCAGCGATGATAATGAACCACAAGTCGGTCGCGGACAGAAAAAATCTTGTGAAGGGACGAGCAGCGATGAACCACAAGTCGGTCGCGGACAGAAAAGATCTTTTGAAGAGACGAGCAACGTTGATAATGAACCTGGACAAGTAGGGAACGAGGTTAGCGACAACGTTTTTACGGTGCAGAGTGTGAAACAAGTGAATGTGAAAAAGTTCAAAACCACGGGTATGGATTATCGTATTCAATTTACGAATGCATTTGCGAATGTGGAGCTTTCCGAATATCATGAAAGGCTGCATGAAATATTTCAAAGCTTGCTTAATGAAGTTACGCACGGCGTTCCTCCCCATGACCAAGTACGTTTTGTCCTACACTCATCGCAACTGGAAAATCCTATTTCATTTCCGTTTATGCCTCGTGAACGTCTCACTACGGAACGTGTGTTGGCAGAGTTTGAACGCGTGATCCAATCCAATCGCCATTTTCATCTCAACGAAAGTGTGGATGTCAATATTGTTCATGTGGAAATGCCTCATGGAGGCAGGCATACGAAGCGAGCTGAAATTAATTTGGAAAAGCATTTAATGAAGAAACGCTCAATCATACGGATCCGGAACAATGATCAACTTTGTTTGGCGAGGGCTTTGGTCGTTGCGAAAGCCAAAATTGATAACGATCCACAGTATACAAGCATTGTTGATCATCGCAGGGCTATGCAGGTGTTTGGCGAGGGCTTTGGTCGTTGCGAAAGCCAAAATTGAGAATGATAGTCGGGATCGTCAAATACGAAACCCTGAGAGACCACTTCAGGCCCGTTTGGCTCGTGAATTACACCAGAATGCTGCCGTTCCTTTGGGTCCCTGTGGACTGGATGAAGTCAAACAGTTTCAGACGTACCTTTCCAGTTACCAGATCAATATTGTGTCCAAAGATCATCAGAACGCTCTTATTTATACTGGCCCCGATCAGGAAAAGAGAATTTATCTCTATCTTCACGATAATCATTACGACGTTATTACCAAAATGCCAGGGTTTTTTGAGCGATCGTACTACTGTCATACATGTAAGAAAGCTTATGATCATCGAGAAGATCACCTATGCCCGAATGCTTGTCAGTGTTGTCGTTTTCCCGACTGTCCCATCGAGTCTTGGGTTCACTGCAATGATTGTAACCGGATGTTCAAAAGTCAAGCGTGTTTCGATCGGCATAAACAGTCAGCGGAAAATCGATCTGTGCGACGATGATTAAATGTCCTGACTGTCATAGACTTATCAAACGTTATAAAAGAGATTCTGTGCAACGATGATTAAATGTCCTGACTGTCATAGACTTATCAAACGAGGTCCGAGAGATCCCGAGAAACACCATTGTGGCATGATAAAATGCTTAATATGTAAAGAGTACACTCGACCCGGCGACCATCGGTGTTACATGCAGCCCGTGGGAAAACGAAACGAAGGTTTATCGGACAGTGACGATTCGTCTGAGCACCATGAGGATGATGTTACGGAAGGCGGGTACGACCAAATGTTATTCTTTGATTTCGAGTGTCGTCAGGAAAATGGAAATCATGAACCCAATTTATGTGTGATTCAGAACGAAGCCGGTGACGAATGGGTATTTGAAGGGGATAACACACGGAACGAGTTTTGTGAATGGTTATTTAAAAAGGAACGGGCAAATTGTGTGGTGATGGCTCACAATTTCCAGGGGTACGACAGTTACTTTATTCTCCAATACTTACGGGAGAACGGTGTCAAGTACGATGTCATCATGCGCGGGGCCAAAGTCCTTTCCTTATCCGTGGACATGTTCAAGATAAAATTTATCGACTCCTTGAACTTTATCCCGATGAGATTAGCAGATTTTCCAAAAACCTTTGGTATCGACGAACTCGCAAAAGGGTACTTTCCGCATCTTTTCAACAAGAAAGAAAATGAAAATTATGTGGGACCGATCCCACCCACTCCCTACTACAACCCGAACGGAATGAGTCCAACGGCCAAAGAAAAGTTTTTAGATTGGCATAGAAATTTGAAGGACAACGAATACGTGTTCAACTTCAAAGAGGAAATTCTTGCTTATTGTCGTTCCGATGTGGATATTCTACGGCGTTGTTGCTTGGAGTTTCGCGAACTGTTCCGTAACGTCACCGACATCGATCCCTTTGAGAAATGCCTTACCATTGCGTCCGCGTGTAATCTAGTGTATCGGACCAATTACCTTGAAGAGAACACCATTGCCATCATCCCACCACGCGGTTACTGTCCCGAGAACGTCCAGTCCCTTCTTGCCCAAAAATGGTTGTCGTATACGGCCGAACGAAACGAAATTGACATACAGCATAATCGTAATGGAGGAGAGAAGCGTGTTGGTCGGTATTTGCTGGACGGTTATCACGAAGAAACCCACACGGCCTATGAAGTTCATGGATGTTTCTGGCATGGTAAGTGTTTGAATAAACGCCTCCCTCGAATAGACGCCCCTTAGAATAGTATTTTAGAATAGTATTTTTGTTTATTTCTTAAAGGATGTATAAACTGTTACACTCGCGACACGATGAATCCTGTCAAAGGTAAAACCATGCATGATCTTCGTCAAACGACCGTGGAAAAGACCGAGTATTTAAAAAATCAAGGCTACAACGTCGTAGAAGTTTGGGAGTGTGGAATCAAACGAGAACTGGCAGATGATGAGGACATGAGACATTACTTTGATAATTATGATGGAGTCGATTCTCTGGAGCCTCGTGACGCTCTGTATGGAGGACGAACCAATGCGTCGAGACTCTACCATGAGTGCGAAGACGATGAGAAAATAAGGTAAGATGATTTTGAGTTTAATTATGACGTCAGAGCAACTCGAATGATGACGTCATTTCTCTTACAGGTACGTGGATTTCACCAGCTTATACCCGTATTGTAACGCCCTAACAGAGACAGTTGTTGGCCATCCGAACATCATCACCGAAAACTTTGACGACGACATCTCCAATTACTTTGGATTAATCAAGTGTACGGTGCTTCCACCACGAGGCCTGTTCCACCCTGTCCTGCCATACCGCACGCAAGGCAAGTTGATGTTTCCCCTCTGCAAGACCTGTGCCGACACATGTAACCAAGCCCCCTGCGATCATTCCAACAACCAAAGAGCCATTCAGGGTACATGGTGTCACATCGAATTGAAGAAAGCATTGGAAAAAGGGTACCAGATTCTACGACTCCACGAGGTGTGGCACTTTCCCGAGACCTCGAGTGAATTGTTTAAAGAATACATTGACACGTTCTTGAAAATTAAACAAGAGGCGAGTGGGTACCCGGGCGAATGTGTTACCGAAGAGCAGAGACAACATTACGTGAACGAGTACTTTGAGAAGTCGGGAATCCGTTTAGATCCACACAAGATTGAGCGCAATCCTGGCTTACGCGCTCTGGCGAAACTAATGTTGAATTCGTTCTGGGGTGAGTACCATGGTTTCACTGATATGTTTTCTCTACATGATACTTAAACAGTTTCTCGTATAGGTAAATTTGCACAACGACCCAACATGGTGAAAACCGAGCAGATAAAAGATCCACAAGTATTCTTCGACTACCTTACCTCAGATGAAATCAACGTGCTTGATGCTGATTTCAGATAGAAGATCCACAAGTATTCTTCGACTACCTTACCTCAGATGAAATCAACGTGCTCGATGCCGACCTGGTGAGTGACGACATCATTGAAATCCGATACGAGTATACGGACAATTTCGTCAAACCCGATGCCAAGACCAACATGGTCATTGCTGCTTTCACCACCGCCTATGCCCGTCTCAAGCTTTACGACGTGTTGGACATGTTGCAAGAGAGAGTGATGTATTACGATACCGACTCAGTGATTTTTGTCAGCAAACTCAATGAACCCGAACCTCCCTTGGGCAACCATCTCGGCCAATTAACCGATGAGCTAGGAGGTGAACACATCACCGTGTTCGCGTCAGGTGGTCCAAAAAATTATTGTTATCGGACAAACACCGGTAAAGTCGAGACCAAAGTGCGTGGAATCACTCTAGACTGCACGGCGAGGCAAAAGGTGAACTTTAATGTGATTCGTGGATTGGTGTATCTACATGCAAAATGTCGAGTGACGGGGCAAGTGTCGGTGGACATTCCGTTTAGAATCACAAGAAATACCCGAACCATGGAAATTGAAACTAAACGCATGAAAAAGGACTATAGAATAGTTTATAATAAACGTGTAATTATGGATGATTACAGAACATTACCTTATGGGTACTAAGACATAACAGTTGTTCATTACAGTTGAAATAAATATTTTTACAAAGACGGTTTGATCTCAACGTTAATTTCTAATGTTCAGTTTGTGATAATGATCCAAATTCACCCCCGTTTCTTTCTCCAGTGCATCGACCTGCTTTTCGTTTTTCTAGCCATGTCCCACATCATCATTTCTCTAGCGTTCATCTGGTAGGTAAAGGTGTTCCCCTGGGGGGCCCGAGGTACCGTTATACCCATTAATGTTTCCAGTATGATTTGTGTTAACATAATGGAGTGCAACGTCGCATTGTCAATAAGTGTTGCTGGTATTATATTCTTCTCTATCAAAAGTTTCATCAAATCCAAAGTTGCCAAATTTCCCTCTTGCGTAATAATTTTGTCCGAGAGCCAGTGAGTGACAATGTTTCTCCAAGCCATGTTTGCTTCAAATGATTAGAGAACTAAAGAGTCAGTATCTTTTATAGGTTTTGATTATGGAATAATATGTAATGCATTGATGGACTGTCCCATTGTGACACGGTCCTCGGTAATGTATCCGTGTTCGACGCATGCATACCACACTTTCTCGATAAAGTCTTGGTCTGTTATAATTGCCTTGTCGTCTTCATAATACGGTACTCCGTGTCTTATTAACTCCTCTTCGGAAAATTCCTCTAGAATCTTATCGTACAGATTAGTAGCACACACGTTACGACGAAACACAAGTTCCTCATTAATGAAAAATAGTATAGCGATGGTCATCCTGACGCTGTCCAACAATGAATGAAATCTGTAGAGGCATCATGCCTTTTATAGGTTACAATATCTGAAAGACCACGTGTTTCAATGCCCTCCTGTGTTCCACGCAAAAGATAGTTTTCCAATCGTCCGCCATATACTCAATCAATTCGAAATCATGTACTTTCATATCGCTCAAACTTTCAGTAAAAGCCTCCATCACTTTTGTTTCCGAAGCCTTTTCCAGAGCATGGTCAAAGTATAGACATAACCGTTCGTCTCTTTCCATCGTAAGACACTGATGATGCGTCTGGGACAGATGCTCTGTCATGCAACCGTTACAATTTTCAACAACGAGCTGGGAGATGATAGGAGCGATTTCTTCAGCTGAAACGTTTAAAAGTTTTTTGACGATACGTTTTTGGCGATGATAGAGAACAAGTTCCCTATTGTCGATATCTATAGGTTTAGACATGTTTACTCTTTAATTTAAAGTAATGACTGTTTCTTCCCAATGGAAAAAACGTTTTATATATGCGTGTACCTTTAAAAACCTTCTCATATTCGAGTGTACGTCATGGGACACACTGCCAGTAAAAATCCGAAGATCAAGAAAAATCATAATAAACAGAAAATGTTTAGAATCGGTATAAATGTTGGTCGCAATGACCTTAACCTAGAGGGACATGTACAAATGGGGTACAGCGGTAAAACCGTAAAAAATTACAGCCCCATCGAAAAGACCCAGGAGAATAGTATTGAAAACGTTGAAGAATGAAAGGATTCCGTCATTTCGCGTGTGGACATGGACGACTACTTATCTAGCGTTTATTCCAATCCAAAACGACCCGCAGGATTTGGCGGAGTGGATCGTTTGTACCAAGATGTTAAGAATGAGGGAAAGTTTAAAATAAGTCGAAAGGAAATCAAGGAATGGCTGATGAAACAAGACGCATACACTCTGCACAAACCCATACGTCGCCACTTTAAACGAAACCGTGTTATCGTTGGCGGTATCGATCAACAGTGGCAAATGGATTTGGCGGATATGCAATCCATGCAAAAGTTTAACGATGGTTATCGCTATTTACTTGTCTGTCTCGATGTTTTTTCCAAATATGCATGGGTAGTCCCATTGAAAAACAAGACGGGTGCTACACTGGTCGAAGCTTTCAAGGTCATTTTAACGTCTGGACGCAGACCCGAAAAGATCATGACCGATCAAGGAACAGAATTTCTAAACAAACATTTCCGAGAATTGATGAAAGAAGAAGACATCGAACTGTACAATACGTACAATGAAACGAAAGCTTCTATCGTGGAACGTCTGATTCGTACTTTAAAGACCAAAATGTGGCGTTATTTTACGGACAAGAAAACCATGCGATACGTAGACATTTTACCCAATCTGGTTTATTCTTACAATCACAGTGTTCACCGTAGCATCAGGACAAGACCCGTGGACGTTACTGCTGAGAACGAGAAGGAAGTGTGGCACACCCTGTATGATGAGCATAACGTAGCAAAAAATGTAAAGTACAAGTTCAAGATCGGCGATCAAGTGAGAATTAGCAAGATGAAACGAACATTTGAAAAAGGATACTTGCCGAATTTCTCCAAAGAAATCTTTACAATAAGCAAGCAAATACCTCGTGATCCTCCAGTGTACAAACTAAAGGATCTGGACGGTGAAGAACTCAAAGGAACATTTTACGAGAAAGAGTTGCAAAAGATCATTAAGGAAGATGACGTCTACGAAATTGAAAAGATCTTGAAGAAACGTGGACGAGGCAATAATGTACATTATCTTGTAAAATGGTTAGGGTACCCAAATAAATTTAACTCGTGGGTACCCGCTTCTGAAATAAATAATATTTAAACCGTTGAACGTGCTGTTTGTTTGTTATTCTCATCGGGGATTCATTATGAGCGGAACACACTTTTACCTCACGCTTCCGAGCAATGCGTCCCTGGACGTTTTTCCCGATAACAAAACGACCGAATATCGTGTAAAATTACCGCAACTCATTGATTTGGATGGCAATTGGGAAGTCGGACTGTATTCTATTTCGTATCCCCACACATGGTATACCCTGCGGGATATTAATACGGATACTCACTTCTATTATTTGGGTCCTACCGATAGATGGATATCATCTGCGACCATAAAGTACGGCCGGGACATTACGAAACTATGGAAGAGTTCACTAAAGGTATGAACGATGCTCTGAAACAAGAGATCGGTAATAATACTGACATACATCTAACGTACAGTGCCTTAACGGGAAAAGTGAGCGTTCACTTGAAACCCAAATGCAAACTCGGGTTACCCAACAAATTGTCCCTTATCCTGGGATTCGTGGAAAAGAGGTGAAAATTGACAAAACGGGCGAAAGTCCTCACGTAGTAGATTTAAATATCTTTTCGACGATCTACACATACTGCAACATCGTTCAACCGCAGATCGTTCGAAGCATTCCCGTCGAAGGAAAGTATGGTGATATCGTTACGAAAACGTTTACCAACATACAATACGTGCCTGTCCAAACGAAATCCTTCGGAGACGTGAAAATTCTTTTAAGGAACGACACGGGCGATCCCGTGCCATTCGAACGCGGGAAGGCCGTAGAGACACTACATTTCAGACAGCATACTTATTTTACCTGAGAGAATGAATAATCCTTACGTACGTTATTACCTGGATCAACAGCAAGGGCGTGGCATGCCAGTGTTCAGAGGCAGCCCCTGGCAGGTAGGGTACGGGCTGGGAGGACTGTTCCGTACTCTTGCAAGAAGAGCCATGCCTTTGATCAAAACCGGTGCAAAAGCTCTTGGAAACATTGCTCTAAAAAGTGGGACAGACTTTGTGGGCGATGTTCTCACCGGTAGAAACGTCAAAGAAGCGGCAAAAGCACGAACCGTAGAGGCCGCCAACGTTGCGAAAAGAAAAGCTATGAACAAATTGATGGGTCAAACGGGAAGTGGAAAACGTGCAAAGCGCTCGAGAAGTGCAAAGCGAACAACTAAAAAGAGAAAGGCATCGGCATCTACAGCCAGACGCAGACAGACCAAGAAACGGAAAACAGCTCAAGACATATTTGGTTAAAACCATGAATTTCGTACATTCCAAATCGCAAGAATGTACAAAAAGCGAACTCGATCTATTCTCTGTGCCCCCAACACAGATCAGTTTAGAGAAAAAACACTGGGTAGATCATCAGCCGGTCTCCAGTGTAGCCGATGGTGGTATCATTACGTTCCTGTCTCCAGGCACTGAAGATTATGTGGACCTTGCTAGAACGATTCTCGTGGTGAGAGCGAAAGTGACAAAACCCGATGGCACGAATCTCGGAGCAGCCGAAAAGGTATGGTGTTTTTCATATTGAATACGGCGTTTTTAAATATTAATTTCCTTCTAATCCGTTTAAGGTTGGAGTCGTGAACAATTTCCTCCACAGCCTGTTCAAACAGGTGGATGTCTTTTTGAAAGGGAAACAAGTCACTCAGGCTACCGGAACCTATGCGTACCGTGCTTACTTGGAAACCCTTCTGAATTACGGTCCCTCTGCAAAAGATTCACAGCTCACTGCTGCGTTGTATTACAAAGACACTGCAGGAAAAATGGATGTCGCGGATCCCACAGTAGTAGGTGGTAATGGCAACGCTGGTCTCCGAGCAAGATACGTTTTCAGCAAAGCAAGTGGAACTGTTGAAATGACTGGCCCCATATTCAGCGACATATTCATGTCCGAACGTCTCCTGTTGAGTTACGTAGATCTAAAAGTTATTTTAAATCGAAGCAGCGACGAGTTCTGTTTGATGGCCTCCGAAGACGATGCTGATTTCCGCGTGAAACTTACTGATGCTTATCTCAGGATACGTAAAGTGAAAGTCAATCCTAGCATTTCCGTGGCTCATGAAATAGCTCTGAAAAAGGGACCTGCTATCTATCCTATCCGTGCGTCGAATGCAAGAGCTTCATCGTTCCCGCTGGAAATCCTTCCCTAAGAAAGGATAACCTTTTCAATGGATTGGTGCCAAAAACAGTTGTCTTTGGTATGGTCGAAAGCGACGCGTTTAACGGTGCCTTAAAAAAGAATCCGTACAATTTTCAACATTTCAACGTATCTTCCATTGGAATAACCGTGAACGGAGAAGAAATGCCATTTAAACCCTTGCAGCTTTCCTATGGTGCAGCACCTAAATACATCGAAGCATTCACCACACTGTTCTCTGGTACGGGGAAAATGTATCACAACACAGGAAACGATATATCCCGAGAAGAATTTCCAGAAGGTTACGCCGTGTACGCCTTTGATTTAACACCGGACATGTGTGGAGCCTCTCCTCATTTTAACGTGGTACAGAAAGGAAATTTGGCCATTGATATCCAGTTCTCCGCAGCACCTGCAGCCGCTGTGAGTCTCGTATGCTACGGAGAGTTCGAGAATACCGTGCACATCGATTCCGAAAGAAACGTTGTCTACGATTACTCCGGATGAATACTGCCCAGATAACCCATGCCTTGGAACAGGATCCCGTAACAAGCAAGAAGTTTTGTGGTGTGTTCCCTAGCGACAAGCTACCTCAGACGATCGACAGATATCCGTGTGGATTCGTTGCGAACACAGACCCGAGCAGCAAGCCCGGTACCCACTGGGTCGCCTTCTACTTTCCATCGGAAGAGAAAGGAGAATTCTTTGACAGTTACGGACATGCACCCGAGTACTATAGGAAATCGTTTGGAGACTTTTTAAAGTCTCGCGCATGGGATTTTAATAGACGTAAATTGCAAAGTGTTTGGTCGGATGTATGTGGCCAGTATTGCATATTTTACCTTAGCCATAGAGCAAGAGGTCAGAGCATGAGTAATATCGTACATTTATTTAACAATGATACGGTCTTAAATGATACAATAGTATCCCAGTTTGTTAAGAGACATTTTAAGGCATTGTTAAAACATTCTAATGTTAACCTTAATCAGTTCAGTAAAAAGATGTTTTCAATAAAATTGTTGTAAAAAACCATAGCGAGTTCTTTTTTTTATTCTGCGCATGCGCACAAACTCGCGTCCCACATGCGAACCGTACATAAAAATACCGCCCCAAAGAACTGACGTCAATACAAAATTGGTTTTAAAAACATTTTATTATTACATGCAAACAGTTACATTTTTTTAATAAGGAAGCCATTGTTTTGGTTTCGCCGCCTGTCTTCTGAGTAAACCACGGATATATTTCGCGGGACTTGCACGTGGTGATGTTGGTGGCGATGGTCTCGGTGGCGGTGTCTTAAAAACAACCTCTTCCGCGCCAGACGGACTGCCCATTTGAACCTGATTCCATCTTTCCGTGTTTCTTGCAATGTCTTTGGGTACATTAATCTTTGATAGCCCGCGAAAGAATTCCTGCGCTCCTTTGGGATTAAAATTCTTACGTGCCCGCATGGCATCGCTGACCAAATCCGATATATTTGAATCAGGAATCTCTTTGCCGTCCACTTTAACTTGACCGGATTCGTCCCAGGAAATAACGTCGGGTCTTGCTTTCAAACGTCTCAAAAGAGTTGCGGCTTTCTGGCGCAGGGATACAGGTAAATGACCGATCACGTCCGCGTCAGATAAAGGCGCTTTCTCTTTGGACTTCTGTTCCGTATCCGGTGCTATGCGGACTGTAGGTATCTGATCGTCCTTCTGCCGCCTCAAACTCAGATAACTTTCCATGTTCGCATTGTACAATTTCTGTTTTTCGGCATCGGATATGTCTGTACTCTGAAGAATCTCTGACATCGCCGTATCCTGGTGCATCATGTTGGCTGTAATTGGCTGTAATTGGGGATCTTTTGTTTCTGCTCATAACGATTAAGCACGTCCTCTGGGACCAATACCATGCGTTTCGCATGCTTCATACTAACAAACTTCCGAGTACACTCAACACGGGTGGTAAGAGAGCTGACAATAAATTTCCACCTTTTTGATTAAGGCGTTGCTTTTTCCGTTTTCTTGACACTTTCTTACTGGCCAGATCGCGGACGTGTGTCTTGTAACGCGCTAAACGTCGCTTTTGACGAGGTGATAATGGGATGACACCTTTCAGCAAATTCAAGGAACATTCGCAGATAGCGGTGATGACCTCCGGGGGAACGTTGTTGATCATGAATTTACGTAGTCTAGGTCCGCATGTCCCCATGACCTGAAGATACGGTAGACTTCCTTTCATGCGCTTCGACATCTTGAAAATGAACCGTTTTCAATACACGTTCAGCTTTTAAGCACGTTTCACATAAACAATCTGTTTCTCTTCGGGTAAAATGTTGGTCCTCAAATGCATGTTCTCTGGTGTCAGCTGATGGCAATCGATGACTAAATATCCATAAGGCCTGCTCGTCGCATCGTGAAATGCATCCAGAAGGTATCCGGTATGTTTAGGAAACATCTGTCTGACAAGTGTGGAAACGCCAAGCGAGTCACGTGGGTTTCTAAACACGACGATAACGTGACTATTCAAACTAATCGTTCGAGAACGTTCGCCTGGCGGGAACAAATTCTGGGTAAGGTACAGCACGGACATGCCAAGGTGATGGGAATCACGTGTAAACAAATCTGAGACACGCGGGTCTCTGGAACAATGAGACATTAATTCATCGAGCACGACTAACGAATTATCATGTCCGCGGGTCATCTCGCATAAATTATCGGGAAATCCTTCCACGAGAGTCAAATTAGGCATTGATTGTAACATTTGTTCGAATTCCTTCTGATATATGCCTTAACAATATATTATTTTGGTTGGCACGGGATTAAATAGTTCCTCTGCATGCCGTAACATAGAATGAACCAAATAAGACTTCCCGCTTTGAGACTGCCCACAAATATAAAAGTTCGCTGGCGTTTTAAATCTCACGTCCATCGTGTTCACGTGCACAACACGTACTGTGTTATTATTTGACGTGTCCGTTCGTTTTATATTTTAAACACCTGCCTGATCATTCTACGGAAAAAACTCTCCTGGATTCGAAACGCACTAAAATCAAAACTTTTCAAGGGCGTTGTAACCAAACGAACAGCCCTGCGCGTAGTATCTTCAGAATCGTGCATCAAATAAACTAGTGTCAGGTATGCCATAGCACGGCCAAAATTAGTCACGTTGATCGTGTTAAAAACAATATGCATTTCATTAGGATTAACATTCACTACCATTTGATTGCACAACGCATCGTGGCGCTCAAGCAAGTCATTAATAGCATGAGATAATGTTCTCATGTCAATATCAACGCCCTGTGTTTGCAATTCGTCCAGTATCACTTCAATTGCAACAAAACAACAAATGAATACAACAACAAGTGAAACAATTTATTTATATGCAACAAATCTCAAATTCAAAAGGAGGAAAAAAAGGGGGTATGGCGAACACGAAAATGTATATATATGTTTAGAGCAAAAATATTGTTACTTTTTGCCGTGACGTCATAGCACCCAAACAATAACGGTGGCTGTCCTGCCTGGGTTAGAACGCCCAGTCAGCAATCGGGCCATCGGGCCTAATCGGGCCAAAAAGTGCCATTTCGGGCCTAATCGGGCCAAATATAATGTCCGGAACTCGAAAATATGTGCTAATTATTGATAGGAATTCTTTGAGCAAACATGGGTCGCACGCGTAGGGACTGCCCTGTATTTGGTTGTGGTAGTACAAATCTTGCAAGGTTAGCAAATCATCTCGATCAAGTACATGATATGAACACAGAGGAACGCAAGAAATGGTTGAAGTGGAGTAAAAGAGGAATCTGTGTACCTCAACAGAGTGAAGAGCCCAAAGAATTCAACGTAGAAAAGAGTCTAGAAAATTTACTAGAGCGACAAGAGGAGATGGAGAGAAACTTTAACGTTTACTTACAAAATGCAAGATTAAAGCATGGAGACAATAGTAAACGAAAATCTAAATCGGAGGACCACAAGAAATGGTTGGCATTTTAGTTTATTACCTCGACTACGAGAAAGTACTATTGTTGCCTGCGAAAAAGAAATGATGTGCATTCAAAGTTATGGATGTTAAACTTTGTTAAGCCCGTAGAGCATTAAAGAACAGAACTACTAAATGGAGGATGGAACAGTTTACAACGATCTAAACTGGAGAACACTGTAAAAGCCGGACAATATGTTTAAGAACTGTTTATTTGTGTAAATAATTATTGTACTTTAAAAAATAAATAGTTTAAAAACTGAATCTATGCCGTGTCAATTTATGCTAATGGCATTAACATTCAATACCATTTGACTGTACAGCGCTCCGTGATGCTCAAACAAATATTTGACATGATGGGATAATGTTCTCATGTCAATACCATTTTCTCGAAGCCCATCTAGTATCGCTTCCATTACAACAGCAAATGAATACAACAAGTGAAACAATTTATTTATATGTAAAAATCATGACTGACGTCATCATGTACAACATTTCATAAAAAATCATCTACAACTTTAACTCGTTTGCAAAATCATGCATGAATTTAGTTGTTAAATAACTGTTCTTATTGCAACTCTGACCCTCTAATGGAACTCATGGACCATTAGAAAAAAGTGATAGGTTCACAGATTGAAAAAATCCCAATTGTTCGTCAGGTGCCCACTCGAAAAACCGGCACGAACTCTCCTTGTCATTCGGACAACTAAAGAACAATCGATCTTTGTTAAGACCTTCTTTTTTCACCTTACAGACCACACACACGGTAATCCATGGCGACATTCCGGTTTCGCTAATGGCTGCACATCACCCCACATCCAAAAGGAACAAGGCTTCGTCTTTTCTCCACACACGAAGAACGGTCTTCCATAATTCACTTTCATCAAATCTTTTACCACACACATTTTCGCAAGCTTATGATGTTCATCGCACTGAGGATGAGGCTGCTCCGTACATCTCCAAGCTGTTATAGCTTTTTCATACATGTAGCCTTCATCTTCCGCGCAGAAGAAATTGCAGGTAGGGCTTTGACCACAAAACCAAAAGGATCCATTGCTTGTTGTGGAATAGGCAGCAGGTTTTCCATGTAAACACTTCATCTTGTTAAGTTCTCTCTGCGAAAGCTGTGTAAACACTACGCTCTTGTAAATTCGAAGACCTCAATTTATACAGTATATTAAATCCGGTTCGAACTGGCATTGTAGCGCTTACAAGGATCATATTTTTTTTTTACAATAAACGTTATGCGACAAATGTTATGCGACAAATACTTGCTGACGCCATCTGAAAAGATCACGCGTCAAACGTTATGCGACAATGTTCCAAAACTGACGTCACTCTTACCCCTAAAAACGTTGACGTCCTATGGCGGGAAAAATGCTGACGTCATCCGGCAGGGAAATCACAAGCTCATTAGTATTCCGCTATATGGGGGGGCACATCTACTTGTACTAAATCCAAAATTTTAAAGATAAATCACTGACAGACATTTTTCTGTTTGGCTAGTATCAAATGTTTACAATACAATAGTATACAATACTGTTTCTTTTAAAAATCTTATAAACAAGACGTGCAAATCATAGCAACGTTTACAAAAAAGGACAAATCTAATGCTTGTTTTAAAAACATTATATATGTAGAAATGGTGACAACTGAAAAGCCCATAAACGTTTGTTATAAAACCGCGCTCGTATGTGAAGAGAGCATTGAATAATAATAACACGAGAGAGCACTGGGAGTAACGATTTGCTTGGTTTCTTGACTTGACTGTTGGTATAGCCTGCGTGCAGGCCCAAGGGAACTGATAGTGGGCCTGCAACCATCGCCCGGTATTTTGTAAAACGCCCCTTTTCATAACACGCCCCATTCGCGCGTCAATTGTCAAAAAAGAACCAATGACAGCACCCAAATATTAACAAACAAACTCGCATTAAAATGTTGCGGGGTTTTCTCTGCTTATTCAGAACACTAATAAACAATGTGTAAATGGCTGCGTTTTAATTCCAAAACTGAAAGCACGCAACACAGTTAGTAATTGCCAAATTTGCAAGTGCTCATTTTCAACTAAAATCGGAACAGGCAAATTAGGACGAATATATTAATTTCAACAGAAAACCAGTCTCAAACTTCAAATCATGAGGGAAGTCGTGCGACCACATTAGGATTTATATTATGTGTGCTTCGCCGTCGCCATTGGCATTGTTATAAATAAATTGTCTCACTTATCAGATCGTGTGTGCAATTCTTGTTGGCGGCGGAAAGTACGAAATTTATTTCATTTGGTAAAGAACTCTACAAAAGAAGAGAGCGTTCCGAGTCCAGATCGTTTCGTTTCAAACGGCAATTTAATACCGCCTTCTGTTTCGCTCTCTCAGCGAAGCCTTGTAAATCGCAAAGTGTTTCGAATAGGCTTACAGTCCTTACGTGCAACTGCATCTCAACATCAACCAAAAGATAATTTTCTTGAGGAAGTGAGAACACATAACGTATCAACTGAAGTCTGTTTGAAATTAATGAAACTCAAGTAAAGGTTACTATAGTTTACCCCAGTCGTAATTTGCTATTCCAACACCTCACGACAAGCAATCCCCATTGGCATAACGGCAAAAACATGTCTTCCTTCAAGTAAACAATAAACAGTCTGTTCTTGTTCCATTTGTAATCGAAAAAGGTGATCAATTTTCAAATTTTAAGCTTATATCGAGAGCCTTTGCCTATGCCTTTGTGATGAATCACTGTTCCCTGGGGCTTGCACGCGGGCTAGGTTAATTAATTACCGATCGCCTCAGCTAGCCAATGGGAATTTAGCCGGCGGTTCGGCCGGCGAAAATCGAAAACATGGGGTGATGGTTGCAGGCCCACTATCAGTTCCCTTGGGCCTGCACGTAGGCTACTGTTGGCAAAAATGTTCTTGTAAATTCAAAGCAAATAAAATAAACAAAAATTAGCAAGTATTTTGAACTTACTGGTAATAGTTCGCAAAATTTATGTTTTTAACTGTTTGTAATTTGATACTTTCATCACACCCCCCTCGGGCAATCAATTTTGGACGAGGCACGTGACCAGCCGATACCAGGGTCTTTCCTAAAGACCCTGGGAACGAGGTTGCGCTTGGCCAAAGATTCTAAATTTCATATCCACAGGACCCTTGAACTTTTCGACATTTGCTGAACGGCTTTATGTGTAAACTACTCTTCGTATTCAAGCGCTTTCGTGTAGAAAATTTCGTTTGGATACGGCGAGCAGAAATATTTATTTTGAATTTTTCAAGATGTCGGGTTTTACTCGTACTTGCGTACATTGCGCAATAATTGGCCAATAAGAAGCTCCTGTGGCCGGGATGACGTCAAACTCACGCGTGTAGGTGCAATTTGACCTTGCGAACCATTTCTGGCCTTTCCAGGGTCATACGATACAAACGTCGCATTGTTTTCACGATTTTCGTCCTATTTCCGGTTGGGATTAACTCACTTCGAGCTCACAGTCGGACAAGAAATGGAAGTATATTTATAAAAGATACAGATTTGAAGATACCGGCTTGCAAATAACACTCTAAATAGTGTTTTTGATGGGGATTCGAACAAGACTATTACAAAGACGATATGCATGTTCGAAGGGGCCGAAGTTATTTTCGGCGAAAGGTATGGCTAGTCTATATTTTTGTTCAGACAATTGCGTAATTTGATACAATAGTATCGTGTTTGACTTTCAAAGGCCCATAAATCGCTACAATTTTGATAATGACTATAACTATAGTGAGGAATTAGTTGAATCTTTTATTTCTGAATCGCGATCGAATGGTGGTATTTCTGTCTTCATGGCATGCACTGAACCGCATATATGAAATTTCTCCCCGTCATGATCCTCTAGCGGATGACGAGCCTGGCTTGTGATGTAAAAGAGTTTTAAAGAATCAAATTATTATTGATAACAATATAAAATACTTCCAAAACTCTTCAACTTCAAAATAATCGTCCTCTGTTGACGTGCATCACTCGCTCTATCATTAAATTAAGTGGCTATTAAGTGGCTATTATATGTTGGCTATTAAGTGGCTGTTAAGTGGCTATATTAATTAAGTGGTTATTTTAACCTACTTTGTTCTAAGAAGGAAAAAGAGAAACGAATGGATTACAGATAGCCGGCTGTCGGTGGCTATTACTATAACAAGGAATGGGGAATCGGGGAAAGGAATCGGGGAACGGGGAATGGGGAATGGGGAATGCTAAAACCCGGAATACTATGTCGGTGGCTATTACTATAACAAGGAATGGGGAATCGGGGAAAGGAATCGGGGAACGGGGAATGGGGGAATGGGGAATGCTAAAACCCGGAATACTAAAATGGGGAATCTCTAAAACCCGGAATACTAAAATGGGGAATCTCTAAAACCCGGAATACTAAAATGGGGAATCTCTAAAACCCGGAATACTAAAATGGGGAATCTCTAAAACCCGGAATACTAAAATGGGGAATCTCTAAAACCCGGAATACTAAAAGCCGGGGTCTCTAAAACCCGGAATACTAAAAGCCGGAATCTCTAAAACCCAGAATACTAAAATGGGGAATCTCTAAAACCCGGAATACTAAAATGGGGAATCTCTAAAACCCGGAATACTAAAATGGGGAATCTCTAAAACCCGGAATACTAAAATGGTGAATCTCTAAAACCCGGAATACTAAAATGGTGAATCTCTAAAACCCGGAATACTAAAAGCCGGAATCTCTAAAACCCGGAATACTAAAATGGGGAATCTCTAAAACCCAGAATACTAAAATGGGGAATCTCTAAAACCCGGAATACTAAAATGGGGAATCTCTAAAACCCGGAATACTAAAATGGGGAATCTCTAAAACCCGGAATACTAAAATGGGGAATCTCTAAAACCCGGAATACTAAAAGCCGGAATCTCTAAAACCCGGAATACTAAAATGGGGAATCTCTAAAACCCGGAATACTAAAAGCCGGAATCTCTAAAAACCGGAATACTAAAATGGGGAATCTCTAAAAACCGGAATACTAAAATGGGGAATCTCTAAAACCCGGAATACTAAAATGGGGAATCTCTAAAACCCGGAATACTAAAATTGGAAATCTCTAAAACCCGGAATACTAAAAGCCGGAATCTCTAAAACCCGGAATACTAAAAGCGGGAATCTCTAAAACCCGGAATACTAAAAGCCGGAATCTCTAAAACCTGGATTACTAAAATGGGGAATCTCTAAAACCGGAATACTAAAAGCCGGAATCTCTAAAAGCCGGAATACTAAAAGCCGGAATCTCTAAAACCCGGAATACTAAAACGGAATCTCTAAAACCCGGAATACTAAAAGCCGGAATCTCTAAAACCCGGAATACTAAAATGGGGAATCTCTAAAACCCGGAATACTAAAAGCCGGAATCTCTAAAACCCGGAATACTAAAAGCCGGAATACCATATGTGGTCACAACACAACCAGCTCCATATGTGGTCACAACACAACCAGCTAGCTTTTACGCGAATTCAATATAACCATTTATACAAATCCAATGTAGTTTGTTACGACATAATTCTCGCAACTTCTTACTTCGATCAAGGATTACAAAAGATTATAAACTCCGAAAACTATATTCTGCAAGAAAACTGTTATAATAGAATTTTTAGCCAATTTAATTTTTAGCCAATTTATATCAAACATATTTAATATGCATGTATACCAACTAAAAAGATGAATACACTGCCATTACAAGTATAGCCACTTTCAGCTTTTTTAATATTTTAAATCTAGATCGACATTTTCCATTCAGCCAGTTTGTGAACTCAATCGCGTCGTTTTGGGGCAGTGTGAAATGGCCCGATAAATTCTAGCAAAAACATCAATTCATTTTTTTACAGTGAATAAAATAATAATAATAATTAAAACTTATATAGCGCAAATTAGCATGTAAATCTGATCAAATGTGCTTTACAGGAATTGATATAGACTAACCTATTTACATGCTATTTACTAACTTATTTTATACATATAAAAAAACCTGATTAGGCCTAATTTAATTTAGTTAAACGTTAAACGCAATCTTAAAAAAGTGAGTCTTCAAAACGTTCTTAAAACTGTAAAATTATTAATGTTACGGATATGTACGGGTAGTTTATTCCAGAGTGTTGGAACAGCAGATGTAAATGACCTATCTGGCGCCTAATGTCTTCTTCAATTTTGAACTAGCTAGTTGATTAAATAATATATAGTCCACCGTTAGATCGAAGATTGTATCTTAATTGTTCCCTGATGCTAATTAAACTATACAAATGTATTCAAGCGCAAGGCCGTGAATCGCTTTAAAAGTATACGAATAAGTATTTTAGTAACGCGGTATCTGATACGCAGCCATGCAATGCAGGGTATATAACACAGGAGTTATGTGGTCAAATCTTCAGATTATTCTCGCAGCAGAGTTCTGTGCACGCTGTAGTTTGTCCAGATCAACTGAGCCTGAGGGTAGGCCATAAAGGAGGCTATTGCAGTAGTCCAGGCGTCCGATAGTAAATGCTTGAACTATATAGTGTTTGCGTCGATTCTTTAGATAAATATTTCCTGATGCGCCTTATGTTATTTAGATGAAAGAAGCTTTTTGATCCACCGACAGTAAGATGATGAATGTTGACTTACAAAGTTGTTGCTTGGTCAATTACATGCAAACCGTCAGGTTTGTGTAAAAAGGAAAATGGAACAGCACAACATTACAATGATAAGTTATATCGCGATAGTATTCCGGGTTTTAGAGATTCCCCATTTTAGTATTCCGGGTTTTAGAGATTCCCCATTTTAATATTCCGGGTTTTAGAGATTCCGGCTTTTAGTATTCCGGGTTTTACAGATTCCCCATTTTAGTATTCCGGGTTTTAGAGATTCCCCATTTTAGTATTCCGGGTTTTAGAGATTCCGGCTTTTAGTATTCCGGGTTTTAGAGATTCCCCATTTTAGTATTCCGGGTTTTAGAGATTCCGGCCTTTAGTATTCCGTAGCCAGCGTGGCCGGTTCTATTGAAGGAGAGCCTGCCCGAAAGCCCTAGTCAAATTGATGACTCTCGGCAGCCAGCCGCCGAGAATTGTGATTGGCTGAATTTACGTTAACGACAGTTTGATTGACATGTTACGCTAATTTATTCAAATATTTAAAAATAAATACAGTAAAAACAAACGGCATCGCTATATTAAAGTGTAAACCTGTCGGCTAAAATATAAAATTCAAAAGAGAAAGTGTAAAATGTATAACATATACCGGTATCTAAACAGAATACGGCAAGCCATACTGCTATTACTGCATATGTCGTATGATTTTACCGTATGGTCACTATAGTATATAGAGTATAAAAACTTGGCTGTCCTTGCCTTGTTTATATTTTGCTGGCTGGCAAATTACGATTATATAAAACAATTCATTCCCCATTGTGTTTAATACACCATAATAATACGAAGCTCTCTTTGGAGCTTTTAAAATACATTTGCCTGCCAACGAGTATAACACGGGAAGGGGTCTATTTAAACTTTTCCTAAGTCATTATATTTAATACTGTAATATTTATAACTGTAGTACAGCCATACAGGTGCAAAGCATAATATAATTTTGAACGGTCTTCGTCTACTACTGGGCCTACTAAGGGCCTTCGCTCGAAATGCCGACGTTTTGCTTGTATTTCCAGGCAGTTGAATCGCTATCCATCTATTGTAAAAAGTTTATTGAAAGCATGTAGCGCAGGCTATAGTAAATATGCAACAATTAAAATTTTAAGTCATCAATTTATACAAAGCTATTTCGAGTGGGCGGTGTTAATATGGAATATTAACTAAGTGGGCGGCATCAATTTGACTAGGGCTTTCGGGCAGGCTCTACTTATAAAAGAGCCGGCCACGCTGGCTAGAGATTCCCCATTTTAGTATTCCGGGTTTTAGAGATTCCCCATTTTAATATTCCGGGTTAAAGAGCCGGCCACGCTGGCTAGAGATTCCCCATTTTAGTATTCCGGGTTTTAGAGATTCCCCATTTTAATATTCCGGGTTTTAGAGATTCCGGCTTTTAGTATTCCGGGTTTTAGAGATTCCCCATTTTAGTATTCCGGGTTTTAGAGATTCCCCATTTTAATATTCCGGGTTTTAGAGATTCCGGCTTTTAGTATTCCGGGTTTTAGAGATTTCCCATTTTAGTATTCCGGGTTTTAGAGATTCCCCATTTTAGTATTCCGGGTTTTAGAGATTCCCCATTTTAATATTCCAGGTTTTAGAGATTCCGGCTTTTAGTATTCCGGGTTTTAGAGATTCCCCAATTTAGTATTCCGGGTTTTAGAGATTCCGGCTTTTAGTATTCTGGGTTTTAGAGATTCCGGCTTTTAGTATTCCGGGTTTTAGAGATTCCCCATTTTAGTATTCCGGGTTTTAGAGATTCCTCATTTTAGTATTCCGGGTTTTAGAGATTCCCCATTTTAGTATTCCGGGTTTTAGAGATTCTCCATTTTAATATTCCGGGTTTTAGAGATTCCGGCTTTTAGTATTCCGGATTTTAGAGATTCCCCATTTTAGTATTTCGGGTTTTAGAGATTCCGGCTTTTAGTATTCCGGGTTTTAGAGATTCCCCATTTTAGTATTCCGAGTTTTAGAGATTCCCCATTTTAGTATTCCGGGTTTTAGAGATTCCCCATTTTAATATTCCAGGTTTTAGAGATTCCGGCTTTTAGTATTCCGGGTTTTAGAGATTCCCCATTTTAGTATTCCGGGTTTTAGAGATTCCGGCTTTTAGTAATCCGTGTTTTAGAGATTCCCCATTTTAGTATTCCGGGTTTTAGAGATTCCCCATTTTAGTATTCCGGGTTTTAGAGATTCCGGCTTTTAGTATTCCGGGTTTTAGAGATTCCCCATTTTAGTATTCCGGGTTTTAGAGATTCCGCATTTTAGTATTCCGGGTTTTAGAGATTCCAGGCTTTTAGTATTCCGGGTTTTAGAGATTCCCCATTTTAGTATTCCGGGTTTTAGAGATTCCGGCTTTTAGTATTCCGGGTTTTAGAGATTCCCCATTTTAGTATTCCGGGTTTTAGAGATTCCCCATTTTAGTATTCCGGGTTTTAGACATTCCCCATTCCCCGTTCCCCGATTCCTTTCCCCGATTCCCCATTCCTTGATAACCGCCCACTTTTTTGTCCGCCCACTTTTTTGTCCAATTAGCCAATCAGCAAACACTAAATATATTAATAATCAAACTGTCAAACACTCAAACTATGTTATTGTTTGGTCGCAAAATTGCAAATATAAAATATGTCTCTGAAAATATGTCGAAAGAAACGCCATTGAAAGTTTCAATCAGGACATCTGAATAACGACAAGAGGTCTTTAAAACTAAAACACGGGGCAATAGAGAAAGGCAAGCAAAAGAAACGATTACGACAGTGGCAAAACCTTGGCCGATCAATAAGCCGATCACGAATTGTGTTCAGTTCATTTTGGAATCGAAGATAGTTCTACCTCGGAACTATCAGACCGAGTTTGTAAACCGTGTGGGCGAAAGATCCGAAACGCAAGCGAACTGATTGCCATATTATTAAAATGAAACGCGACATAAACGCGTTGCCTGTGTACGTATCGAACAAATAAATTGTTGTATAAAAACGTCGGTTGCCAATATAAACTGTCTCGTCTCCCTAAGGAAGCCGTGTGTTAAAGAAAGCCTTAATTAAAAAGTTCAGACAGTGAAGCGGCTAACATTCCTAGGCGTATAGTAGTCCTGTTAAACACGTTGCAATATTAATAAGACACTACGGCGGTCTGTATTTTAATATTCTCGTTATATTTCTCGCGCCAACAAGAACAATGTAAGAATCAAGCTTTTCCCATAACCAGTAGGTAGAACGGCCGAAACATTCTTTACAAGGAGTAAATCTTTAACTGCTATCTCTTGCTCGCGTTTGAGATTTGACAATCAGTTCGCGTTAATTCGACTTTCGAGAAGCGTTCGTATTATGCCGTGACATATTAATTACAGTTGATTTCACGAAACTTTGGCCACGCCAATTGCGAGGTTGGTTGGGAATTTGGGAACTATAAACACGAGATCATCAAGATGATTGGAAACTGGCCAATCAAATTCGAAAGTTTCGCATCAAATTATCGAAATTCGTTATGAAATTCCGAACCAAGTTCGCAAGCAAGTTCGCAAATTGCAAACGATTTTGACGGTAAATTTTAAAAACTAAACTTATTGTATTAAACTTATTCATTTAATGGAAACTTTATTAATGAATTGTAAATCTCACTTATATAAGGTAATTCATGAAGTCTCCAAAATGTCAACTTCAGACCCATGATCTCAATAATGTCACATAAACCATATCTAAATCCAAGGCATTTTCGTCTTGGGAGACCACTGGACCGATATTTTACTGCAGTAATATGTGCATAAGTAAGAGTTATAAACCGAGTAGGGGGTTTATAACTGATATATTGACCCGAGGACGCGTAGCGTCCGAGGGGCAATATATCAGTTATAAACCGACTTACTCGGTTTATAACTAACTTATATCACACTTGCGGAGGTTTTCCAACATATTTTGTCATTTTCAAAAATTTTTAATGAAAAATTCTCGCGTTTTGTCTACAAGCCGTAATCCAATCATTTATTCAAGGTCTATAAGCTAGTTATAAACCTCGGACGAACAAAGAAAACCGACGCAAGTGTGATATAAGGCCTTATACAGGGTGTCTCAAAAAAACCCAAAATCATTGAAATAACGTATTGTTCGAATTTCAATGCCGTAACACAAAGGATTTTGACAGGGTGATTAATTTGTTTTAAAAAATTAAAATATCTTTGTAAAGTGAACGTTTGTTTGCTCATGGGAATTTAAAAATGCTTCGTAAATTGTAATATGCGTAATATGAATTCGTGGGTTTAGTACTTTATGCCTGACATAACAAGTTTACGCTGAGTATTACCATTCATTATAGCAGTTATGTCAATCTTTTATGCACTCGTGGGATTAACTTAGTGCTAGGGCATTGAATATCGAACAATACGTCAATTTCAATGATTTTGGGTTTTTTTGAGACACCCTGTACAGTAATCTGACCTCCAACTATGAACATTTGTTTACAATCAAAGTTCGAACTTTGAAATGAACTTGGGAACTTCGTTGCGAAGTTCACGCCCAACTTCCGAACTTGACAATGTAATTGACCATTTGCGTAATAGACTAAATTTTGATCTATTTAACAAATCTAGACAAAAATTTCATCACAGCTTGAAAGAGCATCACAAAATTAGTAATATTCCAAAGTTTCGTTGCGAAATGTTGTAAAATGTGGAAAATATAGCCTTGCGAAGTTTGCAATTTTCAGTCATTTTAGATTACAAACGGGAAATTGACAGCCTCAAAGGGTTTGGGGCTGTCAATTTCCCATTTGTAATCTAAAATGACTGAAAATTGCAAATTTCGCAAGGCTATATTTTCCGCATTTTATAACATTTCGCAACGAAATTTTGGAATATTACTAATTTTGTGATGCTCTTTCAAGCTGTGATGCAATTTTTGTTGAGATCAAAATTTAGTCTATTACGCAAATGGTCAATTGGCAAGTTCGCAACGAACTTGGGAACAGCCAGTGCTGTAACTACTATGGGCTCGGACCGGGAGAACCTGGGGCCCCCAACCCCAATGGGCCAAATGGGGGCCCCCAGTCTCAGGCTGTAGAGCAAATACATTGGCCAGGGCCTCTGATATGTTACAATGTCGTTTTCTGACCATCAGAATTCTGTAAAATCTCTCCCCAAAGTCCGGGAAATGGCATTTCAGAGAGTCTAGATTCAAAAATTTTCCGGAAAACTCGGGGAGTCGTGCATATACGGCGCTCAACTCGGCATTTCTACTATGGGGGGAGGGCCTTCGAAAATTTTGAACCGGGGGCCCCCTGATATAACGTTACGCCACTGGGAACAGCGTGTTGAAAAGTTGCCTAAAATCGACAATAACGCGCGCACCTTGGTCAGATTAAGGACTGGCCAAGTGTTCCTTGGTCAGGTTCGTCAGCTATAGGTCTGGCTAGCTTATGGCCGTATATAATCATATAGTACTATATTACCTAAGGTATGCGCCATAATTTTATTCATTCATAATGAGCACTAAAATCTTGTTTTATGCGTCTAATAAACACTTCGCCGTTTTCGCAGCTCTTATTGTTTTGTGCTCACCACTAATTCTCCAAACTTGACCGGCCGATCGAGCAGAAAGAGCAGTGGTTTATCCAGTACAGTTGCTGTTTTATAGAATAACTCATGAAATGGTTAGCACTGAACCTTACATCCAACCATTCGTAATTCCAGATCCTCGGCAGCCAACAGCACTGAATTTATCCGAAATATAAAACTTCAACCTATCAAACAATCCTGTATCGGTAGAACGTACTACTCGGATATCGGACTAACTTGTTGATGAACTGAAGATGAATACAAACACTCTTTCTTCGTTTAAGTCGATAATGTTCAAGTATTGTGATTCGTCTTTGTACTCATGTATGTTATAATTGTTGATGATCCGCGTAGTTATAAAACTATTTGTCTAAAGTGTAACTCTATCCGAAATCTACCAACGTCATTGTCGTGGACGTGGTGCTTGCATAGGAAGTGCAATGCGTTGTCGTTTTAGAATTTATCAATTGTTGTTAATGTTTTCAATATTGATTGGGTTCGCAGTAATCGGCTGATAAATTGCGGATTCCCTACCTTGAACTATGTAAAGTAAACGAATTATGCCTATAACAATTTATCATAGTGTGTGCAAGGTGGCGTTTATAAATGAATAAACATATAAACGAGAAATCAGAAATCTGGCGTTCCTTTTGGGCTATCAGGCCTGCTATTCTCCATAACCCCTTATCGTTTGTAAGTACTCACTCGAGATTTAAAATCTCAACTTCTGCCTACATGCTATATCTCATGAGCTATATAGTCAAGCCTGCAGATATTGGTCGTGAGTTTTTATCTTTTACGTACAGGAGATATAAACTTGCTGCTTTAAGTGATCTATAGTACACCGCTATACAGTACCCATTGAGCTATCAAGATTTGAAGGTATTGGTAGTCAGTCTTTATCTTTTTTATAATAGAACAACTATAAGATTAGACTTACCAAAATTGATGACTTTGAGAAGATATTTCTGCACCAAATTGGTCACGACGGTTCAATTTTATTTTCAGTTTGAGACCACACCTCACGTTGTCCTAATATGTTTATTACTGATATGTTTTGTTTCAAAAACATCATGTGACATGAACGGCACTCTCTCGTATCTATAATAAGGAGATAACTGTTTAGGTTGACAATAATTGTAACCATGCATCAGACTGTGAGATTAGTGAGAATTGGATTTGCATCTGTTTGAAATTCCCGTGTATTTGCATTTGAAATTCCCGTGTATTTGCACACTGTAGAACTATATACAAAGAATTATATACAATATCAATGTACACTTATCACGCCAACATAATATCAATTATATTACGAACATAAATATAATTACGAACACTAGAAAGTTTGATCATATATCACACTTTTTTTGTCAGAATTGAACTGTTTACCAGTAAATAGTATACGTTGAATCTTAAGACGCTGTAATGACTTTTAAATGTCTAAAAGGCTTATAGCCTCCAACATACTTATCAGAAAAGTTTAAACAACGATCACAGTGACATAAATGTAACACTAGAAGTAGAGATACGTTACAAACTCCGTTTTATCATAGTGCCTCTGGCCAATGTAGTTTTATGTACAGAGCCGTAAAAATTCGGAACGATCTACCTGATACCATAAAGAGTATCGACTCTGTGACTAGTTTTAAATTAGAATATAAGAGGATTCTTAACAAGTTGTAACTTATAGATTTTCAGTAGTTATACTTTAACATTGTAATTGGATGTATGTTATAACTTTTAGATTTTTTATATATAAATTAGTATGTATTAGATTAATTCTGAGGAGTCCACTGGGAGAATTAATAAAGTATAATAATAATGTTAATTCTTTGGTTGCTTGTCAACAATCCAAGTATGCAATTAAGTATGTGGGAAACACCTGGTAAATCTACAGGGTGTATGAAAGAAAAGGAAACCTTTAGAAATCGACCATATTGTTAAAATTTGAATGCCTTTTCAATTGCACATATATGCTGAACGGTGGTGCGTGAAATATTGATGGGGTGCATATATATTAGAAAAAGGAGACCTTTACTCTTCAGAAATAGACCTTTCCCTTTTGAGTGACAAAAAGTCTGGACAATTTCATCACAGCTTGAAAGAGCATCACAAAATTAGTAATATTCCGAAGTTTCGTTGCGAAATGCTGTAAAATGCGGATAATATAGCCTTGCGAAGTTTGCCGTTTTTCAGTCATTTTGCATCAGATGATCAAACTGATTATCAATTTCTCATTTGTAATAGTTGACCTGCATCTAAGGGCGCTTTCCATTTAACGGCCTGACCGGTCAGATCCGAATTCTTTTCTCTGTATCAATGGAAAGATCTGGTCCATATTTCTCAAATATCAAGCGAAAATGGACCTCATTCTGATGTTCTCTAAATTTTCTGGTCAGATATAGGTCGGAAGCTCAAATGTTTTGTGTTCCATTCAACAATTTGACCGTTCTGACCGGTCTGGCCGTGTTAATGAAAGCGCCCTATGGACGTAAAGCGTCTTTAAAAAATCATTAACTCGACGAAAGACACGCAAAATCACTGTTTATTATTGGCTCACACTATATGACCTGCAAAACACGGCTAAACGCAAAATAGTAAGATTCTATTGGCTGTTGCATTACCTGTCTTGTATGATACATATGTTGTCCTGAGTTATTCGTTTTCGGTAATTTGCATGGTCATAACATTTTGGTAATACATCATTACTATAATCTATATAGCAGATAGTCATTTTGACAGATTATGCGTGTCCTTTATAGTCTTTACTATTACTACAAAGGACAATTTGTATAGATATAGAAAATGGTACCCGGACATTTTGCCAAAAGACACTTTGCCGAAAGACATTTTGCCGAACGGACATTTTGCCGAACGGACATTTTGCCGAAAATAGAGATAATCTTCTGAACTTTATAGGTTCGCTTACACGGCCAAAATTTCTGCGATTAAATTAAAGTCATTGTGAGATTTTGATGACAGAAACTATGATAGTGAAGTATAGTATCCTTTTATATTCTTTCAAGTTTTTGACAAGTTTACCGAAATTTCGCGATATGAAGAGTAACATCATTCAACATCATTGATGCTGCGATTTCCCCGAGAACTGTGAATGTATTCCATGATTCTCGAAGTGAAATTCGCTTACGTCGTTGTCTTTGTATGCGCTTGTTTGTTGACGACCTGACGTCAAAACACGTTCCTAACAAATGACTCATCCGCTGCACAAACAAGCTATATAATTGTCAATATGGTTATGTACTGCTGATGACCCATTATATAAGCACTGCTTATTTTACACAATGGTTGAGAATTACAAAGTTGAGAAACGAGGCACAGTCCCAAACTTTTTGACGATATTTCGTATCTTTTCGCATCTCTATTTTCGGCAAGTTGTCTGTTCGGTAAAATGTCCGTTCGGCAAAACGTCCGTTCGGCAAAATGTCCGTTCGGCAAAGTGTCTTTCGGCAAAATGTCCGGCCACCATATAAAACCTATACTCGAGCTGCGTGCCTGTCAAAGTTGTACATTTCGCGAAGCATATTTCGTTCAGCAGGACAAATTAATTTTCGGGCTTGTCTAATGGACCATTCCCCAATTAATCAAAATTTTGAACTCAACAAGTCTATAGACAAAAATTTCATCACAGCTTGAAAGAGCATCACAAAATTAGTAATATTCCAGAGTTTCGTTGCGAAATGTTGTAAAATGCGGATAATATAGCCTTGCGAAATTTGCAATTTTCAGTCATTTTAGATTACAAACGGGAAATGGTTACCACTTCTGTTCGTAATACAAAATAACTGAAAATTACAAACTTCGCAAGGCTATATTATCCGCATTTTACAACATTTTGCAACGAAACTTTGGAATGTTACTAATTTTGTGACGCTCTTTCAAGCTGTGATGAAATTTTTGTTTAGGCTAGTTAAGATCAAAATTTTGGAAAAGCGGTAACCATTTCCCGTTTGTAATCTAAGGCTGCGTCCAGACTGGGTGCCCGGCACTGGTGCCCGGCACTTGTTTTGGCTCCCAGTTTGAACACGACGCTTTCAAATAAAATTGGGCACAGTGCCCAAGAACGGGCACTACCTCTAGGGGTAGTACTCAACAACGGCACTGTGCTCAACATGTTTTGTGAACCATTTTGAACATTGGGCACCAGTGCCGGGCACTCAGTCTGAACGAACCCTAAAATGACTGAAAATTGCAAATTTTGCAAGGCTATATTATCCGCATTTTACAACATTTCCCAACGAAACTTTGGAATATTACTAATTTTGTGATGCTCTTTCATGCTATGATGGAATTTTGTCTACATGCTGCAGGGTGTATCAAAAAAAGCGCAACCTCGTAATTTCCCAAGAAATCGACATTGTTTTAAAGACAAAAGATTTTAGGCGCCTGGGAATTTAAAATAGCACAACTGTCAAAATTACTGCACACACGAGTGCATAAAGCAAAATTTATGCATTTATTTAATGCACAACAACAGTAATATGATCTATTAGCAATTCAATTCCCAGGGGCCTAAAATCATTTATGCTTAAGAATTGCAAAGTAATTTCTTAGGAAATTCCGAGGTTGCGTTTTTTTTTGATACACCCTGTAGACTTGTTGCGATTAAAATTTTGGTTAATTGCATGGGGATTGGTCCATATTGCCACTCTTGGAGGCATGGCTCAAATTGTTTGTGTAGCACGATTACAGTCTATACGTGATAATTAAGTTATGCGCTAAGTTAAGCCGGTCTAGTGACATTAAAAATACTATATTTCCCAACAGTAGTAAAATATTGTGAGTTGCGCGGCATTGTGAAATGCATGTATGCGTTAAACGTTTGTATATCTTAAACGAAACCGCATGAAAATTTCGTTACTAGTTATAGCTTACTCGCCTCTTTGCCTTTAATTGAGCCAGTTAAATTAAGGCTTTAGGCCTTTACTCTTTAGCCGAAAGTGAGTTACGACATTGAGTTGCATATGAGTTCACTTGTATATCTATTCGATTATTCTTTTATTCTTTAGTTGACGGTTCTGTTCATGATATTAGAGAGTTTAAGTTCGACTTCCAATACCAATACCGATGTTTTCACTTCCGTTCTCATTTTGGTACCGGGAATTTTAAAGCGTTAAGTTATCACGACAGATAAAGTTTAGAACACATTAATCGTCACCGAAAATGTGCGGTATACTAAACGGCAGCTGAGCTAAAATTCCGACTAAAATATGACTCAGGCGATGCTAATAAACAAATAGTTTACATGTTTATCGTAAAAATTATGAAATATCCGATTTATATGAGTTTATCTTACAATTCTCCCGACTTCCAATACAAGGCTGACTTCGGTAGTGGTGACTTCCAATACACTTGTCCTCGTGCTTCTTGCGAGCAGAGAGCATGCGCATGACATGTTGTTTGTATCGGTGTTGGTATCGGAAGTCGAACTTAAACTCTCTAATCATGCATGCAAATTCTACCAAATTTGTTTCTTGCAACGTGTAATGCGAATGGAATTTTGTCTCGGCACAACAATGTTTGAACATTATAATGTACGTCGAATTGTGACATGTCCTTTTAAATCTTGCCGGTTATTACTTCAGTGCGGAATGATCTATACTTTTAAGATCAGTTCAAATAACAACATAATTATATATATATCTTTATTATATCAACTATAGTGCTTTATAGAGATTTCGAGCACCGAGAAAACTGACTACCCACCTGTGGCTGTGAGAATATTTATGATAATTTCACACGTGAAAATTATCGCTTTCCAATTATCGCTTTTCTGTAAAAATTATCGCTATTCAAAGACTGTCCTTTATATAATAAACAGAAAAATACATGGGTGCTTCACGGGAAATACCAGATTTATTTCATCTCACTTGTTCGCTGTGCTCACTCGTGAGATATTATGTTGAACATTCGAATTAAATCTGGTACTATTCTCTGTCATTTAATAATATAATTATCTTCATCTGTCCATCTAACCGTAAAATCTATACACTTAGGTCGCTATTATGCACCTTATTAGCACATATCCTTCATGTAACCAATCAAATAATTTGAGATTTTTGGCTAGATGCAAATTTTATTACTGGATATAAGCTCGTTTATTTACGTCCTTAGATGCAGGTCAACTAATGACTGAAAAACGGCAAACTTCGCAGGGTCATATTATCCCCATTTTACAACATTTTGCAACGAAACTTCGGAATATTACTAATTTTGTGATGCTCTTTCAAACTGTGATTGTCTAGACTGCATGTGGAGCTACTGTAAATATTGTTTTTCCCCTCTTTAAAATAAAGTATTAATTAAGTAACTAAGTCTAAGGGCTTGAACGAAGGCAGTAGAATATAAATATGCCAATGAGTAAAGTAAAATGAAAATACAGCGCATCGCAGCTGGTTATAAATCTCCAAAGTATAAAAAAAAACACATTGAAGCTGCGACAATATGGGTAAATGTGAGCAAAATATTCCACATTGACGGGTTGATATTATACCTTGGGTGTCTTGATCACGTTTGAATGTCTCATCTTCCGGCTACAAAATAATGCATATATGTATAAATGAGTACTATAAGTCACGGAAAATTATGAATATACCAAGATATCGGGCAAGATTGAGAAAAATTATGAAATAGTAGCCTACTAAGGCTATGATGAGTTTAAAATTTTTTAATTCTAACAATACTGATCTAATAAGTTCTTTGTATGTATGCATGGCGATAAAATATAATAGTTTTGTTTGTGGAAACACCACGTAAATTTATTACTGCAAAGCTTTCGATCCGTAAGCCCGGATCTTCATCAGTGCTAATAATATGTGACGTAATATATGAACAACGAGAGCGAGTGTTTCACCGGGATATCCAAACACGAGAAAACAATGTATGAGAACACGAGCGCGCAGCGCGAGTGTTTTCATACATTGTTTTCGAGTGTTTGGATATCCCGGTGAGACACGAGCTCGAGTTGTTTATATGGCTTCTCAAATGAATCGAGACGTAACAGAGTGTTTTCGTTTGCTGATTTGAATAGAATTCTTAACCAAGCATAACGTAATTAGGAATTCTATTCAAGTAATTTTGCATGCGTAATTAAGATATTTGATGAAAACACTAGTGACTTTCATCAAGTATCCAAATGGCATCTTGTGATCAAATAGGTGATTATCATTGGCTGAATTACTCATGAATTATTAATGAATTTGAGAAGTAGAATGTCAAAACTTCGACATTTGCAACACCATAAAAATACAACACCATATATATATATATATATATATATATATATATATATATATATATATATATATACATTTGCAACACCATAAAAATACAACACCATATATATATATATATATATATATATATATATATATATATATATATATATATATATATATATATATATATATATATATATATATATATATATATATATATATATATATATATATATATATATAGAGATATATATATATATATATAGCTCAGCCGACAAGACTTCATATGTAACAAACAGAACGGCTACGTTTGAAGGAGTTTATTAAAAAAAGGTATATTAGATACAAAAACTAAATTTTCGGCTGCATGCCACAGCATTCTTCAGAGTGCCTAGCTTTACACAGAACATACTTATATACAATAAATAAACTGGAAGGTGAAGGCTGCTACAAATGTGATGCCAAGCGCTGTGATAGTTGTAAGAACTTTTTGATTTTTGGCAATTCCTTTCGTGCAGCTGCCACTGGTAGGATATTTCTTATTTTAAAATCTTTGACGTGCACTTCCAGTAATGTAGTGTATCTTGCTGAGTGTGTGCTTTGTGGTTTGCAAGGTGTTGGCTCTATACGGCCAATTTTAAGTCCAGACTAGCTAACTACAAAACACACATTAAGCATAAGCGCCGGACATGCAGTATAACTAATCATTTTATTGATGTGCATGAGGCGGATCATTCGAGCTTAAAATTTATGCTTATTGATCAACACCATAGTGAAGTACTTAAGAGTGAAAACTTTTGGATAGGAATGTTGTTGACCAACCGGAAAGGCCTTAATGGTAGTCATGATTTCGCCCAACAATAGTAATTTATTCATTACTTAAGAGTGAAAACTTTTGAATAGGAATGTTGTTGACCAACCGGAAAGGCCTTAATGGTAGTCATGATTTCGCCCAACAATAGCTGATTTATTGTATATAAGTATGTTCTGTGTAAAGCTAGGCACTCTGAAGAAGGCTGTGGCATGCAGCCGAAAATTTAGTTTTTGTATCTAATATACCTTTTTTTAATAAACTTCTTCAAACGTAGCCGTTCTGTTTGTTACATATATATATATATATATATATATATATATATATATATATATATATATATATATATATATATATATATATATATATATATATATATATATATATATATATATATATATATATATATATATATATACAGCTAATTCAATAAAGGTTGCCCTTTACAAACCTTAAACTCTAAAACCTTAAACCTTAAACTCTAAGCGCGCAAAGCGTAATGAGAGCACGATTTAAGCAGTTTAGAAAGCATATATGGAGCCTATTTCTTAGAGACCTGGTAAATATCTCCCTGCGAAAACATTTCACTCACAAACAGCTGCAATATACAACTAAAATCTATACACTTAGGTCGCTATTATCCACCTTATTAGCACATATCCTTCATGTAACCAATCAAATAATTTGAGATTTTTGGTTAGATGCAAATTTTATTACTGGATATAAGCTCGTTTACGCCCTTAGATGCAGGTCAACTAATACAAAATGACTGAAAAACGGCAAACTTCGCAGGGCTATATTATCCCCATTTTACAACATTTCGCAACGAAACTTCGGAATATTACTAATTTTGTGATGCTCTTTCAAGCTGTGATTGTCTAGACTGCATGTGGAGCTACTGTAAATATTGTTTTTCCCCTCTTTAAAATAAAGTATTAATTAAGTAACTAAGTCTAAGGGCTTGAACGAAGGCAGTAGAATATAAATATGCCAATGAGTAAAGTAAAATGAAAATACAGCGCATCGCAGCTGGTTATAAATCTCCAAAGTATAAAAAAAAAATATTGAAGCTGCGACAATATGGGTAAATGTGAGCAAAATATTCCACATTGACGGGTTGATATTATACCTTGGGTGTCTTGATCACGTTTGAATGTCTCATCTTCCGGCTACAAAATAATGCATATATGTATAAATGAGTACTATAAGTCACGGAAAATTATGAATATACCAAGATATCGGGCAAGATTGAGAAAAATTATGAAATAGTACTAAGGCTACTATGGGTTCCCTATGAGTTTACAAATTTTTAATTCTAACAATACTGATCTACACGACAGACCCTCAAAATCTTTGAGAAAGCCCGCACATTGAAAAGGAACATTAACATTAAGAGCAGGTCCATGCAGGCGTTTTTAATATATCTTATTGGATTCTTCTGAGCCCAATATGGCAAAATATTAAGTCGAGACTTCAATATTGGGCGAGACCGAAGGTCGAGCCTAATATTGAAGTCGAGACTTAATATTTTGCCATATTGGGCGAAGATGAATCCAATAAGAGTTTTATTATGTCGAACAAAAGAATTCTTTAAGAAAAAATTGTCAATAAGCGATAAAGTAATGCAGCATGAATAATACAGCGACAACATTACAACTACATATATCGGCGGCAAATTTGCTTAAATAACTAAACAAAAGTTAATAAACTTGTTTTTACAAATATGTGTCCATAAATAAACTCAATTCCATAATGTTTAAAGGAAATTTGACCTAATTTTAACGAAAAAATAATATCACTAACCTCGAGGCTGTTGTAAACAAATGAATTTCGTGAAGACAAGTTTTCCCGCGCTTTTATATTTTTGAACAAAACTTGTAGAAAAAACTGTATTAATGTCTCAAATTCTTTTCATTAGTCTGCCATATCGCTAGTCGTATGTTTGGAATTGACAAAACTTCTGAAAAGGGTTGAAAAACCATGAAAAATAGGTTCCTGTCCAATAGGTTCCTGTCCAATATCGTAAAATATGTTTAACAAAACTTGTTTTCTATGCCTGCATGGCGGCATCTGAGACCATAATACAGTCGAACCCCTATAAGCGGACGGCCTCTTTTAAGCGGACACATATCTCAGGTCTCATTCGTTTTCTTTAATAAAATACTATTATCATAACGCCTATTAAGCGGACACCCCTCTTTAACGGACGCGGACACCTTACTCGAGGTCCCAATGGGCAAACCAACCTCTCTTAAGCGGACAGACGGCAGATTGTCTGATAAAATGTATTCAATATTCAACAGTAAATAACAATTGAGATCAATTTACATGGCATATTGACAGTGACAGAGCCAAGATTATTTTGGAAGTGACGAACGAGGACGTAGGACTGTGAGCCGCCAGCCAAGGAGCCGAAAGATATGTGTCAGATCACTGATGACGACAACGAAGCGAACAAAAAAGATGAATTTGATTGGTCTCTTAACGAACCAGTCATTAAATCTTCCTCCGAAGTTCCTAACGTCGTCGAGCGGCTGGCAGAATTCGCACAATTTCGAGGTTTGAGGGGGACATTGGGATTTACGGTATGGCGGTATTAGCTTAATTTTCTTACGGTATTTCGGTATTTTCCTTGAAAAATTGCGGTATTACGGTATTGGAAATCTTGCGGTACACGGTATTTGCAATTTTGGACTCAAAAACTGCGGTAATTGACAAAATTTGCTTTCGGTATTACGGTATTGAATACCCCCCAATGCCCCCCTCAGGTTTGGAAGAACTTTCCAACGTCATTTCTATGTAAATGACATTATAATTGCTATCGTCTGCGTGAGCCTCGGAAACAAACTTGTATCGATTCCTTTTTTATCTGACTGTGAGATACGTATACATTATCTAATGAACTTTTATGCACAAAGAATTTTTCATTTTATGTTAATTATTTGCTAGATATTTTTTACTGTTTTGATACTCAAATTACACACCTTATTACACACCTTTGCCTCCTGCTGTGTTTTTCTTCATACCCCCTTTAAGCGGACACCCCTTTTAAGCGGACACTTAGGCGAGGTCCCAAAGGTGTCCGCTTAATAGCGGTACCAATTTAGTAATAAGAATAACCAAATAGGAAAATATCAAATCAAAACATCCATAATTTGAGGGGGGTGCAAAAACTTTTTTGGGGCAGTGCCAAAAGCCTCTGGGGGGGGGGGGGTCTGTCTATCTATCATGTATAAATATATGCTGGTTTAAAACTAAATATTTGTCATGAAAAGTTTATAGAATTCCAACTTTTAACCTATAAAGTTGCATTGCGCCCTACTTTGTTATTCTGCCCTGTCTAACAACAGATGATTTTGCTCGTCAAGGGGAAAGCGCAGACATTTAATGGTCTTGTGTCCAATAACCCATTAAGTTAAATAGCACTCTAATGCTCTCTACTTTATTATTTGACTCTGTCAAATACCAGACAATTTTACTCGTCAACAGAGTGCTGGAGCTCATTGGGTTAAACTTATTAACCCCGGCTTATGATTCCTGGCTGGCCATGCCAGTTATTGGCTATCTTAGACAGGGACGTAGCAACCGGGGGGGGGGGTGTAAATTCCCCACAACTGTGAAACTCAACTGCAAAAATCAGGTAAAATTCAAGTTAAAATTTTGACATTTTCAGCTAAGATTTGCATAACAAAAAACCCCGTTTTTGTAAGATACAATCAATTTACATCCAATTTGTTTGCGAATTTACTTTAAAAAATGCCCGAAATGCAGTCCTAAAGCTTCAAAAATGTAAACACTTTCTGGGGTAGGACCCACAGACCCCACTTTTCTTATAAAATCCTTTGCCCCCCCCCCCTCCCTCCAACTTCAGATGCTTCGCTACGCCCCTGATCTTAGATTTCAGAAACAACTTTGGGGTCACTTAACCCTCAGAAACAATTTTGGGGTCACCCATCAGAAAAATTCATGGGGGGTGTGGACAATAACAAGTTGGTTAAGTACTATTTAAAACACAAGCAGGAGTGCTTTATCAGCTATACAGAGTGTTCAGTATATCTAATAAAGCACAGGTTTTAAATGGCTTAAAAAAAACAAGCCAATCTGATGAGTACATTGGCAAAGTAATTTTTAAAATAAACGTTGTCTAAGCTGAGAAGCTAAAGTTTATGTAAATTAACATGACTTTTTATCACATATAAAACCACAGAGACGGCAGCGATTTCTTTTGTCTTTTCTTCATGAATTATTGAGTTTTTTAACATACCATAAAGTCTCGAAAGTAAGCACCCGGGCCTCGAAAGTAAGCGCCCCTCGAAAGCAAGCACCTTTTTCAACACTTAATGCTAGAGAATCTGGAAAGTAAGCGTCCCCTCGAAAGTAAGCTTCCCCCCCCCCCACCCCCCCGAAAAAAGTTTTTTAAAGTTGTAAAACATAGGGTATATATAAAAGAAACTCTCTAAACCATATGTATACCATATATACTCTATAGCATGGATTTAAAAATGTCTGATGCTGAAAATAACTACTCGAAAATAGGCGCCCTTCGAAAGTAAGCCCCCACTCAAAAGTAAGCGCCCCTTGAGGCCACTAATTTCGAAAGTACGCAGGGCGCTTACTTTTGAGACTTTACGGTATTATAATTATACTGTTAGGTATTTAATATCGTCACTTGTCTGAGCTGTTGAAATCGCTGTGTTAATAAGAAATAAATGGAGGGGGTTATATTCGGGAGGGCTTATATTCGGAGGTTTACGGTATCTTGTTTAAATAGCTCAAATCTTCAGTTTACAAGATGTTAATATTCAGAGCATCCGACTGATGCGAGTGTGTTTCATCTTATATTTTACAAGATGATATTATTGAACAATACTTTACCCAGTCTTCACATATGTCTCCCTGTTCTTCTTTCCTCAAATTCTCATTCTGTTCTTGATAGAATTCATTTAAAATGGCCAGGGTGTCAGCAGGCAACTTTAATAGGCTCGTCATCACAGCTAAATAATTGTATTATTTATAACTGATTGCAGAATCGTTGTAAACAAAATACGACAAGTAATGTCTCCAAAATAAGGACAAATTTCCAGTAGTTTTATTAAATACAAGGACAAAATTCCAATACAAGAACAAATTCCAAGAAATATTATATTAAAGCGCTACAGAACGCTAGAGTGTAACCTAGCAAGGTATGTGAAAGACCGCTGAGCCCCAGATTTTTGAAGGAAATTTCCTTTTTGAAGGAAAATTCGCCAAATTAAAACGAAGGAAATGTAAGGGATATACAATTTTAAGGAAAATTTAATGGAAATTATAGAAAACCGACGAAAATTTCGAGGGAAAATTGCCAAAAATTATGCCAAACGCAACCGGAAATTGCGGGCTCAAGACAAGATTGCCGCGCTCAAGACAAAAATTAGTGAGATACCCCGGTTTCGGTGTACGGGTACGAGTAGTGTCATCTTGTTTACTAGTTTTTACTGATGCCTGTAATTCAATCATACTTTTTCAGACTTCTCAACTCTCACGCATTCGGCGTGAGTCTCACGCAATTCGCTTCACTCTCACGCTCTCACGCCACGTTTAGTAAATCTCACGCATATAGCAGTTTCATAGTATTTTTTCAATAATATAATATTGTATTCTTAAAGGCACATTATTAATCATTATACGGATCGGAAATCGAAAATATAATCGTGTGTTATTCATGTTCCTGCATATACGGCCCGACATTTTGCCCGCAATTTGGATACAAAATAGTACGCATATGTAAATACGGCGGACAAAAGACACAAAAGGCAGAATCAGTCGGAGCAGAATTCTATATGTAAATTATCAAAGGCAAATTAAAGCACATTACTGTATGTCCACTATTGTCCAGTGCATTACACGTTACATCCTCGAAGCTGAAACTGATTAAGTACGTCTCGACTGAGGAAAACAACGATATACTGGAGGAACTTGATTTGTAAAATCTCGTTAAAGCAGCTGTAGATATATGTGTAAGCGCTCTCGCGAAATGTTGGACACTAGAGCCCAGGCTCTTATGTACTTTTGGATTGAGATAGTGTGTGAGTAGAAACATATAGTATGCGGTGAACACTTTTTTCCATCCAGCAAACCGCCCTATCGATTTTGTAAAGTCGTTTCTTTTTGGATTTTTTCATTAATTCGGTTAGGGTTAGAGTTAGGGTTAAGGTTAGGGTTAGGGGTTAGGGTAGGGTTTGGGTTAGTTACATAGCCATTTAACACCTGCGAAAATGACGCCAGGTCAGTTTGCTGGATGGAAAATAGTGCTAACCATAGTATGCGTGTGTTGATCTTTGCGAACTTGCGAATAATATAATTTATAGTAAACTAAACCGTTTGATATTGAAACCATTCTAAGTGCGATACCTGCGATTGTGGCACTATATAGAGGACAAATCGGTTAGTACATTTATACGATATTTGTCAATTTGACTTTATATTTTGTTCTGTTTAACGCATAGTTTTAACGTAAAGTAAGAGCGTACTTATCTTTGTATTCTAGTTGACGTCAGGTCTTGGATTATTGTGATATTGCGATTAAATACAATTCATACAAGGCTTGTCAGTTTTGATTTAATACGATTTAATTCCTCGGTTGCATTCGAAGTGCCACATATAAAAACTCGTGCGAACCGTCAAAATTAGACCGGGAGTTATAATATGGTTCGAAGAAGAATAGATTTAGTGTAGATTTACATGTATACATTATCATAGCATGAATATTCTTCTCATACTTATTCTGTATCGTTTAAATGCAACATTTCTGATCAAAATCACATTGGGATTTTCTTCTCCCAGCATCACAGAGGGGAAATAAGGTGACGCTGACCGGCTCCTCCTGTTTTTCAAGGTGACTGTTCCAATTTATTTAATTCCGAGTAGAAAATTAGAAATGTCTGGGAAAATTTATGTCTTCGATGTACTTTATAATCTTCGGAATTATGCAAGATTTCACCCCCAAAATGCTTGCAATCGCATTTCAGGGACTCTAGATTTCAAAATTTTCCCGGGGGTGCATGCCCCCGGACCACCCTAGATGGTCTTGCGCCTTCGGCGTTCGCTTCGCCCCCCCCCCCAAAAAAAAAATGAAGGTCTGGCTACGCCACTGTGTATGTCGCAGAAATACAGTTATTGTAACTAAAGTTCCTTGTCTTAAAGGACGTTATGAAGCAATGTATTTCATTAAAAAAACGGCCAACTCTCATCATGTACGAAATGCCATTTCAGACCCCCTGACTTTTATAAAGGTCTCATCCACATCCCCAATCTCACTCTTAACTTCCGTCTGCAAAGTTGAGAGGTCTGCTTTTTCTGTTTTCTTGCAATAGACAATGATATAATGCGAAAAATGTGCACCTTAATTACGAGTAAAGGTACAGACATCGACGAAAATATTGCTAGCCAAAATCATGCTACCCATACCCCGAAACGGGTACCAATTTTATCCGTGCCGTACCAAAATTGAGCGTAGTGTAAACGAGGCTTTAAACTCACTATTGTCAGCCTTTCCGCACGTTGAAATCAATAATCTATTGGCGTTGTAATGCCATTGTATGCAATAAAGTATTGCGTTGTAATAGTTTACAATTACAATAACACTAATCCAAACGTTAATCATAATCCAAACCCTAATCTCTAACCCCTAACCCAACCTCTAACCTCTTAGCCTGTTCGCAGGCTACTAACCTCTTGGCCAAAATCCTGAGCAGTTCCTGAGCGGAAATGGGTCTTTATAATTACGTTTGTAACGCTTGACTTGAATAACAATATGGAATAGAATAGAAATTCTATTAGCCCAAAACATTTTATTTCCATCCGTCAAATTTTTGTCTAATCTGGAGATAATTCTCGAAAAACAATTCGCAGTTAGATGTTTTGAATTTTCAAACTTTGCCCCATCCCCCTTGTATAATGTTGGTAATTAAATGATATGTGTTGCAAATCCACTGAACAAACATTGTTCGGGGGGAGTTCAGGGAAACTAGTTGGTTCCAAATGAATGAATGCCCGTATTTTCAAAACATGTCTTCAAATTTGGATATACCTAGTCTACGGATATTTTTTTCCAAGATTATAGATTTTGCATGTTTACATGACAACAGAATGTTGTCGGTCTCTTTCACAAATTTAAAAAATTATCACCGTAAAAGCATCTTCTAACAATTAATTACAATTTAGTTCACTATCATCAGCCTTTATCATGTTACTTTGTATGTCGTAAGAGTCAGCAACATCAAAATATTTTGCGTCTTCGTTCCTAATAATACCTTCCTTTTTCCAGATCACATCCACCATGGCACATTCTACCAAAGTTGTCGCTACAGTCGACAACATCGTTATGGTTTGGACCTAATTGTTCTTTTCGAATTTCCAGTGCCCGTTCACTGAATCTTCCTTAGCTTTTTCCAGTTCACCTTTCTTATAATGCAAGTTTCCAAGCCACACGAAAGAACGAGCAACATCAACATGATTTGAACCGAATTTGTGTTTTTTGAATCTCTAGTGTCCGTTCATGCTAATGCCTAGCTTTCTCTTTATAATACATGTGAGCAGCCAGGGTGTTTATGAAAGTTATCATGCAGTACTACTTCAGAATTTTAAATGCATGCTAATGAAGACTGAGATTGTCCCCATACATGCGCAGTGAACACTAATAAAGTAAATAAATAAATTCATTTACAAGTAAGTTAATGCACTTCAAAAAAACTCATTAATAATTCATGAGGGAAACACAAAGAAAAACCATAAGCGTATCGTATCTTATTTTTATACAGGGTGTATATAAAAAAGAGACCTTTAGAAATCAACCATATTGTTAAAATTTGAATGCCTTTTCAATTGCACATATGCTGAACCGTAGGGCGTGAAATATTGATGGGGTGCATATGTTAGAAAAAGGAGACATTTAGAAATTGAAATAACGTTTAAACAAAAGATTGTCTGCTCCTGGGAACAATCTGCCATGCATACTGTACGTAGATCGCATGTTACGCACTCGTGGGCTTAGCAAAGTGCTCCAGGATTCAAATTATAACAATGGTTGATTTCTAAAGGTCTCCTTTTTCTAATATATGCACTCCATCAATATTTCACGCACCACGGTTCAGCATATGTGCAATTGAAAAGGCATTCAAATTTTAACATGATACGTGGGATTAGCAAAGTGCTCCAGGATTCAAATTATAACAATGGTTGATTTCTAAAGGTCTCCTTTTTCTAATATATGCACTCCATCAATATTTCACGCACCACGGTTCAGCATATGTGCGGAACCCTGTATCTGATAATGATTTCCCTTGATTTACATAAACTTTAACTTTGATTTTCTCGACTTACACAACGTATTTTTTTGAAAATTACTTCGCCAATGAACTTACTAGATCCATCGTTTTTGATTACATTCGCAGTGCGTGTTTTATCAAACCTAAAGATACTCGGCTTCGCCTTGTATCTTTACATCTGATAAAACACTGCTGCTCATGTTTTAAATAGTACATCTCAAATTCATTAATAATTCATGAGCAATTCAGCCAATGATAATCACCTATTTGATCACAAGATGCCATTTGGATACTTGATGAAAGTCACTAGTGTTTTCATCAAATATCTTAATTACGCATGCAAAATTACTTGATTCATGAATAGAATTCCTAATTACGTTATGCTTGGTTAAGAATTCTATTCAAATCAGCAAACGAAAACATTCTGTTACGTCTCGATTCATTTGAGAAGCCATATAAACAACTCGAGCTCGTGTCTCACCGGGATATCCAAACACTCGAAAACAATGTATGAGAACACTCGCGCTTCGCACTCGTGTTTTCATACATTGTTTTCTCGTGTTTGGATATCCCGGTGAAACACTCGCTCTCGTTGTTCATATATTACTTTAAAAACTCATTAATAATTCATGTGGAAAACACAAAGAGAAATCATAAGCGTGGCGTCTCTTTATATGTGATAAAACACTCCTACTCGTTTATTAAACAGTACTTTAAAAACTCATTAATAATTCATGTGGAAAACACAAAGAGAAATCATAAGCGTGGCGTCTCTTTATATGTGATAAAACACTCCTACTCGTTTATTAAACAGTACTTAAAAAACTCATTAATAATTCAGGAGGAAAACACAAAGAAAAATCATAAGCGATCATGTTAATTTACATAAACTTTAGCTTTGATTTTCTCGGTTTAGACAAAGTTTATTTTAAAAATTACTTCGCTAATGTACTCATCAGAAGATGATGTGATATAAAATCATGTTAATTTACATAAACTTTAGCTTTGATTTTCTCGGTTTAGACAAAGTTTATTTTAAAAATTACTTCGCCAATCAACTCGTATAAGCTGAAAGTCGTTTTTTAAGCCATTTAAAGCACTTGTAGTCGTGTTTTATCACATATAAAACACTCCGCTACGCGTCGTGTTTTATATGTGATAAAACACTCCTACGCGTGCTTTAAATAGTACTTCAAACACTCATTAATAATTCATAAGCTTATTGGCAAATCATGTCAACCATAATATGTCACGTGCAGTGGCTTTAAACCTGATAAAACGCTCCTAATTAGTATTCTTTATATAAAGAATACTAATAAGGCAGTATCTATTGTTGTCGTCATAAGCTTATTGGCAAATCATGTCAACCATAATATGTCACGTGCAGTGGCTTTAAACCTGATAAAACGAGTCCTAATTAGTATTCTTTATATAAAGAATACTAATAAGGCAGTATCTATTGTTGTCGTGTCCTCATTAGTATTTTTTATATAAAGAATACTAATAAGGCGGTATATCTAATTTGTATAGTCGTGTTTGAAGCCGTTTAATAAACTCGCAGGTCGTGTTTTATTAGGTCTAAAGCCACTCGCGCTGCGCGCTCGTGTCTTTAAACCTAATAAAACACTCCTGCTCGTTTATTAAACAGTACATAAAGATCAACTGCTCATATTTTAACTAGTATATAAAAGGGATTTCTCCCCTTGGGCTCCCATTTTGAATAACAGGACACGTAGCATTTACTTCTTTCACAAGTTTTTCAACAATTTCCACGTCACTCCATTCCATCCTGCGTTTGTGTTCAAAGATCTCAGAGCCTACCAGATTGTAGTGACGGCGCAAAACGTCCAGGCAAGTGTTTGTCAAATTTCCATGGCACGGCAACGGCGCAAATGTGTACAGAAAAAGTATTAGGTTATTGCTCAGTGGAAGGTCGCGTTTGCCGGTACAGAATGTTAGATTGTGCCCCGCAGCTTTATGCGACAAACAATAACTCGCTAGAATTACCTGGGCCGAATGAAGCGCCGACCCAGGGTCACCAGTATGAAGGCTTGATAGAGGGGCTGCCCTGACAGGTTGTATGTCGTAGGGTCTGATAGTTGCGTTGGGTTGAAAGCGTTTGTTGTATTCATCGAGAGGTGCGGAGCAAATCTTAAGACTCCAGTCGTAGCGATCTCTCTCGAAGTGCCATGCGTAGTTGAGTATAGTCGTAACCGGGCAAATTAAGTCGTAAGCACTAATGTTCCTGTAGACTTCATCAAAGTTGCGCGCTTTGTATCTTCGCACTAAGTATTCCCTACAGTTAGCAAACGTATCGCGATATATGTATATTGGATAATGCAGCATGAAGTCAGCCACAGCCGGTAACCCAATGGAGATCTCCGCGCTTTTTACGCAACGTCTAACATAGTCTAAATGTAATTTTGTGCAATCAGTTCCTACCACTCTCAATCGCGTACCGTTGTACATGGAATTTCGCGTCACTGAAGCGGAAAATGCCGTGTCAGAATCCACCCATGCAATGACTGTGTCGTTCGTGTATAAATCATTATAAAAGCTGCTCCAAATTTGACGATTGTAGCCAGTGTCACGTTTCGGCCAAGGAAGCTTCAACAGCGTTTCATAGTCCGTTGGAAGAGGCTCGTAGAGTATTTCAAGTTTGCGATCTGGGAAGAATTGGCGAAACTGTCTCTCCAAAATTTTCGCTAATTTTTGATCCAGAGACGATTCCTGGTCGAATACCAGAAGAAGTTTTCCATACGAAGCGGGCCAAAACAAGACAGCTGTCCTAAAAAAGTCGCAGTAAAATCGCTTTATGTGCAATCCAGTCATCCGCATAAAAAGCGTCACTGGCGGGGGTGTTTCAATTACATCAACCACGTCATCTGAAGGTGGATCAGATCGTACTTTGCGAACGAGTTCTTCCTTCCATTGGCCATTAATCATAAACAAAATATAGATGGCGAACAAGAGCAAAAAGATCGAGACGAAACGTTTCTTAAGTTGAAGCGGATTCAGCATATTAAATACCTACAAAGATTTATCGAAAGAAAACAAGAAAAGTCTGGTTATGGAGCAGTCATTTTGGAACTTTGACAAGGCTTAAGTGCTGGGATGTGACAAAAAACAGCCTTAAATTTTACAATTCAAAAACTATAAACTACCGATATTAGGAACCTCAAACAAGAAGGACGCAAATGCATCAGTGGAACGAGACATTTTGAATTGGATGAGTCAAGAAAATAATCAAACGACTACAATGTTTTGCGCTTACGGAGACGAAACTGGCTAAAGCGCATATCAGACACAATTGTGATGAACATGCCAAACCGGTCCAAATAACCAACAGATCGATCAGGGGCCAGTTGTATAAAAAGGTTAACTAGGGCCTTTTTAACTATACAACTGGGGGGGCAAAGCTTCCACTCAACAATTCCCCCCCCCCCCAATTAAAATCCCTTTTCTCTAAAATATAAGCAAAACATTGGAAGAAAAAAATGGAATTTAGAAGGGAGGTTAATTTGATATTCTAGTAACTGACAGATTTGCTTTGTGAATATTATGTCATGTCTTCTAGTCTTCAAATGATTCAATATCTTTTTAGTAAAAATGCTAAACATTGTGTCGTAAATACCTTAGATTTTAAGGCCTATAGACCCTATAGATTTGAGTTGTTGCAAGGCTAGGTTAAACAAGGTATAGTCTGCGAGGCATGCTCTGGGTAGGGGAAGGACGAGCCTGCAGTCGCTTCTAATAATTTTCATGAATAATTCATGCCGCCCTTTATAATGAATTCAAATTCGCTCTATAGATTGACCAATCATATCGGAGCAGAATTTTGTTGTTTACTTCCTGCGAAATGTCAATCACGCACGTGTCTTGCGATATATGTCGATTTCAATATATTGCGAGCTGTACTGTACCTGATTATATGGAGGCGAGTTACCCGGCAAGGAGAAATCCAGGCTATTATAGAAATTTATAGTAATCCCGGGTGACTGTTTACATGATGCAGCCGCGAAAGAAAGAGGCAAACCGGCTTTGTAACTCGACCGCCCGAGATAGAATGTTCGTGCTTTGCATTTGAAATATATATGATAGCTCAAAATTATTGCGCTTATTCTTGTATATACGCTTATTATTGTATTTTGACGAAATTTTGCAATGTTTTTTAACGTTCCAAAATTCAAACGATTTAAATCCTTTCTGTGTTTTGGCGCCATTTCGGCGTCATGTGGCAATCATGCGCAATACTATACAATTACTTTATGGTTTCCGTGTTTGGATCACTGATCTGAAATAAAACTGGATAACGCATCTATAGTATACAAAAGTGAAGCCGGAAGTCACCGGCCGCCACCCGATTCTGGGGCTTCACTTTTGTAAAGATTTGTATTACAGACGGTTTTTCGCGTTTTTTGCCTTGGCTACGTTTCCGCCCGGGCCAATTTTACAATCACAAAGATAGAAGCATACAAGAAGAATTTTGAGCAAAATATTTGGAGTATTATGGCTTTATAACGCCGCGAAATGGGATTTACAACTTTGAAGGAGTGGAGAGCCTCAGACTTTGTTTATCAACACGAGCTCGTTTTGCTACTTTCATACAAAATCAACTCAAAATATACAGGAATTACTGTTACTGGACGAATATTCTCAGGAAATTTGAAGAAATGAAGCAGCTACATTGTGAACAAAAGTGTACTGAGGTTTAAATAGTTTTAAAATACCTTGAGGCTACTTTCATAATATTTATATGAATTTATAAGGAACAGTTTTAAATATCAGTGTTGTCAAGAGCATTCCTCGGCGCCTTGTCGAGAAGTTTTATATGTTTTAAAGTAGAAAGACAAGTGACAATCAAATATTTTTAATCCAAATTAAGCCTGTTCTAAACGTCGCATTTTGCATGTGCCGAATGCATTCAAAACAATGGATAATGAGGCATTTCAGCTGATTATCTAATGTTTTGAATGCATTGGGCACATGTAAAATGACTCAATATAATGTTATTTTAATTCATATAATTATAAAAGTAGCCTCAAGGTATTTTAAAACTAACCTCTGTACGCTTTCGTTCACAATGTAGCTGCTTCATTTCTTCAAATTTCCTGTGAATATTCGTCCAGCAACAGTAATTTTTATATATTTTGAGTTGATTTTGTATGAAAGTAGCAAAACGAGCTCGTGTTGACAAACAAAGTCTGAGGCTCTTCACTCCTTCAGAGTTGTAAATCCCGTTTCGCGGCGTTATAAAGCCATAACACTCCAAATTTTTTTCTCAAAATTCTTCTTATATGCTTCTATCTTTGTGATTGTAAAATTGGCCCGGGCGGAAACGTAGCCAAGGCAAAAAACGCGAAGAACTACCGTCTGTAATACAAATCTATACAAAAGTGGGGCCCCAGAATCGGGTGGCGGCGGGTGACTTCCGGCTTCACTTTTGTATACTATAGATGCGTTATCCAGTCTTATTTCAGGTCAGTGGTTTGGATGGCCTGATCCAAACACGCGGGAATGTTGCGAGAGAAAAGCGCGCGTCGTGTGTCGTGAGTAAAGTCGTGGGTAAAATCGTGTGTCATAAAATGTGCTAAAAACGCATTTTTTCACGAAAATATTATTTTTGTTTAAAATAAAAATATTACTTTTATGCGCCACATAAATACAGGAAATTTAACGCAACAAATCTCCAGTAATAAATACATGCTGTTTCTTATTCTTATCTACACTATAACAAGTAAATGTTTCCGTTTCGTATAGTCTAATAATTAAGTCTATACTGCATATTGTTTGATGATAAAATGTCTTAAGTTATAGGATATAGGTTTATTAGCTTTGGAAGTGTTATAGTCCCTATCACGAACGTCGCGAATAACTATGTCGATTGCACATGTCTGATAGAAACATATTGAGCTATAAATTCTACGCTGTAAGTGTAAAGTGGCCAACGCTCGAGCCTCAAATTTTGCTATTTTATCTCCTAGTATATGTTCGTGGCCCTTAAAGAACATATTGAGCTATAAATTCTACGCTGTAAGTGTAAAGTGGCCAACGCTCGAGCCTCAAATTTTGCTATTTTATCTCCTAGTATATGTTCGTGGCCCTTCCAAAGATAAGATAAGATAAGATAAGATAAGATGATGAGATAGCTCTTCACGTCTAGTCTCCAATTTGGTGATACCAGCCGACAGCAACGCATCTTTATAAGTTTGTTCAGGGTATACAATACGCAAGGCTCGCTTTTGGATTTTTTCAAGTTTGTCAGATAAATAGCATGAGATAGAGTTGTGCCAAACTTCACAAGAGTATTCAAGGATTGAGCGTATTAACGCAATATACACAGTGAGAAGGTCTGCAGGAGGAATACAAGATAGACCACAGGATAGGAGATCGATCTGGATAGGAGATCGATCGACCCATAGATTTGGTTTTCATCAGTTATGGTTACAAATTCAGCATAAAAAATTGAATTCTTCTCTATTATGCGTTTGTTACCGACCTCCAGATAGTCCTGTATCTTGTTTTACCAATAATTTTATGGATAATTATATCAACGCACTCACTTTTGGTAAAGATATCATAATTGCTGGAGACTTAAATTGCGACTTGTTAAAGACAGCTCAAGAGGCAAAGGTTTTGAATGATTTTTGTCACTGTTTAAATTTGACACAGTTAATTGATAAACCGACGAGGGTCACGTCACGTTCGTCAACGCTTATTAGACGCTTTTAGATAACAAGACGCGGACGTCAAGAGGACGTGAAAATGACGTATGCACCTCGCGTTCACTTCCGGGTTTTAATCTGAGACGGCTTGTTTGTCTTTTTCGAAGCAAATTTTTGTTTTCTTGTTACCTGTTCATTCCTGTATTGTTTTCAATCAGTTGTCAAGATATGTGCAAGAAAAGGCTATATAATACTGGGCAAGTGTTTCCTGATGAATTAGTATGGACATTCAATAAGTTTTTTTTAGAAAAAAGGTTATTTTTGGTATTTTGAAATGTGAACTTTGTTGCATCATTTGGAATAAATACAACAGCTGCAGGTATTGTTTACGAGCTAATTGTAGCCTATTCAATCAAGTTGTCAACTGTTCAGTATAAATATAGCATCAGTGTTTATATTGGTAAAATTTAATACTGTTTACGATAGTTTTTCACGCTGGAAAGCGTTTTTTTTGCTTGTCCTACTTTTTGCACTGTTGTGACAGAGCAACTAAAATTGATAGAGTTTTTACTGCTTTTAAGTGCTTTTATTTTTCTATTTTCCCACGTTTTCCTGATTTTAAACAGTTGTTAATATAACTTCAGTTTAGTTTGTGCTAAAATATTTGTTTTGGTGAAGATTACTAGCGGTATTGAAGTGGTTATTAACAATGCTTGCAGTTTTGATATAACTTCAGTTTAGTTTGTTCTAAATATTTGTTTTGGTGAAGATTACTAGCGGTATTGAACTGGTTATTAACAATGCTTCAAACTATGCTTGCAGTTTTGTTGACTGATTTGTTTATGGCGACCGAAAGTATTTGTCGAAAATCAACTCGTCTAAAATTTAGCGAAATACAAGAAAAACAACCTTGTCAATGGAAAAACTTTAGCTAGTATCATTAAACAATACATGGGGAACAAAATAGGATGATTTTTATTATGCATAGTCTCATATTTTTTTCAAAAGAAGCAAAAATCTGTGACGTTCTAGAGAGGACGTGAAAATTGTATTTTCGCGTCGTGAAATCGTCCAAGACGACGTCGCAAACTAGAAGCTGACGATAGTTGGCGCCAAATGACGACATCCACGTCCTCTTGACGTCCGCGTCTTGTTATCTAAAACCGTCTATTGATGTCATGATGACTTCAAATAAAGATTTGATTGCAGAAAGTGTGATTGAAACCTATGAGTGCTTGAAACCTATATTAGTGATCATTTTCTGGTTTACTGTTCACTCAAACTAAAGTTGATAAAACCGCATCCAATTTGTATCACTGCAAGGAGTTATAAGCATTACGACCGAAACCAATTCCTCTGTGATTTGGCATGTATTCCGTGGCATGAGAATTTATTTGTTGAAAATGTAAATGATAAACTGTCGCATTTTGATAGTAATTTGCAAAATGCATTTGCTAGGAATGCACCAATTAAGACAATGAAAATAAGACATCGACAAGTGCCATTTGTTGACGATGAGATCAAAGAACTGATGAAAAATAGAAATAGATTACACAAATTTGCTCGTCTAACCCGAATGCCAGCTGCATGATTGGGAGAAATATCGTGCGCTTCGAGATAAAGTTAAATGTAAGCTACGCCAAGCAGAAAAAGATTATGTACACAATGAAATATATAATAACCCAAATATAGCATCGATGTGGAAAGTCATCAGGAACTGCGTTCCTCGTAAAGAGACCACGAAACCAAGTTATTCCGGAGATGTTAAGAAATTAGCTAATGAATTCAATACCTTTTTTACCTCAGTGGGGATAAATACATCAGCAACTGCATTGGCATTGCTTACTGAACATGGACTACCCATACTGAATCCACCAACATCTACCGAAATACCTGAGATCGATCAATTTTATTTCCATTCAGTATCGTGTAGTGAAATAAGTAGGGTTGTTATGTCCTTTTCATCAAATAAGGCACCAGGATTTGACAAAGTATCAATGGCTGTGATCAAGGACGCCTTACCGTACATCCTTCCTACATTTACACAAATTGTTAATTGTTCCCTGGAAACAGGTGTTTTCCCAACAGCCTGGAAGAAAGCAGAGGTTATCCCACTTCTGAAGGAAGGGGATTATGAAATTCCGAATAATAATCGGTCCGTGTCGTTGTTAGTGGCTGCATCTAATATCTGTGAACGCGTGATATTCAAACAGTTAACAGAGTATATGACAAAGAGGAAAAAATTTACTAAACATCAAAGTGGAAATAGGAAGTTACATTCAACCGAAACATTAGACATATTCATCTCAGATTTAATTCTCCAGTCCATGGATCGTAGAGAAGTGACTGCTTTACTCTTACTGGACTTGTCTAAAGCTTTTGATAGCTTAGATCATTTCATTCTGCTAGGAAAACGTTCGAATATTGGAATCTCGAAGCCTGCGTTGTTTTGGTTTGAAAGCTATTTGACAGGCAGGTGCCAATCAGTACGTACTGCGTCAGTGTTATCTGATGAATGTGAAATAACTCGCGGTGTTCCGCAGGGATCGATACTGGGTCCGGTGTTATTTAATATATATATCAACGACTTGCCTGGTGTACCAAAGGAGTCCAATTTGGAGTCGTATGTGGACGACTCAAAAATATATTTAGCATTCTCAATCAGGGATGCCGAGTTGGCAGCTATGAAACTCACAGAAGACATGCGAAGAATTACCGCCTGGTGCTGTCTTAACGGTTTGTTGGTGAATCCAGAAAAAACTAAGTTGCTTATGTTAGGTACTAGGCAAATGTTAGAACAGGTACCTGAAAATTTTCAAATAACTATCCTTGGTGAGAATATTACCCCAGTTGCTGTTGCAAAGGATTTAGGGATGATATTGGACTCATGTTTGAGCTACGACGAACATATCGCAAGCGTTGTTTCATCTTGTATCGCTGGATTGGGCCAAATTAGCAGGGTTAAACGTATCTTTGACAGAAAAACATTAATTCTTATTATAAATTCCCTGATTTTTAGCAAAATGTATTACTGCTCTGATGTCTGGTCTAATACATCACAAAGAAATATCGAGAAGCTTCAAGCGGTCCAGAACTTTGCTGCGCGTATTGTTACAGGAACAAGAAAATACGATCACGTGACTCCTGTTCTGCAACAACTGGGCTGGCTTCCAGTTAAATACATGTTAAAATTAAGAGAAGCCATTTTTGCTTTCAAATGCTTGAAGGGGTTGGCACCATTGTATTTATGTGAGAAGTTCCATGTCAGGTCAGATGTTCATGGCGTTAACACAAGGCAAAAGAACATTTTGGATATACCAATGTACAGATCAGCTGCGGGTCAACGAACATTTCACTATAGGGCTGTGTCGTTGTGGAATTCTCTGCCTCAGTCTCTTAAAAACATTGATACTTTGACTCATTTTAAGTACTATTTAAAAACGAGCGCGCAGCGCGAGTGGCTTTAGACCTAATAAAACACGACCCGCGAGTTTTTTAAATGACTTCAAAAACGTATGCATAATAAGTCAAATCTTTATATAAAAATCTTTATATAAAAACCTTTATATAGTTTGCATAACAATGGTCTTTTGTTAAAGTGTTCTTTAGCTGGTTTAAAGACGTATGCACGTGACTAATTTCTTACTCAAGATTGGATAATTGCTTCATGAATTATTAATGAGTTTTTGAAGTACTGTTTAATAAACGAGTAGGAGTGTTTTATCACATATAAAGAGACGCTACGCTTATGATTTCTCTTTGTGTTTTCCTCATGAATTATTTATGAGTTTTTAAAAGTAGAATACAAACGTATGTTATTAGAAGAATTTTTAACTGAAAGTGGTGTTTAACAGATTTATAGAATATTTTAGAACTATAGCCTATGTTATACCTTAGGTCAAAACTCAAAATTCATTTTTAGATACTTGTTGCTGCCGCAGCGAGCGAGCCTGAAGCGAGCGAGCAAGGCAGCAGATCCTAATTTTGTTTTGTGGGTCGAAATCAAAATTTTCTATTTGGCGCATTGCATGACGGTACCAGTGAATTTTAACCGTGGCGCAGCGCGGTCAGGCATAAGGCAAATAGCAATGTGATCTTTCATCTTTGGTCTTCTTTAATGGAAAGCCAAAGCTGGATTAAAGTGATCTAACGGCATTTTGTTGGGTGCTTTTAGCATTATACAGCGGTGGTTTCGGCATTATATGCGGTGCTTCCGCCAATATACGCGGTGGTTGGAGCCGATCATACGCGGTGCTTTCGCCATCATACCGGGTGCTTTTACCATTATACGCGGTGCTTTCACCATTTTAATATACGCGGTGGTTTCGTAATTATACGCAGTGGTTCAAGCATTATACGCGGTTCTTTTAACATTATACGCGATGCTTTCATTCAACATTGAATATGTGGTTGACAATGCTTTTTGGTTTTTGCCTCTAGTCTGCAATGAGAATGACATGCTTTAAAAAGGTTTATTTATGCACTTTGTGAGTTCTATATATTATCATATAGTGTTGATTTATTAGTAATAAATCTGCCATGAATACAACGCAACGAATGCGCCAAGCAGTATGAACGCGACTGAAATAGGATATTTATTTATAATAAAATCTTGAATGTGCCGTATGATTTAATTATGTTTTAGGATTTAAAAATCTTTGTCATTTGTATTTATGCTTGTACTGCATCACAAGGCAGTGCGTAAGTGAACAGATTCCACATGCGAGGTTGTCTTGTATATATTTTTGCCTTCTTTGATAAACATTATTATTAAACACGCAAATTTTAATTACGCACAGTCACACATGTTAAATGTCACCTGCATGTCATTGTCCTTTAACCCCAGGGGCCGGTTGTATAAAACTCTTTAAATTAATAATCACTTTTTTAATCACCATTTTGTAGCAGGCTGATTTTGTAGTTACATAGTGATTAACTCTCAAATACGCGCTTCTTATTGGATGACGTTTCCACTAATCGAATTGGCCGTTTTTGAAAATGTTGATGTATAAATTATGGATGATTCCAATTCATTACAAATATTTCTTATTCTTGTTGCTGCCGCAGCGAGGTCGCCTGAAACTGGGATGTCACATTAATAGCTTGTTTACATTTCCTGGAGGGGGTCGGCTATTTTGCGAGTTGCGAGCTGCGAGTTGCGAGTTGCGAGTCGCTATCCTCGCTTTGAATTAGGCTTTGAAAATATATTAATATGGACGACATGGAAGGCAAAGTTGTTAGATCCATCGATACGTATGTTCAAGAATTAAAATAATTATATTGGAAATAAAAGTGCAAGTTTATATTTGCCGTTTCTGTGTTTAATTAAATCTAGTATAGTTATCCAGACCATTTTGTGCTTTCTAATCTTAAAATGGTTATTTAATTTTATTAGTAAGTACGACTCAGTTTGTTTACCTATATATACTGAACGCTAGGAACCCTATAAAACTCAAGTCCTTTTCATCGGAAGTACAATTTATTTTATACAATTTGTACATAGACATACATATACATATACATACATAAACTTTATCTAAACACGGGAAAAAACCATCAGTATATCAAAACGATTGCTATTTACAAGTTTGTAAGTATAAAAATAAATGCAATGAATGATTATTTCAAAAGCGGAAAATTGGCGCCAAATTGAGACAAAGCTAAAATCCCATCCGCCAGGATGCCATACAGTTTTCAATTTGAATTTTTAGTGTAAACCACAGGTGTAAACACCTGGTTCGGTGCTTCAAAGCTAGGTTAGTGTTAACCCTGGGTTAAAATTAAACCCGATGTTATTAGAAATTAACAATATACTCGTAACTCGCAACTCGCAGCTCGCACTTTAGATAATCTCTTCCTGGAGCATCAAATCTTATGTTTAACCACGGTGGTTTAACCCATTAGCTGGCAATGCGCCCTTCCCTTGTCCAGCGCCAGAAGATTTTACTCGTCAGTGGTATAGAGTACTGCCAGTAAATGGGTTAACAAAACTATCTGCCAATGTCTCTTGTTAACCATCAGCACAGTATAACCCCTACTTTAGTATTTACCCTGACCAACGCCAGACGATTTTTAATACTCAGTCAGTCGCAGGGTACTGTCAATAAATGGGTTAACAAGGATAACATTAATAGGATGTTTCTGAAGGACTCGTTCAACACCCTGTAGTTTGTCTTTTGCTGTCAAAGGCAGCATTACTGCCCTGTGGGTAACCTAGTATAGATATAGAATTTCATATTTGTAATTAGATCCTGAAAAGCCCAATTGGGAGTATTTAATATTGTATAATAATAATAAAAAGACAAACATTTGCCGTTCGGAAATATTCCATAAATCGTTACGATTTGGGATTTCGCGATTAAAAACCGAAATAATTTGTACGATGTCGGGCTATTTGCCAACCGAGCGCGTTAATAGCCGCTGTTATTTTGACAGAATATGATACCTCTACACTTTTCAGCCGTAATACATAATGCGCGCATTGTAAATTTGTAATCATATGCATATCGTTTAATTTAGTTTCAAAAACTTGATAAAATCAAAATTGCTGTATTTAGTTAAATGTAAAATGCGCAGGATGTTGCGTACATTAACAAAGAAAAAAAGTTGATTACAATGCGCGCTGAAAATTACGGCTGAAAAGTGTAGAGCCTAGAGGTATCATATTCTGTCAAAATAACAGCGGCTAGCCGGTTGGCAATCAAGCCCGTAGCTGGCTCTCAATTTCTGGGGGGGGGGGGCACTGCAGAAAGAATATAACAGACGGTTTGAGATGAGAAAATTTTTTTCCGGAATTTATTTTGGCGACCTCTCCAAGTAAATCAACCTCTCCAAGTAAACGAAGGCAAAACTACGAGGATTTTCAGCGATCGGCAATTCTGAAACTTGGAGAACTGTTAAAGATAATTGTCCCTCCAGACAAGGGCACCCGCAGAAGGAAATAATATCGGACTCAATGTATCGGACAGTACTCTTCTCGGAGGCAACGAACCAAATAGGTAATCGGTGTGACCCCATACAAGGTAACTTTAACAATTTATTTAATGAGTTAGAGTCTTCTAAAGGCTTACGATTAGCGTGCTTGAATATTAACAGCCTGTTGAAAAACATTGATCAGCTTCGCTTGATCATGCAAAACATGCCAGTTGATATTCTTGCTATAAACGAGACAAAATTAAACCATTTGGTGCCTGATAGTGAAATAGCAATCGCTGGTTACTTTCACATTCGCCATGACCGATCTAGATCTGGTGGGGGAGTACTATTGTATGTTCGTGACTTTATACCGTTTTCTGAACGAAATGACTTAGTAACTGACTCACTAGAAATGATATGCATTGAAATTAGTAAACCTCACAATAAGTCATTTTTAGTAAGCACTTGGTATAGAGCTCCTAACTCGCAATCTGCTCTTTTTGATGAATATGAGGCTTTTTTAAGAAATAGCGATATAGAAAATAGAGAGGTAATAATTATGGGTGATTTGAACTGTGATATCTTGAAATCTCCTTGTGAGTCTCATACTCGCAAGCTACAGTTCCTTTCATCACTTTATCAGTTCGATCAGTTTATTGATGAACCCACAAGGATTACTGGAACATCAGCAACTCTAATTGATCTAATTCTGACAAATAAAGAGGAAAATATTTCAAAGTCTGGTGTCATACACCTTGGACTTTCTGATCACAGTATGATTTTCGCTATTAGAAAACATTGTATTCCCAAATCACGGGAAAAGGTTAAACATATTCGTAACTTTAAAAATTTCAATGCCAATGATTTTCTTACGGATCTTTCACAGATGCCGTGGGAGAACATTGCCCAACATGACAATTCTAATGTATGCTGGCAGGTATGGAAAACACTATACCTCCAGGTCCTTGATCGACACGCTCCCCTTAGACGTATGAGAACTCGTGGAAATTCTCTCCCTTGGATTTCTTCAGACATCAAGAGTATAATGAGATCAAGAGACTTCCACAAAATAAAGGCGGTTAGACATAATTCTCAAAGTCATTGGACAAAATATAAGGAATTACGAAACAAAGTTAATGCTGAACTAATTAAAGCTAAAAGAAACTATTTCTGCAATAAAATAGAAGATTGTGCTCAGTCCAAAGACATAAAGCAAATTTGGAATTTAATTAACCACCTCATGGGTAAAAATGTGAAATCAAACACGATATCCCAACTTAAAACGGATAATTCTGTCATTTCAGACGATAAATTGAAATCTGAGGCTTTTAATGATTTCTTTGTCAATATCGGGGCAAAACTTGCAGCTGAAATTGAAGATAATTCCCTCAACACAAATTCTTTTGCTCGCTGAGATTCTGGGCCTACTACCGACTCCAATCTTTTTTTCAAATTTTCTGAAATTAACGAGGACGAAGTAATATATCAATTGCGTAGTCTCAAAATTTCAAAATCCACAGGATTAGATAACATCCCTGCTAAAGCTCTTAAAATATCCGCGGACATTGTTGGTCCGCCATTAACTTGGATATTTAACCTTTCGATCAAAAAAGGAGAATATGTGGATGAATGGAAAAAAGCCTGGGTTACACCCATTTATAAATCTGATGACAGGTTGAAATGCGAGAATTATCGCCCTATCTCGATACTACCCATTGTTAGTAAAATACTTGAGAGATGCGTTTTTAATCAAATTTATAAATTTCTTAATGACAATTCACTTCTTTCAAAACATCAACATGGTTTTCGGCCTAAACATTCAACTCTCACCGCTCTAACTCAGGTGTGCGATACTCTTTATGAAAATATGGATAATGGTCAATTGAGCGGCATTGTTTTTCTTGACATTCGTAAAGCCTTCGACTCAATTGATCATAATATTCTGCTTCATAAATTAAAAGATCAATTCGGTATATCGGATATTGAGTTAAGATGGTTTGAATCTTACTTAAATAATAGGGAGCAAGTCTGTATTGTTAATAATTCAATGTCATCGTCAAAACGGATTGTTTCTGGGGTCCCGCAGGGATCTATTTTAGGTCCACTGTTATTTTTACTCTATATCAATGACCTCCCCGAATGCCTACAAAAAACTACTCCTTATTTATATGCTGACGATACCCAAATTTGCTGCAGCTCTAACAGTTTGATTGAATTAACCGAAAACCTTAATCACGATCTGAGTAGAATCGGTGATTGGCTTTCTAGAAATAAATTACAACACCACCCAACTAAGACCAAAATAATGTTCATTGGCTCTAAACATCATATTAATTCCATGTTAAATAACCAACGCATCCCCAGAGTTCACTCTTTCACATGTCTTGGTCTCGATTTAGATGAAAATCTTAACTGGAATTCACATATTCAGGCGATTTGCAAAAAGGTTGGAGCAGGCCTGGGTACTTTGAGACGTATTAAACCCTTTGTTCCAATAACCACCCTTCAAACAATTTATCGAGCTCTGATTCAGCCGTATTTTGATTATTGTTCTCCCATTTGGGGCGTCTGTGATCAAAATTTGAAAAATAAACTCCAAAAATTTCAAAATCGCGCAGCCCGAATCATTGTCGGTGCAAGTTATGAGATTAGATCTGCTGATGTTCTTCAATCTCTTGCTTGGGACAATTTAGAGACAAGACGACGTACAACCAAAGCAATATTAATGTTTAAAGTCTTGAAGGATTACGTAGGACCTACGTTGAAAGAATCCTTGATAAGACGCAATCATATGCAAACAAATTATGATCTTAGAAATAGTCATACAGATTTGGCTCTTCCTAAGCCTAAAAGAGAATTCCTAAAAAAGAGTTTTAAATACAGTGGGGCTAAGCTATGGAATAGTCTCTCTATCGATACGAAACTGGCAGAATCAATGCACCTGTTCAAAAGCCATTTAAAACTTAACTCTAATACTATATATATTTGAAATAAATTGTAACTCCGTCTAACCATAACATCTGGGGTCACACCAATTTGTAAATAGTCTTCTTTTCCCTTATATCTTTTGTAATTTTTAACATTGTAGACGTCCTCCGTGGAAACCAACGCACCGTTGACGGGGCTAGTGTCTTTAAATAAAGTTTTAATACAATACAATACAATACCTCTACCCCCCCCCCCGTCGCCAAAAGAATTTCGGTCAGTGTACCAATTTAGGGGTCAAAAAATTTTTCCGGACAGACCAATTTTTTCCGGACAGACCAAATTTTTCCGAAACCTAACAAAATTTTTCGAAACATCACAAAATTTACCACAAAATTTACAGAATATGTCCCATGATTACAATTGGTTTCCAGGTCCTTTATCTCAATTTTTCATACAAAATTTCGGAGTGGGGGGCACTGGGGGGGCACTGCCCCAATGAGTGCGGGGGCAATGCCCCCCAGCCCCCCCCCTCAGCTACGGGCCTGTTGGCAATTAGCTCGACATCGCACAAATCAATTCATAAATCGGTTTTCAATCGGGAAATCCCAAATCGTAGCAATTTATGGAATATTTCCGAACGCCACATACACATGAAATGTTTGTCTATCTTTAAGGGCCACGAACATATACTAGGGGATAAAATAGCAAAATTTGAGGCTCGAGCGTTGGCCACTTTAACAGCGTAGAATTCAGTTACAGTATAGCTCAATAATCAATATGTTTGTATCAGACATATGCAATCGACATAGTTATTCGCGACGTTTGTGATAAGGACTATAACACTTCCAAAGCTATAACTTAAAGTGGAACTCAAATCCTGCTAATATCAGTGAACTGCTGTATTTTTTAAAATATGATGTACTGTCTGAATATCTAACACCATTTTGGTTCGCTTATGCTTCTAAATGAATATGAAATAGAGTTTATGTTCAGACATTGTTATGGGTATGGGCATTGTTATGGGTCCTCACATTGTTATGGGCAGAACCGATGCGCAGAACGGACTTGACTTCCACTTTAACTTAAAGCCTGGTTCACATATATGCCTGCGACGTACCGGCGACGATGCCGGTGGTAGCTTAAAACGTGAATTATGTGAATATTTGTTCGCCGATTGCCTCCAGTGCCACAGTTACATCGGCGGTAGGCCGGGAAAGTTGACTTGAGTTCAACTTTGCCGGTATTTCTGCGGCAAGTAGAGGCATAATGATACAGTCACAGGCATACCGCAGGCATATGTGAACCAGGCTTAAGACATTTTATCATCAAACAATACATCTATAGACTTATTAGACCATACGAAACGGAAACATTTACTTGTTATACTATAGATAACATCAAGATAAGAAACAGCATACATGTATTTTATTTTATTACTGGAGATTTGTTGCGTTAAATTTTCCTGTATTTATCTAGCGCATAAAAGGAAAAAGTACGAAAAAAAATATTAAAAATAAAAATAATATTTTTGTGAAAAAAAAGCGTTTTTAGCACATTTTATAACCCACGACTTTACCCACGACACACGACTTTTAACCCACAGTACGAAAAAAAATATTAAAAATAAAAATAATATTTTTGTGAAAAAAAAGCGTTTTTAGCACATTTTATAACCCACGACTTTACCCACGACACACGACTTTTGAACACACGACATATAGGGACACTCATACCAATATAAATGCTTGTTATTATGCGTAATATTACGAGTCGGATAAGTTTAGCACATTTTATAACCCACGACTTTACACGACACACGACTTTTAACCCACGACACACGACATATAGGGACACTCATACCAATATAAATGCTTGTTATTATGCGTAATATTACGAGTCGGATAAGAATAAAATTGCATAAAACCGTTACAGACACGACTTTTAACCCACGACACACGACATATAGGGACACTCATACCAATATAAATGCTTGTTATTATGCGTAATATTACGAGTCGGATAAGAATAAAATTGCATAAAACCGTTACAGACACGACTTTTAACCCACGACACACGACATATAGGGACACTCATACCAATATAAATGCTTGTTATTATGCGTAATATTACGAGTCGGATAAGAATAAAATTGCATAAAACCGTTACAGACACGACTTTTAACCCACGACACACGACATATAGGGACACTCATACCAATATAAATGCTTGTTATTATGCGTAATATTACGAGTCGGATAAGAATAAAATTGCATAAAACCGTTACAGACACGACTTTTAACCCACGACACACGACATATAGGGACACTCATACCAATATAAATGCTTGTTATTATGCGTAATATTACGAGTCGGATAAGAATAAAATTGCATAAAACCGTTACAGACACGACTTTTAACCCACGACACACGACATATAGGGACACTCATACCAATATAAATGCTTGTTATTATGCGTAATATTACGAGTCGGATAAGAATAAAATTGCATAAAACCGTTACAGACACGACTTTTAACACACGACATATAGGGACACTCATACCAATATAAATGCTTGTTATTATGCGTAATATTACGAGTCGGATAAGAATAAAATTGCATAAAACCGTTACAGAAACTTGTAAGGTTACCCTCACCTGTCCACGTACCTACTATTACGCGTAATATTACAAGTAAAAATAGCAAAATCTAGCTTTTATAGTATAAGTGTATGTAAAGGGCCATTTACACCACACAACATCTGCTTATAATTATAAATTCAAAACTGTCGCATGGAACGCGCGTGCTTAATATTAAAAACATGAGTTGTGGTTGCACTATGTAAATCAAGCACACAATTCTTCTACATTGTCGTACGTGAGTTAATTATGTGCTTGATTTGCACAATTTTTAAGTTTAGATATAGGTAGCGAAAACCATATTGGTGTCCTAGTAATATTTTATGCAGCAAATCTTTGATCATCAAAACGATAGTGTGATGGCCTCGTCAGTTCAGTTCAGCTTGTGAAAATTATGCGATTGCATGTATTTGATGAAACATTGAACATTGAACATTGAACATTTATTTAAACACGGTAAAATCTTCAGTGTAGAATAAAATACAAAAACTATTAATAAATTTCACACATCACTATATACACACTAATTTCCTAACTAAAATGCACTGTTTTCCAAGATTGCCGTGTGGGGATCCCATTATAATGTCAAGAATTGATTAATTTCATTTTTGAAATGCCTCAATGATTTGGACGTACGTGCAGTTTGAGGAAGCGCATTCCATAAACTTGCTCCACTGTAGCAGAAACTACGCTTCATAAAGTCCGTACGTGGTTTTGGTAAATTTAGCTTCATTTCTGCATTTCTTAAGTTATAATCTGTGCTGCGAAATGTAAACATGTTTTGTAAATACTCTGGCGTTAGCTTATTGATAGTTTTAAACATTAGTATAGACTTGTGCTTTTTCCTACGTAAGGAAAGATTGTCCCAATGCAGTTTCTCTAAGAGAATGCTAGAGCTGACTGGGGATAAAAGTATATTATTATATATATTTTAAATTTAGTAGTAATAATAACTGGCAGTAATAATTTTGTGCCGCAATAGTCCTTAAATGTTAGATCAGCAAGTGTAGTGTGAAATATGATGGCCTCGTGTTGTTGGCGCAATGTATCGGCCTGTGAAAATTATGTTGTATTTGATGAAACTGAACGACTTGTATTTGTGTAAATGTAAACCTACGAAATATAAGTACAGGTGAAAATTTATGAAACATAAAATCGGAGATGCGTGTGTTAAAATTGTAACGATAAACCCGACCCAAAGTGTATATGATCGCGCTGTACTGAAAAGCTTGTATGCAGGAGGCATGTAAAATATAAAGCGAGAGAAATAATTGTATATGCGACAGTTTTAGGAAAAAGATGTGCAGTGTGGATCGACCCTAATAATACTATAGCCTATATATAATACTGTAGCCAATCCCTATCTGCACGAGCACATGAGTCGGTGAGAGATTTAGCTATCGCTTTGAGTTTACATAGCACGAATGCCGAACTGGCCGAATTTGAACGCCATAACCGTAAGAATTTCCGCTCAGATAAACGTATACAACGGGTATAATTCGCAGTTTATAAAAATTCGTCAGCTCTGGTGTAGTAATTAAAAAAATGAACAAACTTACCAGAAATGTCCGAACAACGGTTTCTCATTTCGTTCCGCCTCAAAACAATGCTTTATATCTGAATATATAAATATTTAGGTCCTGTGATTCTGTGAATATGAATCTTTTTAATGGGACATCAAGATCAATCGTCTTCAAGTATTTGTCTTCAAGCCTAATTGGCTATAGGAATTACCCAACGGCAGGATTCACAAAATACTCTATATTCAGTCAAAGAAATAGCAATTCTAAACGTTAATTTGAAGCGTGATAAGTTCGTTGCAAACAGATGTGCATGCAATTTCCTTGTCGATTTTAATAGCGTGGGTCGTGGTTCAGTGATTCGTAACGAAACTTTAAACTGAACTAACTTCCGAAATTTTGCACGCATCTTTTTAGCTTTTGGAGCACATTGACAAAAATGACGAAAATACTGGCAGATTCGCTGAACTTGTGGGAGAAGTACTATTGTATCTTTGTCAACATTCTTCAGACTTCAATTATAGTTGTAAACTAGTGCATAATTATTAACAATAGTCATTACTTAAGACCCATTTCAAAGAGCGAGCTACACCTGTGCTACTTAATGTTAAGGTAGCTAGATGTAGTTTTTAAAAAAATGAAAAATTCACGATTTAGATCGGTATGTTTTGAGAATAATTCAGAGCCTCTTTTAAGGATGTGTAACTGGGGGGGCATATTTTACGGGGGACCTGGAGAAGTTCCTGTCGGCAAGTCTGTATCACCGCAGCTACAAGCATATATATGCATGGTTTAACTAATAATTATATGTCACAACGCAGCAGATCAGACCAATAACTAGGATTCTGAGACAAACAAGTTGAGCATCGAAGGTGTGAGCCGTCTAGAGAAGTCTGGAGGCTTCCTCCCCAGAAAATTTTGGATTTCCTGAAGCTTAGATAAGCTATTTCTAGCATTTTGAGGAGTGTTCCAGCAAGAAATTAACCTTATAAACAGAGACACAATTACTGCAATTTTACAATCTCCCAAATGTAATCCAGTCCCAATAAGGCAACATGATGTGATGATGCGGTGATGAAAATGTGCGTGGTATGGTATTATCATTCACCACACTTCAAATTCTACAATACTGTATTACATGTGTTGGGGTACTTGACATCGACGCATTCGTCTTCTCAGTGTCACTAAAATGCAAGATAGGTCAGTCTCTTTGTCAGTATCTTTGCTTGGAAAAACTAAACTAGAATTTCGTCCTAAAATGCCATTCCATGCCTTTTTCCACGAGCAAATTATTTCAGCCATGGTTTAAGCCCGCCGCACACGAGAGCAACTTGCTGAGCTAACCGCCTCGCGAGGCCGTTAGCTCAGCTATGTATTTTCACCGCACACGTTGGGAAAACTACTCAACAACAACATAATTAACAAAATTATTTGCATTTTCCTCCATTTTGTTCCATGTCACATGAAGAAACCATGGTTTGTCATTGGCTAATTGATTCAAACAGCTCAGCACTTTGCTCACAACATTCGCAGACGCTGAGATTTTTTCCTCGCGAGGCGAAAAATATCAAACACGATAGATATTTTCCTCAAGGCCTCGAGAGGTCAAATCCTCACGAAAACTATCCGCACACGAGTGCTACTTGCTGAGCTAACCGCCTCGCGAGGCGGTTAGCTCAGCAAGTTGCTCTCGTGTGCGGCGGGCTTTAGGTTTCTGGCGATGTTTAAATTTCAGTCCCCAAATTCCTACCGAGTCAACGGACTGTTTTGTATTAGATGTTGTGAATCGACTCGCAATTTTATAAACAAGCGTCAAACAAATCTATTTCCAACCAGGCCTTAAATTATATTTTACAGAACCGTCTGCAACCTCCCACACACGAGAGAGACTTGCTGAGCTAACCGCGCCTCGAGTGGCAGCTACTCAGTAGCTCAGCTATGTATTTCCACCGCACACCACATCTCAGCGTCTGAGATTTTTCCCTCGCGAGGTGAAAAATATCAAACACGATAGATATTTTCCTCAAGCCTGCTGCACACGAGAGAAACTTACTGAGCTAACCGTCTCGAGTGGCAGCTAGCTCAGCTATGTATTTCCACCGCACACGTTGGGAAAACTACTCAATAACAACATAATTGACAAAATCTTTTGCATTTCCCTCCATTTTGTTCAAAGTCGCATGAAGAAACTATGGTTTCTTATTGGTCAATCGATTCGAGCAGCTCAACACTAAGCTCACAACATCCTGCACAGACGCTGAGATTTTTTCCTCGCGAGGTGAAAAATATCAAACACGATAGATATTTTCCTCAAGGCCTCGCGTGGTCATATCCTCACGAAAACTATCCGCACACGAGATAAACTTGCTGAGCTAGCTGCCACGCGAGGCGGTTAGCTCAGCAAGTTGCTCTCGTGTGCGTCAGGCTTTAAACAACACGAGTTGTACTGTAAATCAAGCACACAACTCATCTAAGCTGTCGTATGTGATTTACACAGTACTACTCAAGTTGCATTATTATACAACTTGTATAAGCAAGTTGCATATGGAACTGAATTTTAGGCAAAAGTTGTGTATTCTAAATCTACCTTCATAGTGCTATAGCCTATATATAATACTGTAGCCCATCCCTATCTGCACGTGCGCATTTGTGAAAGAGTTTTTATTTGCTAGGAATCACGAAAGTCTGTATTACTGCGAATGCCAAAATATATACCTAACTCAAAATTTCGCTTTGAACGCCATATAAACGTAAGAAATAAGAATTCCCGTATAAACAAACATAACGGGCATAATTCGCAGTTAGAAATTCGTCAGCTCTCGTGCAATGAAAAACTATGAACAAACTTAATTACCAGAAATGTCGCAACAACGATGTCGCTTCTTTCGTTCTGCGAAACGATGCTTTATATTTTCGCTAGCCAAAATTATTCTATCAACATATGCCAACACAAATACTTCGTTTCTTTGTAATACTTCACTTTGAAAATTGTTACGGGTGCTAAAGCGTCCCAACTCAAGAGCATGCGCTTTAGAAACTGCTGCAAGTTATCTTGCACTTCCGGTTCGGTGTGTCATGTCCGAGGCCCTGGGGACGATGATGATCCAAAACGTTATATATTACACATGTACTATACTATAAAATAAATTATGTTCGTAGTAGAAGCTTTTCCCTAAATTATTTCCTTTCGAAGGGAATTATTCTTCTTTTCGGTAACAGGCGATTCATGTCATTCATACAACCGACTAGGTGCTACCCCACCACCTTTATACCCATGCTTATTTATTCGTGGTCTTACACTACCATGTATATCAACACAGTGGTTGTGGTAGGTCTTCAAGTATTCACACGGATTGAGAAGTCTCCTTTTCATCTTATTCCTTAATACCCAAATCAGTTTGTTTACCGCTCCAAGGACATTCATATCATAATCCAACTCCGCCTGAACAGACTCGTCTAAAGGTTGTGTAAGCACAAAAATGTACGCATCGTGTGAACCGAAATAGCTTACTCCACAATATCCAAGTTTTCCGCCCATATTGCATCTTTTTTCCTGACGTCCATGGCGTGTCAAGACGTAAGATGTTTTAGTTTTTACTAGAAATGTTTTGTTTATCATTTCAAATCCTTCGCCAAGATAAATATCCATGTTCATCATAACCACAAACCGATTTTGGAGCCTGTCGTTTACGTAATCGAAAAAATCTCTGTATTTCGGCAAGGCGTTGATGCGATAAACAAATATTTTGTGTTTGTTGTGAAAATTTTGTTCGCTCAATCTTTGTTCGGCTAATGGCTGATTAACGAGAAGATCAACAGTTGTGACTAAAGTGTGGTTGAGATTTTTCTGTAATGTTTCTTCTATTTCCTCCTGTCGTTGCCATAGTCTGGATCTGTTGGTGTCTGTTTGGTTTTCGTTCCAAGGTTTTTCAGTCATCAGGGGATAGTTAGTTATTACATGGATATCTGATTCCTCCTTCTGAGATGGGGCGTCATAACGGTTATTCAAAACAGCGTTTAGCCAGGCGAAGCCGTGTAAGGTAAAAATCGCTCCAGAAACCAAAAATAACTTCAAGAACACTTTCCGTTTAAGGATGGCCATTCCTTGCAGGATTCAGGATAATTACTAGGGATTTATCTATTAGAAGGCGACACGTGTTGGTTTGATTTACCAAGTGAAGACTTATGATGCGTTTCTTCAAAATCGATCTTTCACATCAGCCTAAATATAGATTATGAATCTTTTAACATAAATAAAATATTAATCTTCTAAAGATTAATAACTTACAGTCAAACCGGATATTCTGTTCAATTGCAATTTTGATTGCGAGATTGCTCTGAGGAAGTTGTAACGGACGTGATCAAATTGCAAGTTGAAATTCACAACCAGATTTGTAAACAAAGTCTTTGATTGGCTACTAGTAGCAAAGAAGAACCAATCCATTTGCTCAGAGTATTTCATTGGTTCTTCTTTGCTACTAGTAGCCAATCAGAGACTTTTTTTACAAATGTGGTTGTGAATATCAGGTCGGTTGCAACTTGCTCAGAGCAATCTCGCAATGAAAATTGCAATATTCCGAACAACATTGCAATATTCCCTGAATATATACAGAACATCCGGTTTGACTGTAACAGTTTAAAACAAAACAATTCCTTTGATCAAATTATGGTTGTCTTAACGAGATGGACTCTGCACGGTTATCAAAAAACTGCACAGTTCGAAAATTTGAACTGTTTTTTACAGTTTCAATATTAGTTTGTAAATCTCTGAATGGTAAAACTTGCCAATACTCCAATAATACGTTTCAAAAAAGACAAAAAAGCTTTAGTTTGCAGAGCCAAATTCTCAAACGTGTAAGGCACTAATAAGATGAAAGTATCACGAAATTATTTGAATAAACCACATCGCACATATGGGGGGCGAATATCCTAAAGGGGCAATATTCCTAGGGTATTTTCCCTCCTGGGAGGCGATTTCCCTAGGATATTCGCCCCCGGGGGCGATATTCCTGCGATATTCCTAGGAATATCGCCCCCCCCCCCCTTTGAGAGGGGGGCGAATCTCCTAGGGGGGCGAAAGTCCTGTGACAACGGCATGGGCAAATAGCAGTAGCTTTTTAAAAATCCTATCTTACCCCCCAAAGGGATGCAACTACCTGAAAAATATAAGGAGAATTTCGATGTTTCGGTCGAAGGCCATTCCTCTGGAGTTACTATCGGGGTTCGGGATAAGTACATGAGCTTTAGACTAAGAATATAAATATAAAAGCGATCACATTGCAAAATATAAATCAATCAGATGCATGCATTTGGTCAAAACAAAAAGTATAAACAAAAAATGTAAATCACATTACACAATATACTAATACAAATATACGGAAAACTGCAGCAAATACACAACAAAATATATGAAACAAGCATGGAATAAGGTAAGAAGTACTGTTAATGTCTGCTTCAGACAGGCAAAGACAGAGTTAAACATAGGAAAAACGTTCATTAATGTCATAGGGGTGGAAATGTCAAAGTGCCAAGTTTGGAAATGAGGTACTAGAAATGGGACAATCTCATACTATGTAAAGTATATTAGGATATTACAGTTTATATGGCTAAGCCGGGAATTTTACTTTTCTCACGAGGGAATTTAACTTGTCAGTTGTCATGTAATGACAGAGACTAAGCCACATTATCAAAATCACTCAAAACTAGTTGCAAAGAAATGTGAACATGCTCGCCATTCTACCATGTCGAAACTTTAATATCCTAAAATACTCTTAACGGATTGAAATAGAAAATGATAAACAGTGATTACTGTAAGTGTTCGAGGAATAACCCCTTGGTCATGGCTTACAATTTTCAAGAAATTAAGTAGTGAATTGCAGAAAAATGGCGATTTAACGATTTAATGAGATTCGGCGACCAACAAAAATACAACATGTATAGTGCCTGGTAATATGCGCCATTTTACATAATTACATTAGCATTAATCTAGACAGTGTAACAAACTTACAAAATCACATCGACAACTAATAACATCTTAATACACCATCCAAGGACCTGATCCTTCAACATTTAACACATACAAATTTCTATGTACGAGGATCATTACAACTGTATGTGTTACATAGCGCGTTCTCATAAGCCTGTGTTGCATAGCACGTGTTGCGTAGCGCGTTCTCGTAGCCCTAATTTAGAAGCACGCAGTCCAATATCTCCATAATGAAGGTCACAACTTAAAATGTTCAATCGGTCTTACTAGCTCTAATAAAGTAAGAAATCTGGAAAGTAACTGTCTTTGCAAATGGTATTGTGAATTTGATAAAGTTCTTGTCTGTTTCGCTTCTGGTAATTCCGCATCCTCTTATTGTTGGTCAAACACTTTCGTCTATATGTGCTTTGCAAATGGTATTGTGAATTTGATAAAGTTCTTGTCTGTTTCGCTTCTGGTAATTCCGCATCCTCTTATTGTTGGTCAAACACTTTCGTCTATACGTGTAATAGAGGTGTGCATCGGATCGGATTGGACGTTTATAATCCGACAATTGCCTAATGTTTAAAATCCGATCCGATCCGAAATTGTCTAATCCGAATCCGATCCGTGTTTTGATAAAGAATTCCAATCCGATTCGATGATTTCTTTAATAAAATAAATTTCTCATTCAAGTTGAAATATTTAACCAAATAAATATAAAAGCAAGAAATATACATGTCAAGAAGCTGACAAAGTGACGTCCAATTGAAGTATCATACGAATAATGCAGCGACAACCGCGATAATGCTTTGATAAATGCATGGATCGACGCTGTACTTAATATCGTGTTTAAATAAAAGCTTATTATTATTATTATTATTATTATGGATAATTAATTCTTGCGATAATGCGTGGATAATTAATTCATTTTATTTCGGATATCGAAGTCCGATCCGACTACGAAACAACTTTATCAATCCGATCCGAAATGAATATTTTAGTTCCAAAATCCCAACGAATCAAGTATTCGTGGTAAAAAGGTAAATGATAAAAGGTCAAGTTGCAGTATAGAACATTGCATGTGAGAAAGCCGAGCTTTAAAAAGCTATGGTAACCATGGCTTTTTAAAACTTATGCATTATCAAAAAATTTTTTTGAATATTCTACAAGCATTCCAAGAATGTGACGCTTGGGCGCGAAGCCAACATCGGTGCTTCTTGACGTATATACGAAACTAAGGGGCGGACCAATAGAAATCCCGGGAGGGGTGTGTGTGAAAATTTCCCCAAAAAACGTCGTGCAAAGAAAAATGCCTGGGAAAAAATTCGTTCAGCCATTATGTCAGAGAAAAAAAAATCGTGCAAGCAAACAGCAAAGTGTAAATAGTCTTGAAAAAAAATTCTTGCAGAGGTTAACTGCATAAAAAAATCCTGCAGAGACACGAGGCTGAAAAAAAAACGTGCCGCAAAAATTGTCTGTTGTCCTTTGGGTGATTCTGACTGGGCTGGCATTACTGTTCGGTGGTGGTATTGACGTACAGGTTTTATCTGGGTTTGGTACATGAGGATTGATTATTGAGGACTGGTAATAAGGCGTACCAGGGAGTATTGGTGCCTCGGGCGTTGTTGGGATGTCGTGGATGCAAATCCCGTTGACTGCGCTGATTTGGCCGAAGATCTAGTAGTCGTGGGGGGGGGGGGTATAGGGTAAGAGCGCTTTCGAAAAAAAAATCCATTTTGCATGTTTTGTGGGATATTGGAGCCTCGGGAATTGTGTAGGTGAATTGGAAGCGAGTGCCGTTGACTGCATGCGCTGATTCAGCCGAAGATTTAGATCGTTGTTTAGTGCTCGAGGAGATAGGACACAGGGACGTTTTCGAAACAAATTCCATTTTGCTGGTTTCGTAGATGCTGTTGTTGCGAACTTGGATTAAACAGAGGGTGCTATCGGTTTAGGATTTCCGTCATTTTGAATTTCATCGTGACTTTCACTGCTCCTGGCTACTTGAATTTGTGGGATGTAATTTTCAATCAGGGGTAGTTCACCGATATACAGGGCTTTTTTCGCTTATTAAGGCCCTGTCGCACTATTGCGTATGAGAGAAACGTATGAGAAGCGTATGAAAATTAATGAGATCATTTTCATTTCAATCTCCCCAATTTACCTAGAGTATGCTTATCGTATAAACCATACACCAAATACGCACAAAATTTTTTAAGCATGCTTAAAAAAAGTCTCTGTCTCTCCGGGCCTTGCCGTATGCCAACGTATATGCCGTGCTTGAAACGTGTGCAACCTATACGTGCACCAGCGTATGAGTGATATTTTTCATACGCTGACGTACATATATAGAAGAAGGTCAAGGCGAACATGGGCCATGCATGATCAATTGTCAGCCGGGCAACAATTATATATAATGAGAGTCTTTGTATGCAAATCAGTAGCACAAAGCATAACAATGCGATACCGGCTACCAATGACGATGACTAAATGATTCTTTGTTATGACAAATTATCCTATAGCACGCAACCGAAATCTTCAAACTCAGTATTTACTAGACAATTCAAACATACATAGCTGATAACTGATATATTCAGGGCCGTAGCGACCGGGGGTGTGAGGGGGTGTAACACCCCCCTGATAATTGCTCACGAGCTATTTCAGATAGATTTCCATGCTGTGGATTTTTAGGTACATTCAGGTAATTCTTAGGGCATAAAAAAGTGAACTCTATCACGGCTCAGAATTAGAGTTAACAATCGACCAAATAAAGACGTTGAGAGGCGTCGTGGAGACCAAATACCCTTACGGTCCGGAGACTCCAATTTACAAAATTTTCTCAATTTTTGTAGTCACATTAATTAAACTGTAAGTAGGCTAATAATAATACTTATGCTCATTGTTTGGCAATACTAAAATATTGAAATATTGGGTATAGGAAAGACTCTAAAAATGCTATTTCCGACTGTCTGGAGACTTCAAATTTTCAAAAAATGTTGCTCGGCACCAACCATGGTGGCGCTTCGCAAATCAGGTAAAACGTTAAGTTGGAAAAAATCAGGTAAATTGGCATCTTCGCCCTTGAAGGTTCGTGTAATATCTACACGAGAGTCAAGCTAGTTGTCGAATGTCTGCACTTGACTCTTGAGATCAAGCATTTCATGTACATGAAGACAATTGCCTGCACGTCACGTCATTGTCAGGCAAAAGATGTTTTGATGGATTGCAATTTGCCTGACGTAAGCACTCAAAGGGTTATTAACTTTGAAATATCGAATTTGAGACAGTGTGAAAAATTATTGGAAACAAATCTAATATTTTGCGATTTTGAGCACTTCCTCAATGATTGTGCAGAATCTATTTGAAAGAAAACCATAGAAATGTTGTTTACATTGGCATTGCCCTACGAACAGTGGTGCGAAGGTGGTTTGATAATTAAGGAATTCACAAGCAATTTTTCAATTCCTTTTGTGAAGTATGTGGATAAATTTAAATAATTATAACTGCGGAAAATGTTGCATTGCTTCATTGGTGTTCAATGGGAGTTGTTTATAGTTGTTTTTTGCAGAGAACAGGAAAGAAGGGTTCGCATCTTGCTGTAAAATATCACTGTCGGAGAGTGAAAAATATCAAAGTATTGTTGATAGCTGTGTTGCTTTTGCTTCTTGCTCCTTGGTAAGTGCGTTATTTTACACCAACATATAGATTAAAGTAAATTTAAACCCCCGCCTATAGTTAACCAACTATATATTTCGTGTTCTCGTGTCACATGTGTGAGACCAATTATAGGACTCAAACAATTAAATTAGCATTCCATTGTACAGGAGATTAGTTGGACAATTAGCATATAGCAATTACTTAATATATTCATATTTTGAATATATAAAAGAAACGGTTGAAAGTATTCGGCATAGTCAACATCAAACAGTCAAAACGAAACGAATTTAATTCTACCTGAATGATCAAGATCTACAATTCTACTCGAATATTACAATCGATCGCCCAGTTGGGGAATTATCTGTAAGTTTGTTTATTTATTTTACTAAATTATTGTAGACTAGGTAGTTTATTTGTTTTTGTATTTACTTATAGTTGAACCGTATTAAATCGTATTATTTACGCGTTCGAATGTCTTGATTCGGCGATCGAGGAGTAACATAGTTCAAAGATATCTCGACTCAAGAATCTACTCGAAAGAATTGAACGCTAGTAGGCTACTCGAATGTCAGTTATCTATTATGTCTGTGTCGCAATCAACAAATCAAAGCGAAACCGGTCAAGACGAGCATGAAGACCAGGATGCCAGCGCTCGGTCACGAAACCCAAACCTGACTCTTGATCACGAAGGAATTCGATACGAAAGGTCTCAGCAATTAAGAAGAAATCGCTCAGCTGCTAAAGGAGTTGTTACTAAAAAGATTAAAGAATTGACCGAACTGACAACAAGTGTACTAGACGCCAGCGAAGCTCGAATAAAGGCTCAAGAATTCAAGGACGTAGCAGTGAAATTTTACCTCGCTCACGCCGATTATCATGTAACGATCATGGACGAGTATGATTTACAAGACTCCGAAGAATATTTTCATAACGAAACTCAAAGAATCGAAGCTTTTAAGCGAACACTAGCGGACTGGATTCATAGTTTGTCAAACCCAAACCCGTCGCCATTGGAGTGTGAAATCAATTCAAACGACTCAATAAGCAATGTTGGCTCCAAAACTCGGTCACGTCGGAGTGCCAAAGGCTCGGTATCAAGTTCTCGACGATCCCGGGTTAGCTCGTCGGCGCAAAGTGCAATGGCGGCAGCAGCAGCAAAAAAGGCTATGTTAACAGTACGAGCGGCCGCGTTAGATAAATACAAAGCTCTCGAAGAAGAAGAACTTCGCATACAGCACGAAATAGCAGCGCTAAATCAACGACAAGAGGAACAAAGACTGCGTTGTCAACAGAGGAAAAAGGAACTAGAAGAGCGGCCGCGTTAGATAAATACAAAGCTCTCGAAGAAGAAGAACTTCGCATACAGCACGAAATAGCAGCGCTAAATCAACGACAAGAGGAACAAAGACTGCCGCGTTAGATAAATACAAAGCTCTCGAAGAAGAAGAACTTCGCATACAGCACGAAATAGCAGCGCTAAATCAACGACAAGAGGAACAAAGACTGCGTTGAGACAGAAATCGCGAAAGCCGACGCAGAAGAAAAAGCGTATGCTGGAACTTTACTTCGGGACGAGCCACAACCAACGACGTTCGATGGTCTTACAATAGACACTGGAGTGCAGGGAGACCAAAAATCAACTCAAGTCAAATCGTCTATTCATAGTGCGAAGCTAAGAGGAGAAACCAAAAAAGATGATGCTTCTGACGACTCAGAGACGGCAGAAAACTTCCTGCGAGAGATGGTAAATGTACAACAGCTCCAGCTGAATCAAAATCAACAGATGTTTGAATCACAGCAATATCGGGATCAATACATGCAACAACTATTGAATCAACAATATCGACTGGCTACATCCATGACATTACCGAATGTTGAAGTTCCGACCTTTAGCGGTGACCCAATAGAATATTGCCACTTTATACGATCGTTCGAGACCCTTGTTGAAGACAAGACGATGAACAGTGGCGCAAGGCTTCATTACCTGATTCAATATACGTCTGGAGATGTCCAGGAATTGATGCGAAGCTGTTTAACGATGAAATCAGAAGACGGCTACCGAAAGGCAAGATCGCTCCTTAAACAGAGATACGGGCAAAATTACAGAATAGCAACTGCTTACATAGATCGAATTGTGAACTCACCACCTATCAAAGACGAAGATGGAACAGCACTTCATAAGTTTTCTATTCTGATTACAAGTTGCAAGAACACCTTAGAAGATATTGGATACAAGCACAAACTTGAGAATCCAGACAATTTGCAAAGGGTTGTGAATAGGCTACCGTTTTCCCTTAGAAGATCGTGGCGTGACGTCGCCGACGACATAACAAGCAACCAATCGAGGGACATTACGTTTGAAGATCTTGCTAAGTTCGTAGAGAAGAAGGCTAGAGCCCTGACGCACCCAGTGTTTGGCAAAATAATCAACGACCAGAATCCCAAGTTCAAGTTACCCAGGAACAAACTTTCCTTCGGGGTGGACGGCGAAGCAAATTCAAAGAAGACGGAGACGTCCACTGGAAGCGCACATGTGTTTAATATAGAAGCGAAGAAGTACAAATGTCCAAGGTGTAACGGTGACCATCTGCTGCCTCGTTGCGAGAGATTCAAACGTGACACGGTCAAAGAAAGAGTTAACTTAGTGCGAAGAAAGGGTTTGTGTGACAATTGCCTGTTCCAAGGACACATCGCAAGAGCTTGCCCGAAAGAAAGTTTCTGTAAGGTAACCGGTTGCCAATCAAAGCATTCCACTTATTTGCACCCGCTGAATATTAAACCAGACGAAGGGGATAAATTACGCAGTGAACGTTCGAAGAACCCCGATCATCAAGAATCCGACGTAGGCAACAAGATTACCGGACAGAATGGCTTTGTTAACAGCGAAGATAGCTTAAGTGACGTCAACGGGGCCGGTGCATCTCTGATAGGATTAGCGGTTGTTCCCGTTAAAGTCAAATCAAAAAATTCTAACCGGACAGTGTTAACATATGCATTCTTGGATCCCGGATCGAATACTACATTTTGTACTCGCGAACTAATGGAAGAACTAGGCATTGAAGGAGAGAACACTGTGCTGTCGTTGACCACCTTACAGTCCGAAAATCATTCAATGAAAAGTCAAGTGTTGAGTTTAGAAGTTTACGACTTAGAAGAGAACGATCTTGTTGAACTCCCTACAGTGTTTTCAACTTCAACGCTACCGATAAACGAATCCAGTATTCCTCGGCAGTCTGATATCGATAGGTGGCCATATTTGTCTGATGTTAAGATCACTGAAATCGACGCCAGTATCGGTTTACTCATCGGCAACGATGTGCCTAAAGCATTGGAACCGAAGGAAACGAAAGAAAGCGAAGGATTCGGTCCATACGCAGTAAGAACGATATGTGGATGGACAATCAACGGACCTCTTGGAAGAAATGGAAGTTACAATCGCTCCTCCAACTTTATCCGTGCGGATGATGTGTTGAATGAACAGTTCAAAAGTTTCTGTAACATTGAATTTAGCGATTCTACCTTCGACAATAAAGTTGAGATGTCCAGAGAAGATCAGCGAGCCGTTAACATTCTCGAGAACTCTGCCAAACTGCGTGGTGGTCATTACGAGTTAGCTCTGCCCTGGAAGAACTCTTCACCTTCGTTGCCAAACGATCGTCCTGTCGCTGAGCATCGCCTTGCTCTGTTGAAGAGAAGATTCAATAAAGATCCCAAGTTGTTTTCAAGATATGCAGATGTGATGGATAATTTGTTAGACAAAGGATATGCAATGAAAGTTCCTGACAAATCAATGGAAATGCACGACAAAACCTTGTGGTATTTACCTCACCACCCAGTGATTAATCCAAACAAGCCTGAAAAGCTGCGAGTAGTGTTTGATTGTGCTGCGACTTATCATGGTGCGTCTCTCAACGATCAACTGCTTCAGGGACCGGACTTAACGAACGGTTTGATTGGTGTATTAATTCGTTTCAGACAAGATCTAGTGGCATTAATGGCGGACATTGAATCCATGTTCCATCAGGTTCATGTTCCTGACAAAGATAGAGATGTTTTGCGCTTCTTGTGGTGGCCTGGTAACGATCTTGATGCCAGACCCGAAGAGTACCAAATGACAGTCCACTTGTTTGGTGCTAAATCTTCGCCAACCTGTGCAAATTTTGCATTGAGAAAGACAGCAACCGACAATGCGGAGGAATTTAGTAAGAACGTAGTTGAAACGATAAAACGAAACTTTTACGTAGACGACTGTCTCAAGTCCGTTGCAGACGAAGATGAAGCTATTACCTTGGCAGGTGATCTCCGCGATATACTGCAAAGAGGTGGTTTCCGTTTGACAAAATGGGTTTCGAACTCCCCAAAGGTCGTCGCTTCCATACCAGAACCCGAGAGAGCTGGTTCCGTGAAGGACGTATGCCCTGGTCAGCCAACCCTCGAGCGAGCACTTGGTGTTCAGTGGAATGTTGGTCTAGATCAGTTTGGATTTAAGATAAAGATGAAGGAAAAACCATCCACAAGAAGAGGAGTACTTTCCTTAGTCAGTTCTGTGTATGATCCTCTGGGATTCGCTGCTCCGTTTGTTCTGGTTGCTAAGATGCTGATGCAGGAGTTATGCCGAAAGAACTTAAGTTGGGACGATCCTATTCAGGGAGAATATCTCAAACGATGGGAAAATTGGCAAACGCAACTAATGAAAATTGAGCAGCTCTACGTGCCAAGATGCTTCAAACCTCCCGAATTTGGGAATATCGTGTCAAGTCAATTGCACCAGTTCGCAGATGCCTCTGAACGTGCGTACGGCGCAGTTAGCTACCTTCGATTGGTAAATGAACGTGGTAACATTCATGTTTCGTTTGTGATTGGCAAAGCTCGTTTGGCACCGCTCAAGGTAGTTACGATCCCTCGACTCGAATTATCTGCAGCTGTTGTAGCTACCAGACTGGATAAGATGGTACGCAACGAAATCGAGATCTCGATCGACGCTTCCATTTTCTGGACAGATAGTACAACTGTGCTTGGCTATATCCTTAACGAAGAGAAAAGATTTAAAACCTTCGTGGCAAATCGCGTGGCTGTGATACACGAAACTACCGTACCGTCGCAGTGGAAATATGTGAGTACTCGGTTGAATCCAGCTGACGACGCCTCCCGAGGTCTCTCTGCCGATGCTCTACTCCACAATGAAAGATGGCTGAGTGGACCTGATTTTCTTCGCAAGACCGAAGACCACTGGCCAAGTCAACACTATAATTCTGCCGCGACCCTTGAGGATGATCCAGAAGTAAAGATAGAACCACAAACATTTGCCACGGTTACAGGAACCCTAGAAGGAACCCTAGAAGATCCCTTGGATCAGATCTTTAAACGATTTTCGTCGTGGACCCGCCTTAGAAGTTTCATAGCCTGGGTGCTTCGTTATCGTTCGAAACTCCGCGAAGCTGTACGTAGAAGAAGAGAAGGACAATACGGGTCACTGAAGGCTGGAGTTATTAATCCAATTAGTGTTGAAGAGTTGGTTCGCGCAGAGAACGAGGTCGTGAAACACGTTCAGGGAACAAGCTTTCGAGAGGAGCTGATACGTTTAGGTGATCAATCCATCAATGATACAACGAACGAGTTAAAAGTCAAGTATGTTAAGAAATCCAGTCCTATCTATAACCTGGACCCACAGTTGATTGATGGTATTCTACGCGTTGGTGGCCGTCTGAAGAACGCTCCAATACCAAGAGAAAGCAAGCATCCTATAATCGTCCCAAAGAATAACCATATTTCCAACTTGATCGTGCGATACTATCATCAAATCTCCGCTCACGCGGGACGCGAACATGTTTTGTCACTCCTAAGGGAACGTTTCTGGATAGTTGGAGCAAGAATCATGGTGAAACGAATCCTCAATAACTGTGTTGATTGTCGAAAGAGACAGGGTCCACGTGGGGAGCAGAAAATGGCCGACCTACCAAAGGACCGAGTTATCCCTAATAACCCACCTTTCACCTTCGTTGGGGTAGATTGCTTCGGGCCATTCCTGGTGAAGAAGGGGCGAAGTCTCGTGAAGAGGTATGGCGTTCTCTTCACGTGTTTAACGATTCGAGCCATTCACATTGAGATAGCCTACAGTCTTGATACTGATTCGTTTCTACAGTCCATGCGAAGATTTATTGCCAGACGTGGTCATCCGGAGGTTATGAGATCTGATAATGGAACTAATTTTGTGGCCGGAGAAAAAGAACTTCGTAACGCAATCGAAGGATGGAACCAAGAGAAATTGCATAAGTTCCTTTTACAACGACACATAAAATGGATTTTCAATTCGCCTACCGCCTCCCATCAGGGTGGTGTATGGGAACGATGTATACGCACTGTTCGCAAGGTTTTGAAAGGACTTTTCAAGCAGCAAATACTCGATGACGAAGGATTAACTACATTGATGTGTGAAGCAGAATCAATCGTGAATAGCAGACCTTTGACTAAAGTTTCCGATGATCCTAACGATGCAGAAGCGTTGACACCAAACCACTTATTGTTATTACGATCTGGTCCGTCTTTCCCTCCGGGAATCTTCACGAAGGAAGAGCGTTACAGTCGCCGCAGATGGAGACAAATACAATATCTAGCTGATATATTTTGGCGCCGATGGGTAAAGGAATATCTTCCTACATTACAGAAGAGGCAGAAGTGGACCAAGCCGCGCAGAAATTTCCAATTGGGAGACATTGTGCTCATCGTTGATGAAAATTATCCAAGATGTTCCTGGCCTCTTGGTCGCATTACAGAAGTCAAGTCAGGGAAGGATGGTTATGTCAGACGAGTAAGTTTGAAAACAAAGTCAACGATACTGGAACGCCCAATTAACAAGATTATCTTCCTGGAGGCTGATGGTATTGAGAAAGAATGAACTTCAACCTGATATTCAGAAGTAGCTGAACTTGGACTAAAATATTAGACTTTAATTTATAATAACGTTTTCTTAAGTTTAGAATTTAATTAAGCCTTCCGTTTGATTCCTTAAATATATTTTGTAAATGTCAAGCCTGCATTTAGGGGCCGGAATATAGGACTCAAACAATTAAATTAGCATTCCATTGTACAGGAGATTAGTTGGACAATTAGCATATAGCAATTACTTAATATATTCATATTTTGAATATATAAAAGAAACGGTTGAAAATATTCGGCATAGTCAACATCAAACAGTCAAAACGAAACGAATTTAATTCTACCTGAATGATCAAGATCTACAATTCTACTCGAATATTACAATCGATCGCCCAGTTGGGGAATTATCTGTAAGTTTGTTTATTTATTTTACTAAATTATTGTAGACTAGGTAGTTTATTTGTTTTTGTATTTACTTATAGTTGAACCGTATTAAATCGTATTATTTACGCGTTCGAATGTCTTGATTCGGCGATCGAGGAGTAACACCAATTGTAGAGTACTGTACATGCTCAACTGTGGCACTATATAGCATTCCTGAATCGGATATTTAACGAATGTCCGTGTAGTTCAGTTTGCAGGTTCGAAACCCAGCCGCGGTAGACATGCGGTGTTTTCTGCTTGCGTGCTGTCTGAAAATTATGATATGTATCTCACTTGAAAACATTTTCTCCTTATCATATTACCGAGTGAACAATAACACAACATAAGTCATAACACAACAACCTGCAGAACTAGTATTGTTCGATGCTGAATTATTAATATAAACGAGTATGTTTATGGCATTCAGTATATATAGGCTAATATAGCAGTATTATTGGGAATTTCTATATTTTTATATTTTCTAAAATTGTCGGCTGGCGGTGATTCTTGTACTGTACATTATATATAATTTATATAGTTCTTTTCAAATTTGGTTATAAGCTTTGTAACATTTGAGTAGAAATAAATGTATGTTTGCTTTCCGTTTTGGGGGCACAGAATAACACTTTGTGAAGCACACCTTTCATTAAAACATTCCCGGAATGAAGTTTCTCGCAAGTTCACCCCTTTCTAGTGCGCTCACAATGTGTTTGTGCAATAAAATACAATATATCAATATCTATTACGAATATATTGCATGCCCTTGCCAATGTCCGTTATAGTTCGCTAGATGATGGTATAAAGATTTTTTAAAACGTAATTCGATCCTACATTTAATTGTTGCGAGTTTATTGGAAGCCCGTAAATTATACTTGGGAGAGTTTTCAATTTAGATTTGCCATTTGGTTAGATAATGGCGAAGGACGTTTTAGTTAATTTAAGAAAGTTTGAACCGTAATGCAAGCCAAGCTTGGAAGGTCAAACACTGCTAAAGCGTTGCTGTATGAAAGGGTTGGATAAATTATTTTGAACGGATCGTAGAAAAACAAAAACATTTTAAGTATTATTATTGTATGAAAGGGTTGGATAAATTATTTTGAACGGATCGTAGAAAAACAAAAACATTTTAAGTATTATTATTATATATATGTATATTATATATATATATATATATATATATATATATATATATATATATATATATATATATATATATATATTTTATACCAAATATGTATTTAGAATCATATATGAGTAGAGTGCTCGATATACCGAAGTATAGAGCTAATAAAGATAAAATAAACCTGGTTCACTTCATAAGATTTATTCACTACAAACTTGTTTCGTATGACAAGCAATGCTTGCCACACTCATCAGGTGAATTAAAAAAAAATGCAAAAAAAAAAAGCATTGCTTGTCATACGAAACAAGTTTGTAGTGAATAAATCTTATGAAGTGAACCAGGTTTATTTTATCTTTATCTATATCTATATATATATATATATATATATATATATATATATATATATATATATATATATATATATATATATATATATATATTCGCTATAATGAATGATTTTTTTGTTTGATATGATCGATGACAGGAAACGAGCAATATATTTATTTACAATTGGACAACTGACTCGACCGAGAAAGGAAAGAACGCAAAAGAATGTGTGAAGAGCAGGTCAAAAAAATTGTGTAAATAGTTGAAGTTCCTTTCTATAGTGTTCAGTCTTGTGTCAAGTTGTGTGGTTTATTATGTTTATTTAGTAAAGCTTCGAGGAAGGCAAGAATGTTGTAATTGTTGGATTGGATTATGTGCAGAATTCTAAAATGATTGAAAATTGAGTTTTCGATAGGAGTAGAATCGTCTTTATATAGCAGAAATAGGAGGTCGTTACGTTGAGAGTTATATTGCATGCAATCTAGTATTGCCTTCAACTTAGAAGGTGGGAGGTTGCTGCGTTAAATAGCTAAATTTTGGATAATTCCTTCCTTCCGGTGACGTGTGTTGTCTTGCTCTGTCATGTGCTGTATGTGTAAAGTATTGCATTTCATTTGTCTGATTATGACTTTGAAATAAAGTCGAAGATTCACAGTTTCAAACGTTCGTATTGTTTTACTTGACTTTCAAGATGACACTATTATTCGAACTTGGTTCTTTTTATGTGTATAGTACAGTTCTGCATGATAAATCGTCAAGTAAGAATAGATTCAATAGACATCTTAAGATAGACGTTAATTTTATTTTATCACGCCTTCCCGCAAACCGTGGTTTGCCGTTAGCGGTTTCACGTTTGCCGTGCTAGCAAATATGAAATTAAGATTGACGTTTTTCTTCGCGTTCAATTTTTTCCCGCCAAAACTAAAGAATCCATCTGATTTGTGCTATCCTATAAAAAAAAAAAAAAGTCACTGCCAATTTGTTAAAATGAATGGAAATATGTAAGTACAAATGTATAAGTAAGAAAATGTATTGAAACAATCGAAATTTTAATGTTTGTTTAATGTTTAACAAAAGTAAATTAGAGAGTCAATTGGGCGCCATGTTATTGATACAATATCGAATTACATGCATGGTTCGTTTAAAAGCACTCAGAATATGAAAGGTTTGAAACAACTTTAATCCATCCAAATCAAAGGTAAGATGTGTATTTGTCTTAATATCTGTCATATACGTGCATAGTCCAGTCCCAGACCCTATTCTCGCCACACGGCGCGGCGGAGAAGGAGGGTCCAGAAGAATTTGCATGCGCATGCGTCAACTTGTCCAATCAAAACGGTTGCGATTGACTTCCGGGAGAAGGGAAAACCCTTACACCTGTTAAACGCGCGCGCAAAACGTAAACAACTCAGAGAAATAAAAAATGTCAGGTGAAGTTCGATGTCGAATATGCAATGGAGTCTGTCCGCCCGCTAGGAGATATGTACTTTACAATGCAGAAAATGATTATACATCAACAGCGATGCTGTTTTTCAAGGCATATGGTTTGTCTATTAGACGAGACAAGCCTGGATTGTCTCGCCATTGTTGTCGAAATTGCCGAAATAATGCGAATAGGGCCGTCGAGAAAATTAAAAGTTATAAGGAAAATATTAGTCCTCGAGGGAAAAGAAAAACAATACCATCCTCGCCAAATTCGATTAGATCTCCACCATCGAAAACATCGAGACCTAACGAAAGAAATTGTAGTTTCAGCCAGATCATTGCAGTTTTCCAACGACAAAGCACAGGTACGACGACATTATTTAAATTTTATTATAAAAAGACCAGTCTTTTGCCGAAGAAATATGCAACTATGTATATACTAACTGAAATCGGTGTTTACTAAATATTGCTGGTATGATATCCCAATATTGTCCGAGTGAGACTGTTTAAAAATACTTTATTTGTTATAGCTAGAAAGTTAAACTTGTCAAATTACACGTACGATAATTGCAATTTTGCATCGCTGTAACAAATAAGAGTTATTGTGACAAATATTGTATTGTGACAAAAGATAGGGTAATTAAATAAATTTCTATTTGATACGCAAAAATAGACAAGCTTTCTTTTACTGCAAACACTTTAATTTTATATAAATATAATGTGGTCGTCATAAAGTGCTTTACTCCTGGTCTTGCAGCCTTGGATGTGTTAATTATTGTAATTTTTGCACTAATATTTTAACACAAAATTAGGACGAATAATCCATAAACTTATTACAGACAATTCACGCCATTAAACCAAAAATATGAAGAAGTAGTATACATTGTAGAGGAGATAACCGAACGTATTTACTGTGTAGTTTCATCATCTTGTGTTTCTTTATATGACTTCGAGGGTGTAATTATCTAAATGTTTGTTATCATGTTCATTTAGCCATCCCATTCTAATGCAGCAAACACGACATCAAGTGTGAGCACGACGACATATCTTTCCTCACCCTGTCAAACATTTACTACAGTTTAAAATAAATCAAGTGAGTTCAGAGTAGGTTACTGTATAAAGTTACTTATTTGCAAGGCTAATTATATAACGTGATGAACCAAAGTGTAAAAAAATTTTCCCTATCCAATCGTTGGTTATCTCGCCACATTTTCAATAATTTCAATAATCCTTTAAAACTTAGTATAAACATATGACAATTAGCCAAATGCTCTTGCAATAGAATGAGGCTCTGTAGTCAAGGGAAAGCACTTTGGCTAATTTATTTATTAAATTATTAAAATATCTAGCATAGACCTACCGTTGTAGTACACAATGTGCCTCATCAATTGCCACACAAACAATATGCTCTTTCAGTTCCCTCAGAGTCTCCCTTACAGTCAAACTGGTAAATGCCTCAGGGGATAACAAAGCGATTTTGATGTTCGATTTTCCACGTCGAAGGTCCTCAACTTGTCGGTCTTTAAGATCGGTGAGCTTGACGCTATGTATTCCTCGTTCGGCCATTTTAGCCATCTGATCATCCATGAGGGAAATTAGTGGTGAAATCAAAACGACGATAGATGAACGGCAATCGTTGTTTGGTGACGATCGCAGAGCATCGCAAACATATGGAAAGAGCGTGTAAATCAGCGACTTTCCGAAACCAGTTCTCAGATGAACGAATACATCTTTACCGCGAGACAGGTAATAGATCGCTTGCAATTGCTCAAACTTCGGCAAAAAATTATATTTACACATTCCCATGGCAAACTTAACGGCTTCAACAAATTCTCTGCCAAAAATATGAAGAAACTTGTTCTCAATCAGCGCTGCAAGAGTATCAGAACTTTCCTTTGACATTGCGGATTTTCCCCACAGTAAACAGAGCTTAGCGACCTGGCGACCTCCACATATGTGTGGTGGTAGTTGACGCATGCGCATGCAAATTCTTCTGGACCCTCCTTCTCCGCCGCGCCGTGTGGCGAGAATAGGGTCTGGGACTGGACTAATACGTGCAATGAAGTAACAACAGTTGAATAAAATGCTGAGGTAAATCAATAATGTACTCTTGAGGTTTAAAACGTGAGCGATTTACGGCAAACGCGACGGAGAGCTCCTGGCCACGTGGTTTCTAGCGGTTAGCGGTTACACGTTTGCGAAAAATGCATCAATCTTAAGGTGTCTAATCTCTGTTATATGTTTTGACCTACTTTCTCTCTCCCTTCGGTTCAGGATATTTTTGAATTTAGGCTATAATTATTTTATCATCTCGAACGTTGGGTGCATGCCAGTTCGTTTAACCTCAAACTTCTAGTTTAGTTATATTGGTCGTTTCCTTTCATCGATCATGTCAAAACAAACAAAATCATTCATTATAGTTATTAACGCTTTCCTCTACACATGTTGTTTCTTTCAGATAGATGCTATACACAATGGTTAAGGAAGAGGTCAAAATCCAAAAATATTAAATATGTTTCCAACAATTTTTCACACTTTAGAATACCTATTCTAAAGTGTGAAAAATTGTTGACCCTTGGTATTCTAAAGTGTGAAAAATTGTTGGAAACATATCTAATATTTTCGGATTCCGACCCCTTCCTTAACCATTGTGTAGCATGCATCTATCTGAAACAAACAACTCTTAGCACGAGAAGAGAATATTTCTTAAGTTCTACCTCAAACGTTTTAATGTTATATTACATTATGTTATATTACGCTAATATGTTATATTAATGTTATATTACGCTAACGAGTATAATCGCTTGAAAATTTCACTCAACATAACTCTCATCCTAACAGCTTGGTCATGGAAACGGTATATTGTCAACCCAATTTAGATACCTCCTTAGCTAAAAGGACAATTAGAGACTTCCATTCATATCACGAGATGTTTCGAACGCATGCACTGACACATTACAACAGTTAAGACTTAAACTAAAACGGTTGACGCAATTAAGAATTTTTTGTTAGAAAATCGTCAAAGACTTCCTATAAGTCACCATTCGCGAACAGCGCGGTAAGTCTAATTAGTTATCCTTGTATTTTGTACTAGCTCATAGGTAATACCTTTGCAAATGATAAACACTATAACTCTCCACCAATAGGCATTTCCAGACTAAATTTTGATCTGGGCAAGAAGAACAAAATCCATCACCACAGCTAGAAAGAGCATGTTAGAATTAGTAAAATTGCAAAGTTTGGTTGAGAAATGTTATAAAATGAGGAAAAGATAGCCCTGCGAAATTTGCAAATTTTGTATTAATTTGCATGTTTTACGCACGGTTTCATGCACCACTTTTGGCCCAAATGTGGTGCATTTTCTCGCGCGTATATAATACAAGTTAATGCAAAATTTGAAAATTTCGCAGGGCTATATATTTTCCGCATTTTACAACATTTCGCGGCCAAACTACTAATTTTAACATGCTCTTTCTATCTGTGATGATGGATTTTGTTCTTCTTTCCTAGATCGAAATTTAGTCTATATAGCTGGAATTATAAAATCACCACCAATCTCTGTAGTTTGTATAGCTCACCATGTAGAGTAGTGGACTAGATTTCTGGGGCCGGTTGTATACGAAAGCTGGATAAAACGCTGTCCGGTGGTTCTAGGAACGTCTGGTTTTTAAGCCTATTAGAAACGTAAAAGATTTGAACGCCTATAGGTATATTATACACTGTTAATTTTAGGGTGTTAAAATAACACCAAAAAGTGGTGTTAAAAAATTAGGTAAAAAATGACACTACTTTTTGGTGCTATTTTAACACCACTAAAAAAGTGTTAGAATAACACTAGATATGGTGTTAAAACAACACCCATTTTTAGTGTTAAATTAGCACCAGTTTTGGGGGTTAATTTAACACCTGTTTATAGTGTTAAACTAACACCACTTTTAAGTGCTAAAGTGACACCAGTTTTAAGAGTTATTTTAACACCTATAGTGTGGCGTTAAAATAACACCTGATTTGGCAGTGCCAAAGCAACACTTCTTCCTATCTGGTGCTAAAATAACACCAGATTTAAGGTGTTGATTTAACACTTTCAACCAGGCACATTAAGACACACACAAAAGAGAAATATAGGTTCAAAATTGGTTATTATTATAAATTACTCGCTGACAAGAAATACCTTTAACATGCATGAATTTATATGAACTAAGTATTTATCACGATTAATTTTGGAGTCCAAGCTCACTTAAAAGTTGTTGTACAGAAATTTTGTTCTCGGCATCAGCAGGGCGGTTTAAGGTTCTAGATTCTAGAAATGCATAAACACTCGAAACACCTGGAGTGTATTCCATATTTAGAACATGGAATGTGGCAATAAGTATGTGGAATATTTTTACCAGCAAAACGCAACTAAATTTGCCCCACGGCAGCAATGTACAATGGGTCCAAGGATGCAATGTCACCTGATGCCAAGATTCAAGGATAGGTTGATTTCCTCACTTCTTCATCAATGGCCATTGTCCGTCATCCTAAAAGTATTCATTTTCACATTAGTCTATACAGTATATATATTTAGTAATTTTAAATGTTGTCAAGTTCTAATGCTTGAACAAGAGTTAAATGTTGTATTCTGATTGGCTTTACGCTACTCGTTATCTAAATGTCACTGAGATATCTAGCTAGAGCGCAAACCATCTCTTTGTTGAGACAAATAAGCATTGATCACATGCAATGATAGGATAAGAGATGTGCCATCTCACCTTAACACTACATGTAGCAATTAATATTTTTCAAAAGGAGTACAGTATCTAACAGGGAAGCCATCGAGCAAGTGTCACCTAGCTGAACTATATAATTAGTCACTGGTACAGACTGGCCCGTACAGTCCAATTGCATTTTGCCATTGAAAAATCATATCGATACATTGCCATTTTAAGAAAGAAAAATTACCCCCATTATAGTGTTAACTGTGTCAAATGGGTCATTTGTCGTGGATGGATAAGAGATGTGCTATCTCACCTTAACACTACATGTGGCAATTATTCTACTTTAAAATGAGAATCTGTTGCAATAAGAACTTAATTAGGTTTAGTGTATCTTCTGACATGGTTGAGAAATTTGACATTATATCATAATCAATATTTTCACTCTTAAATATTAATACTCAGGACTCTCCCATTGATAGCCCAATGATAGGTAAAATTATCTCTGTCATTATACCGTAAACCCTCCGACTATAAGCCCCTTGACTATAAGCTCCCCCCCCCCGAATATAAGCCCCCCGGAAGATAAGCCCACCACATATACTAACGCTCAATTCATTCCAAATATAAGCCCCCCCCCGAACATAAGCCCACCCAAATATAAGCCCCCCAAATATAAGTCCCCCGAATATAAGCCCAGTAGCCCACTACGTTATTCAACATTTTCATTGTCTTTTAATATAGCAGAGAACGATATTTAAAAACATTGTCATTGTCTTTATAGCCGACTATATGTTATGTTAATCAAAGCACGTTATTAATGGATGTTTATTTTCCTGTTTATGACTGACTTGTTATGTCTGATTTGTTTATTACTAACACAAAAGATCATCCATGTATTAGCCCCCCGCGTATATAACCCCCCCCCCCCTTGTATAAGCCCATCAAAAATCGCTTACGAAAGTTATAAGCCCAGGGCTTATAGTCGGAGGTTTACGGTATAAGATCCCCTTGGCAAATTAGATAAACATTGTCTGGCGTTAGCCAGAATAAAACAATAAAATAAGGTATATTTGGGAACATTGCAGCTTAATGGTTAAAAATCAAATATAAAATTCGAGTTGGCAAAAATATTCATGAAACACCAGCTCAGGTCCAGCTGTGTAGTGTATACTGTATCTCATCTCACAGACAGTATTAATAAAATAAATTCCATCGTTCAGTAATCAATATAAAACATTACCGTTTCGGTTTGCCATTGAAATTTAATGAATAAAATATTGTTGGTCTGTGTTGTTGTGCGTAATTTGAATAGAATGCACAAAATCTTGCATTCCTATATGAATATGATATAGTTGAGGTTGGGTATTTAACAGCCATTTCCCGATTTTCCACCTCAGGTTCTAAAATACTTGTCTTTATAATTGAAATGAAAACACTAAACGCAAGATAAATCAGACAAAACTACAGTACTTGTAAATCAAAACGCGCGCAAGTTTTCTTAACTGAGACTGCAATGGCAATGAGAGTAGCCTCAGCATAATGGCGGTCGTAATGTATAAATACGACAATCGCAGACAACAATAATTATAATTCTCGCATTATTATAATAACTCACCTTATTCCTTTCGACGTTTATCACATCTTTGAAGTTACAGGCGAACTAATTCTAAAGCATTGACGCTGTGAACCACACGTTTTGAATTGCATTGGCGGCCAGACCTTTGTCATTCAAATACAAACAGCAACCTTGCTCGCTTCTTCCTCACACTGTTTTAAAGCCATCTTTATGCTTGAAATATGAATATACTAAAGCCATTTTAATCAGTTTGTATCGCTTCCATCGCACTGACACTTAGAAGCAATCATTATAGAACCCTCGCACCACAATAGCAGATATATTCCCATACAACCAGACTGCCAGTATCGATGCGACAAGAAGGTATTAGATTTCACGGCGGCGCTATCCTCATTGGTTGAAAGCTCGATCATGCGGCGCGCGAATATTCAAATATTTCGGCTTCATTGTGTGTTATCTTCATATTGTGTTATTGCTGCTGCAAATTATAGCGTGTTATAAGACTTATAGTCTTATAATATTTGAAATGCGATATTTTGAGGTCCAATTTTGCCAGTTTCCAATCTGTATGATGAAATGCATAAACATACATGATCGACACATGTGACATGGGAACTATTTCTGTTAATTTATTATTATGTCTAGTAATTAACTTCTGAATTCAAATGTTTCATTTGTGAAATGGTTTATAATTTACCAGTAAATTAATATGCGCCTGTTTCATGCTACCAGTAGATAATATTCGGATAAATATTTGCGAATTAATTTGGCGCTATACCTGTAATCGGCCAGCCCTAGCCTGTGACGGTGGACCAGGCTGAAAACGTGTGTTTATAGTCCGTGTTATACTGTAAAAGTGTTTAGTTTAAGAATATATGTTATTCTAACTGCACAAACAGTTTTAACACCACCAAAAAGGTGCTATTTTAACACCCGTGCTCTGTGCTAATTTAACACCACCAAAAGGTGCTATTTTAACACTCGTGATGCGTGCTAATTTAACACCACCAAAAAGGTGTTATTTTAACACCCATGTTCTCACTCCACAAACAGTGCTAATTTAACACTGGGGAATACAAATTCTTAACACCACTTACGGTGTTATTTTAACACCAAGAATTTAGCACCAGAAACTGGTGTTATTTTAACACCACCTGTCCTTAAGTGGGTGTTATTTTAACACCTCTAAAGTGGTGTTAAACAATTTGAGTGTTAAATTAACACTTTGCAAAATATTTTTATTTATGTCGTGTTAAATTAGCACCGAAAAAGGGTGCTAAAATAACACTTTTGTTTAACACCACCAGTTGGTGTTAATCTAACACCACCCGAGGTGTTATTTTAACACCCTGAAATTAACAGTGTATATATATATATATATATATATATATATATATATATATATATATATATATATATATATATATATATATATATATATAAATATATATGTATATATATATATATATGTACTTCTAATTCGCTGCAGATTTCTTTCAGCATTTTGACATTAAATTTTTTCAATTCGTTACATTGGCGTAATTCACAAGTTACTTAGGGAAGCCTCACATATCGATTTTGTCCATGAGAAACGTCATATGTTCGTTTCTCTGGAGACCCCCCCACCCCCCACCCCCCTAGAAACGTCACACATAGTTATCGATATTTTGTTCTTATAGTACACATAAGGTAATTTTCTACTACTTTTTCGGTCGGCTATTGGCGATGCTTCCGCGAGGAATATGTCATCTTCTGCTGACATACTCTTTTTTTATTAATATATATATATGTGAACTTCAAAATTTCCAACGTTTCTCAAAACAACTTTTTTGCATGAAATATTGATAATTTTAGCGCGTATTTCTTGAAATTTGAGTGTTTTCAAATGCAAAGAAGGCGTAATAATATAAATGTATAGGTATAGAACAGGTATGGCATTACGAATATATAGACTGATGTTTGTATCAAATTGTTTTCTTTTTTATACTCTGCAAAGATAAAAACTATCGATTTTTTCCATGATGTTTACAGAGAAACGTCACAGCTGCCAACCCCCCCACCCCCAAACGAACATATGACGTTTCTCGTGGAAAAAATCGATATGTGAGGCTTCCCCAAGACGATGAGTATAGTGTTCATTTCTAGATGTTTATAGTTTAACAACAAACGCGGAATGTTGTTAAATCAGGCTTACTGTGATAAGATCCCTAGAGCAACCTTGTGTGGATTGTTCTCTGCACATATTGACTTTATAATCCTACGAGCCTACATTCATATATATAATTAATATATTCATCTGGCTGTGTCACTACATTTCACAGTGTAATATATATTTTTCGATAATGCCCACAATAATTTAGAAATGTCAACAAATAGATATTGTCTCCCCATCAGCATATTGTTCGGTTGTTTTGTGATATGGGCAGCCTTGAAGGTGGCATTAAAACAATAATTGGAACAAACCCCGACTTAGGGCCTGGTTACATGGAGGCAAGTTACCCGACAAGGCGAGTTACTCGCCCAGGCGGGACAAACAAGTGTTGTGTTTATATGGAACCGAGTTACTCGACATTTGTCGCATGATTGTCGCATGAAGCCGAAATGGCGCCAAAACAGAAAAAGGATTTAAGTCGTTTGAAATGCTAAAAACATTACAAAATATAGTGAAAGTACAAGAATAAGCGCCGAGCAATTCAGGAAAACTTATCTATCGATTCGTATATGTATTTTTGAGCTATTATATTTCAATGGCAAAGCACGTACATTCTTTCTCGGGCGGCCGAGTTACCCTGGCAAAGTGTTTACATGTATGGAAAATATTCATCTGGCCTAGGCTAGATCCCGCCTCCTTTTGCCGGGAACTCGCCAAGGCGAGTAACTCGGCTGCATCATGTAAACAGTCACCCGGGATTACTATTAGTTTCTATAACAGCCGGGATCTCACCGTTGCCGAGTAACTTGCCTTGCCGAGTAACTTGCCTTGCCGGGTAACTCGCCTCCATGTAAACAGGCCCTTACTATTTTTATATAAACATTGTACAGTATTCAGTGGCAAGGTAGCCATGGCAACTGGCCATATGCATGCTATACTGATAAACCTGCATCAATTTGAATAATGCAAATCATTAAAAATTTGCATAGCATGACCTGTTGCTATGGCTAGTTTCACCACTGACAGTATTATAATTATACAACAGCAAGATGTTATAAGCATTGAAGATATTCATATAAAACCGCCCATGCCAAGAAAGTAGAATTAGAACTTTCAGCCGCCCTTCGACTTTGTGCAAGATGTTTGATATTCAAATTGGACTTTTCCTACCTCCTGAACAGGCATCTTAACGGCTGTTTGCATGATGGAAAAAGGGATGATTTTGATGTATTAAAATATTAGTCACTAGGCTAAACGAAAGTTCAAACGCTCAAATGTAGAGAAGTAGTTCAAATGTAGAGAACATCTTGTGGTTCAAGAAGGTTATATTATGCTTGAAAAGGCAACCTTTCGTTTACAGTTAACTATACCGTAATCCATCTCTAGAAAATAGTGACGTTTTTTGCTGAATCATGCATGTGTTGTGACTTATTAAGCACATCAAAATCATCCTGCCTCATATCTGCTGGCAAAGCGGGATCATATAAAGGTATTCAGCAAATAAGGGTATTCAGCAAATTGTGCATGCTGCCTTTAATCCCTTGGGGTGAGGCAGCATTTTCCTTGCGATAGTAACTTCTAGTTATATAAAACGTATGGGAATCTGCTAAATTGTAACATAAAAATACTTCTGGTCATTTTGAAATGCGTACTTTACCTTTTACTTGATGGAAATCATCACAAATAGTACAAAAGACATAACTCTACCGCCATATTTTAGAAATCATAGTTATTGATAGTCACTCCCAATGGGAGTTTTAGTGTATACAGAAATATTCCCAGATTTTGGGAGTATTTCGCTGCCACACGACCAGCGTTTATCAGGGCCTCGCCTGCTTTGGCGGTCATATTAAAAAATCGAGCGGGCAGTCGTTTTACCACAAAAGGTTGCCACAAGGGGCTTCGGTGGCGAATTGGTTAACGCACTTGTCGTTCACGTTTAGCTAAGGTGGCTGGTTCAAATCTCAATGAGAACTTCTCAATGAGACTCGAACACAGTCCTCATGTGAAAAGAGTAAAAGTCAACGCTCGGTCGAAAGTTGTAGGTTTTATCCGGGAACTCCAGTTTCTCCCACAGGGAAAGTTGACAGAGTGGGAGTAATGTATATATACGGGTTAGGAGCACTTTTCGCAATTGCGCCCAGTTTGCCGCAAATTAGGCTTGCCCAGACATGCCCAAAAATTCCCCTTCCCCAGAATTTCAATTTCCAAAAACTATGACGTCACTTCCGGTTTATATGACGCCACTTCCGGTTTCCTATAAGTCCCATCAGCACACTCAATTCCGTCCGGCCATCTCGGAATCATCTTCCGCAGGACATCTCTTCCACATCTTCCGTACACTGGTTTTTCCGAATCTCCGCCAAAATAAAAAATTTTAGGGAAACCCCCAAGAAAATTCTCCCCCAAATTTCGTCCGAATCTCCGCCCCACCCGGTCCCCGGAATCTTTTGCAGATTTCCCGGGAATTCTTTTCCATCCTCAGAAAATTCTTTCCCCGGAAATCCTCTGCCGGAACTTCCGGGAACCCCGGTCCACCTCCGCCCCGCGCGCCTGCGACATGCTTCCCGAAGTCTTCCAAAGGTTTTCCCGGAACTTCCGGGAACCCCGGTCCACCTCCGCCCCGCGCGCCTGCGACATGCTTCCCGAAGTCTTCCAAAGTTTTTCCGAAGGTCTTCCAAACGTCCTCCCAAAGTCTTCCAAAGGTCTTTCCAAAGTCTTTCCAAAGTATCTCTCCGAAGTCTTCCAAAGGTTTTCCGAAGGTCTTCCAAACGTCTTCCCAAAGTCTTCCAAAGGTCTTTCCAAAGTCTTTCCAAAGGTCTTTCCAAAGTCTTTCCAAAGTATTTCCAAAGGTCTTCCCGAAGTCTTCCAAAGGTCTTCCCGAAGTCTTCCAAAGGTCTTCCCAAAGTTTTATTAGTGACTTTTGCCATTATCTACATAACAGCAGTAGCGTCGTATTCTGTCATTGCACCTTTTTATCCCCACAGAGATCAGAGGAGGCGGTCGCCTATTGAAAATTTTTCTTACCGAACTGTCAAATTTTCTTCGCAATGGACGACAGAGATGAGAGCGAACAAGGACTTATAGATGGGATTCAAAGCACATTTTCGAAATTCCCCAGAAGGGTCCAACACCTTATAGACAAGGCTTTCCTACATACAAATAAAACATGGATCTTTTCAAGCAAGCGCAAAAGGAATACTTCAGTCGTAAGGAACAGCAACTGGACGCTGAAGCGTGCGAACACCAGTTGGACATTGAAGCGTGCAAACATCAATTTATTAATCTTTCCCAAGTAATGACATGCAATTCATGCGGATTGGAAACTTATCCCGTCTTCGTTTCTGGGATGGACTGTTGGGACACAGTAATTTCAATTTCATCAGTTATAGGTATGAGAATTGTGGCTGCAGGAGAACTATATCACCTTTTGTTTTATCAAGAGAAAAAAGACATGAGATCGTGAGAAATATTAAGAAAGTTTACAATGCAGAGGAGCCCAAAAAGAGGAGGCTCCCTAACCTCAACATCCTAACTTATCAAATATGTAAAAGACTCGACATAGAGATAGATGAGACGCTACTTAAGATTCCGAAAAGCAGGGTTTCCCATAATCGGTGTAAGAAGATATTTCAAGTATTAGGCTGGGAGTATATTGAGTAAGATTTTAATGTTCCGCTAAGCATTAAAATTGAAATAGTAATTTTAGGGTGACGATGACGAGAAGAACCTCATCCGTTATCGAGAACAGCAGGCAGCTGATCAGACAAAGCCACACCAGTTTCCGTAGCCCGTTTGCAGGATACACGCGTTATTTCGCACTGAAATAAGAAATGTGACAAGGGATGAAATTACAACACGGCGATGTTTTATTTTGAAGCCGTATGTGCTTGCTAAAACGAAGTTAATGTTAGCTTGAAATTCGGCAACATGATATGTCTAAGGCTAAAGTGCATAGCCACTGAAAAATTTTGTGAAATAAAAGCCCTAGAGTCTTATAAATTGCTATAGTTTGTAATAGCAACGTTTCGTAGCATTAACGCCCCGACTTGACTGGACCTAATTGTAGTGTTTTGACATTTGAAGTTCAAGAAAAGCAAGGAATTAAAAGTGGAAACATCATTTAAGTGAAGCATCACGGGAGTGTGTTACATGTGGACTATATATTTGGCTAAGTAGATTTGTGTTGTAAAAAAAGCAATAAAATTAAAAGCAATCGAGCAAGTAAACGAGTGGAATAGTACATTGGCGACGAGTATGGTGATTTTTCTGTGTCGGTGAGGAGTTTCCTGTTATTTTATGTACGTTTGGTGTGATTTTTTCGAAAGGATATGTCGGACAACTAAGCCGTCGAAGGGGCTAGTGCCAGTCAACAAAGTTCTAGCCAAGAATCGGCTCAATTTAAGGCAACTGAAATTAAGGGTCTTCCTTGCTTTAACCCCAGGGATGACCCGAATACTCTGTCTATTCGTTGGAAACGTTGGAAGCGATCATTAAACTTATATTTACTGGCAAAAGGGATCACAATGGACTCGCAAAAGGTAACACTGCTGTTGCATACTGGGGGGCGATGATTTTCAAGAATTATATTTCACATTGATACCTGAGAATGAAGAAAACGGCTTGAAGGAAAGTTTTGAAGTGTTAGATAATTATTTTGTGCCAAAAGTGAATATTCCTTTCGAGAGACACTTGTTTAGACAAATGTTTCAAGTTGCAGGAGAGACGGTGGATCACAATTTGTTTGTCGGTTGAGACAGAAAGCTCTCACATGCGAGTTTGCAGATGTTGACGAGACAATAGGAGACCAGCTTATTGAAAAATGTAAAAATGCTAAACTTCGTCGGAAGTTTTTGGAGAAAATTAATGCAAGTTTGAAAGATATGCAGGATAGATATGCAAGAGCACATGAAGCGGTTGAAATTCAGATGAGATCTTTGGAGCAGTCTGATTCACAACAATCAGAGGACGGTCAAATAAATGCAGTCGGTCAATTCGGCAAGAAAAACCAGAGGGGAAACAAAGATGGTGTTCATGGAAACAACACAAGTGGTCGATATGGTAGGGGAACATTTGGTCAAAAAACTGGAACTGATCAAAGGTGCTTCAACTGTAACCGTGTGTGTCATTTTGCTCGGGATACTATCTGCCCGGCTAGAGATCAGAGGTGTAATGAATGTGGAATTCGTGGTCATTTTTCTGCGTGCTGCAGGAAAAAAAATAGTAAGATACCACAAGGATGGAATCAAGAAGAGGACGAGAGCAGAAAGAAGAAAGTGTATCAGGTAGATGATGAAGAGAATCCAAGAACCAGGGAGGACTATGCATTTGTTGTAGGAGAAAACAGAACAGGTGCAGGGGAGATTACTCTTATGATTGGTGGAATCCAGCTGGATGGCGTACTTATTAACTCTGGTGCTTCATGTTATTTGGTTGATTATGAAACATGGACTAATTGGAAGAATAATAATATTGATTGCCAGTCAACAAAGTCCGAGAAGAAGCTGTTTGACTATGGCCAGAAAGAACCTATTGAAGTTGCTGGGACATTTGTGGCTGAAATTGTATGCAAGGTTAGTGGTGAGAAATCCATAGAGGAGTTCACAGTAATAAAGGGTGCCGGGAAACCTTTGCTTGGAAAGAGTACTACAGAGAAACTTAAAGTGTTGCATGTTGGTCCCTTTTATGGTGCTCAAGTTTGTTCAATTGCAACGGAAGGAAGTGATACGGATATTCGTGAGGAGTATGCAGATACATTTGTTGGAGTGGGAAAGCTGAAAAATTATCAATTGAAACTGCACATCAACAAGGATGTAAAACCAGTAGCACAAGGGGTTCGAAGGCTTCCATTTGGTCAGCGAGGTAAAGTGGATGAAAAATTGGATGACTTGCTGGCGAAAGATATCATCGAGGAAGTACCGAACAGTCCAACAGAGTGGGTCTCACCTTTGGTGGTGGTGCCAAAACCGGACGGTGATGTGAGGGTATGTATCGATATGCGTAAAGCGAATGAGGCGATAGCGCGGGAAAGACACCCCATTCCAACAAATGAGAAAATTTTATATGACCTCAATAGTGCAACCGTTTTCAGCAAGCTTGATTTGAAATGGGGGTTTTACCAGATTGAGCTAGAGGAACAATCTCGTGATATTACGACCTTTGTAACCCATCGGGGGTTATAGAGGTACAAGAGGCTGATGTTTGGCATAACATCTGCCCCGGAGAAGTTCATACGGGGTTGTAATGGAGTAGATAATATTGCTGATGATTTGATTGTCTACGGGTGTGACCTTCAGGAGCATGATAGGAATTTGCATGCGGTCCTCCAACGTTTAAGAGATAGCGACATGACCCTGAATGGTGATAAGTGCCAGTTCAGACTTCCTAAATTGACTTTTTTCGGACACGAATTAAGCAACCAGGGGGTAACACCAAGCGAAGCGAGGAAAAGATTGCAGCTGTTGTGATTTTTTCCCAAGAAGCCGAACCGTTACGCAAGCTGCTGCAAAGGGACACTCTTTTGTTTGGGGGATTGAACAACAGAAAGCATTCGAGAAGCTCAAGCAGCTCATGTCAACAACTAAAGCCCTTGCTTATTTCCAGAACGAGTGTAAAACCAGGATTGTAGCTGATGCAGGTCCAGAAGGTTTGGGCGCAGTATTACTGCAGCTGCAAGGGGGAAAAGTGGAGAGCGGTTTCGTATGCTTTAAGGAATCTGACCGAAGTGGAGAGACGCTATGCCCAGACTGAAAAAGAGGCATTGGCTCTTGTCTGGGCATGCGAAAGATTCAACCTTTATGTGTACGGTCGTGAATTTCAATTGGAAACAGACCATAAACCGTTACAATGCATTTTTGGGAAGTCGTCGAAGCCATCAGCAAGGATTGAGCGTTGGGTCCTCCGTTTACAGTGCCATCATTATAACGTTGTCTACCGCCCTGGTAACACGAATATCGCAGACGCGTTGTCGAGGCTAAATCAACCAAATCCTAAGGATCTTAGTAGAGAAACGGAGGAGATGATACGGCTTGTGGTACAAGAAAGTACACCGGTAGCCTTGACACCAAGAGAATTCGAAAGAGAGTCGGATAAAGATCCGGAATTGTCAAGTGAACGTCACTATATTCAAACGGGCGACTGGTCACATTGTAAGATGCCAAGTTATCTTTATGTAAAGAATGAACTGTGTGTGATTGGGAAGCTGGTGCTTCGCGGAGACAGAATTGTAATACCTCAAAGTCTGCGAGAAAAAGTCCTAAAGTCCGCCCATGAGGGGCACCAGGGCATTGTAAAGACAAAAAGTCGTTTGAGAACAAAGGTATGGTGGCCAAAATTAAATGTTGATGCTGAGAAAATTTGCAAATCGTGTCGTGGATGCCAAGTTGTGGGGCAATTCAGTGTTCCAGAACCTATGATGAGAACCGAACCACCTATGGGGCCTTTGCAAGACATTGCGATAGACCTGATGGGTCCGATGCCCACAGGAGAAAGTTTGTTAGCAGCAGTGGATTACTATAGTAGGTTCTATGAAGTCGTTGTTATGCGCTCAATAACACCTCAAAGGGTGATTAGTGCCCTATCTGGTATCTTTGCGAAATTTGGTTTTCCACACTCTCTAAGTCGGATAATGGTCCTCAATTTGTGTCTGAAGAATTTCGAAGATACCTGCGGGAAAATGGAATAAAACATAGAAAATCCCCACCACTATGGCCTCAGGCAAATGGGAAGTGGAGCAGCAAAATCGAACACTTTTGAAAGCATTAAAAGTAGCAAAAGCAGAGGGAAAGAAGTGGCAAGAAGTATTACCAAAATTCCTCTTAGCATATCGCAGCACACCACAGGTTAACACTGGAGCGACACCAGCATATTTGATGTTCGGGAGAGAATTGAAGACGAAACTTCCTGAGTTAAGGCGCCAAGACAGCATCCTAAATCAAGCAATAAAAGAGCGTGATTGGAGCCAGAAACTAAACCAGAAAGCTTACGCTGATTACAAGAACAAAGCCTCTAATAATCCAGTAGCGCCTGGTGATCAAGTTTTGTTAAAAAATACTAAAACAACCGGAAAGTTGGCTCTTAATTACAACAACGAGCCATATACAATGGTGACAAAAGAGGGACATGAACTTATGCTTCAATCAAAGGATGGAGAAATATACCGAAGGGACAGTTCATTTGTGAAACCGTTCAATTCACCAGATGAATTGGATTTGCCAAGTGCTAGTGAGGAATGTACTAGTGTTGATTTAAGTGAAAAACCTGACACTGTCACAGAATATGACAGACCTAAACGTGTGATTAGGCTACCCAATAAACTGAGAGATTATATTGTGGAGAAGACGACAAAATAAACTCTGTACACTACAGTAGGTAGTGGAGACGATTTTGATATTACAGTACAATGAACAGGAATATCTGTTAGAGATTTAACATTGACATCGTTTACTATGAACTTTTAGAATTTGAACATTAATTTAATGATTTATATTTAGCGTTAATCTTTAATTGAGAAAGGAAGGGATGTAGTGTTTTGACATTTGAAGTTCAAGAAAAGCAAGGAACTAAAAGTGGAAACATCATTTAAGTGAAGCATCACGGGAGTGTGTTACATGTGGACTATATATTGGGCTAAGTAGTTTTGTGTTGTAAAAAAGCAATAAAATTAAAAGCAATCGAGCAAGTAAACGAGGTAGAATAGTACACTAATGTATTTAACTTTTAATTTTAAACATTGAAACCGTTACGGTCGACACAAATTGGCTTCTCACCTTGAGTTGTATTCGAGTTTGCTTCCTTGTTTATATCACTGATTCCTAAATGTTGACGGCGTTATTCGACACGACACTCATTGCATAATTATCGGTCCACTCAAGTCGGGGCCGTTCATAATACGACAAATTTAAGAGTTTCATCCCTTGTCACGCATTTATATGTTGCCGCCCCCTATTTCAAATCCCGCGCATATCCTGCGAACGGGCTGTCAGGTTCGAAAGGCGGTGCTTTTATATAAGCTAATAATAGATCTTAAATAAATAAAAAAAACATACAAATGCAAATCAACTTATATGTTGTTATTATATGTTCGACTATAGGAGTATTATTGTTATTATATGACATATTATTTTAACATGTTTTAACAACATATTACAACATATTTTAACAACAACTGTGCCAAATTATTTTAACTTTCTTTGTATATATTGTTATATTAGCTTAGTACACGGCCCTCATGAAAAGCAGGTATTATATTTTCTATTAAGCGTGGTTCTACTTTTGTATTTATCTAATTTAGTTTGTTGCATGTTAAATCCTGATGAGAATACCGTGTGTAAATAAAGTTTTAATAATAATAATAATAATAATAATAATAATAATAATGTTGTGAAATAATTCAATTAAAACAGAGATCAACGCTTGGGCTGTCTGTGGTAATTTTACAGTAAAAAGTAGTTTTAAATCTTTCCGTAAGATTTAAAATATCCGTGTCAGTCCGTAGGCACTACCAACTCCCAAAACATCCATCGTCATGATCGCATACGTTTTCATTTCGTCCAAAGGTTGATAATAATCTTCCAATTTTGGTATCCGTTGTGACGCTGAATCGTCCATGAGTCGCGTAAAATTTCTTAAATCTTCCAGCGCTCTTTTTGTTTCCTCCTTGTTAGCATCCAGGATCTCGGCTCGACATCGGGCTTCGTCGTTCCTGCGCTTTACTTCAGATTCATAAAATTTTTCTTTTCCTTTCGCAAGTTTTTCCAGTGCTTGGTTATGTCTTTTCACTTCTTACTTGTATCCTTGTCCGTTTAATTTCGAGAAAAGAAATCCGGCCCCGGCAAAGGCCACGGCATTAAATAATCCTCCAACTACAACGGATGTCATTTTTTATTTATCGATCATTTTGGGAATATATCTGTAACGAATTATGTAAATATGACGTAGAAATAATTCATGATGTAAATATGAGGTAGATGCAAATTAATTCGATTGCCATAAAAAGGGGCAACCATGTGCTAATATCGGAGAGAGCCATGAAAGCTTAGCGAAGAGAAGTGGCACGTGGAACAGGTGGGACATTTGTCTGAGCATGCGCGAGCAAAATGAGCCACGCAATTGCGTGGAATACACGCAACGCGCGTTTTCAAAAAGGCACAATCATGTAAATATTGCCAAATGTTTGTACAAAATAAATTACTGTTTTATGTTGAAAATGGACATGATCTACATTAATCATACAGAATTTTTTAGTGACGTTCTATTTCAGTACCCTGCCATTGTCTCTGGTGGGCTCTCCGTGTGAATTCGATCTCAAACAGTTGCGCTACTTTGCTGTCGAAAAATTTCGAATGTTTACATGAAAATAGAGGCAAGTCATGCATTTTACAACCTCGTAAACTGTATGAGCCCTATTTTTACGCTTATACCTAAGATATCAAATAAAAATACATGAAACAGAAAACATTTTTAGAAATTTTTATCGTGAGGCCACGACCAGTTTTTAAAACATCTTTATTTCTGTTCCGGTTATCACCAAAATTACACTAAAGCCGGGCTTGCATATACAACAGTAGTATAGAGAGTGGGGGTTCTACGACGGGCGGTGCGGGCGATGCACTTAGCACCGCCCATGACGTCACCATTTCTTAAGTATTTTAATTTATTCAGATTTACGTTAATTTGTTCGAGCTTTATCCTTGATATTTTTAAACCGCGGCCGTTTATTTACCTATAGTTTTTACCTGGCTACTTCGCTGCCGTTTGTTTATCTACAGCTTTTTTTAGTTTAATTTTAGCTACTGTGATGCCGTTTGTTTTTCTACAGAGTACAGTTTATATTTGGGATTACTTCATTGCTCTACAGTTTATATTCTGCCTACTTCGTTGCCGTTTGTTTATCTACAGAGTACAGTTTATATTTGGGATTACTTCATTGCTCTACAGTTTATATTCTGCCTACTTCGTTGCCGTTTGTTTATCTACAGTTTATATTTACAGCTATTGCGATGCCGTTTGTTTATTTACAGTTTATATTCTACGCGACTACAGGCTACAGTTTATATTTCTGTTTACTTGGCTGCTCTACAGACTACAGTTTATATTTCTGTCTACTTCGCTAAAATTTTTAAACTGAACTAAGCAGTTGCTAAGCCCAAGTAAAAATCATTGTCAACGCCGTTGTTATGGTCGATATTTGCATATTACAGAGTCATAAAAAAGTGATTAACTATCCCACCCCATGTGGATACAATTTTTATTTCACCCAGCAAGCTTGAGACAGAAAAAAATACTAACAAACAGAGAGTTATTACAGAAGAGAATATGTTGCTGTCTAGAGTTATATAAACACATGGAAGTTAGAGATGACATATTATTGTCAAGCGATTTCTATATTTTAGTGCTAGGTTTTTAAAGTACTAAAACTCGGATAAGGTTAATAAATTTAAGCTATATTAAAGCACACCGGTTGGCATGTGTTTTTAGAGTGAAAATAATTAAAGGATTAACTTTTATCGGAGATTTGCATTTTCTACTGTGTGGATACATACGGGTAGATTAGGATATTCATTTCGCGGGCGTCGCGGGTATCCGTGCGGGTTGGAAACACAACAATAACGAGGTTTATATTGGAAGAGAGAAAGCAATTTAGACAATGCAGGAGCGCTTTGCAGCCAAAAGTTTACACAAGAATTCAATCTTAAAATACATTTATTTCTTCGAGACGTTTACAAAGTTAATGTGGTCTACAATTTAAATGTTTTTTTCGTTTGGCTCAATTGTTCATTCGCCATGGTTTCTATACTCCCAGCCCGCCATCAACCATTCATCGACCCTACATCGACCTCACATCGACCTCACATCGACCCCACATCGACCCTACATCGACCCTACATCGACCCCATATCGACCCTTATCTTCATCTCTACATCGACCTCACATCGACCCCACATCGACCCTACATCGACCCTACATCGACCCCACATCGACCCTTATCTTCATCCTCTTATCTTCCTTATCCTTATCTTTACCTTCCTTATCCTTATCTTCCTTATCCTTATCTTTATCTTTTTATCTTCCTTATCCTTATCTTTATTATCTTCCTTATCCTTATCTTTATCTTTTTATCTTCTTTATCTTTATCTTTTTATCATCCTTATCTTTATCTTCTTATCTTTAACTTCTCTTTAACTTCTTAGCCTCCTTATCCTTAACTTCACAAGTTAGGCTCAGAATCGAGCTCGAATAGCTCGGAGCAGAGCTCGAATGGCTTTAGAATTCAATGATTCACTCTTATCTTAACTTCACAAGTTAGGCTCAGAATCGAGCTCGAATAGCTCGGAGCAGAGCTCGAATGGCTTTAGTCATTCAATGATTCACTCTTATGATTCAATGATTCAATCTGATGATTCAATGATTCAATCTTACGATTCAATGATTCAATCTTACGATTCAATGATTCAATCTTACGATTCAATGATTTAATCTTAGGATTCAATGATTCACTCATATGATTCCATGATTCAATCTTACAATTCAATGATTCACTCTTAGCATTCAATGATTCAATCTTACGATTCAATGATTCAATCTTAGGATTCAATGAGTCACTCTTAGGATTCAATGATTCAATCGTATACTCCCTAGGCTCTGCGCCTGCTCCTTAAGGCTCGGAGCTTCTGTGGATTCAATGATTCAATCGTATACTCCCTAGGCTCTGCGCCTGCTCCTTAAGGCTCGGAGCTTCTGTGAAGCTTCTGTGTAGCATCTGTAAGGCTCGGAGCTTCTGTGAAGCTTCTGTGAAGCATCTGTAAAGCTTCTGTGAAGCTTCTGTAAAGCTTCTGTAAAGCTTCTGTGAAGCTTCTGTGAAGCATCTGTAAACCTGTGAGTGAATCATTGAATTCTAAAGCCATTCGAGCTCTGCTCCGAGCTATTCGAGCTCGATTCTGAGCCTAACTTGTAAAGTTAAGAATAAGGAAGATAAGAAGTTAAAGATAAGAAGATAAAGATAAGGATAAGGAAGATAAAAGATTAAGATAAGGAAGATAAAAAGATAAAGATAAGGAAGATAAAAAGATAAAGATAAGGATAAAGGAGATAAGGATAAGGAAGATAAAAAGATAAAGATAAGGAAGGAAGATAAAAAGATAAAGATAAGGATAAAGAGAGATAAGGATAAGGAAGATAAAAAGATAAAGATAAGGATAAGGTCGATGTGGGGTCGATGTAAGGTCGATGTAGGGTCGATGTGTAGAAAAAAGAAAAGGGTCGATGTGGGGTCGATGTAAGGTCGATGTAGGGTCGATGTGAGTCGATGTGGGGTCGATGTGGGGTCGATGTGGGGTCGATGTGGGGTCGATGTGGGGTCGATGTGGGGTCG